TTCCGCACACCCGCGCCTCGGTCCCAGAGGCTGCAGGCTGGAGGAGACCGTCCGCGCGCATTGGCGCCGGTGGGGTCCCCGATTATCTTGACGTTGGTAGGAGCGGCTCGGACGTATCACAGGGTCTTCGCTGGCGGACGTACCTCCCACCTTCATTTCGGTCTGCTGGTATTTCCGCGGTCTTGTCACCAGGACGTATTATCGAGCTTCGTATACTGCACCGACAAGAGTGGATGTACGAGGCGGCGATATTGGTGTAAACTTGACAGCCAAACGGACGATGGAGCATCGCACTGATTATAAGGAACCCGCTGGGCCGCACCAGCCCTGCCCGAGCTTCATGCCAATACAGGCACACTGCAACTGCAAACCTCGACTTCACCTCACCGACAGTCGTTCCTTCTCCGTCCATCTCAGCGAGACAACCGACGGATTCGACTAAAGTCCGCTAGCATTCATGTCATTGCTTTTGCTACATGTACGGAGAAGGAAAAAAAACAAAAAAAACTCGAGACGCAAACACTCCAGGGAATCGCAGGACACCGGCGCGCAGACACGGCATCCCTCTAGCTATGCAACGACGGAGTGGGCATGTACCCTGAAGACCAAAAACCTCTATGGACGTAGCAAGCAACGTAAACGTGTAACAGATAACCTATGGTGGGGGCGGGTGGCGATACATGGCAAGGGTCGTGATGATGGGGAGATGAGAGATGCAAAGGAGCTTCTAGATCGGCGACGCCGTGTGGCCGCTGGCGGCCTATGTACAGATTGCGAGGAGCACAAAAACGGAGAGAGCACGATTCGGGTTAACGACGAGAGCATGAGATCACAGACTGAACACGCCACCCGCCCTCCGGCGCGACGAAACCGGATGGACGAGTACAAGCGATATGCCAAGGCCGACCGTGAGGCCGATGGAAACGGAGACGAGCTGGAGAGCGGTGTCGAATCCGGAAATGTAGGACGTGTTCGACGACGATCCCTCGGCTTCGTCTGACACGAAGGAGAACAGGCCACCATTCGCAAGTCCAGAGGGCAGTTGGAAGAGAATACCCGTGATCTGCAAGCGTCACGTCAGCACGCAACAGGATAGACACATGTGGTAGCACTGACCATGACGACGAAAGCATTGCCGTTCCGGAAGAACCGTCCGTACATGTTGGCCACAAAACCGACGGCAAGTCCACCGACGGCAGCAGAAATGTCGCTCTGGCCAATGAACTTGGTACCAGTGAAGTGGTTGCACACCCAGCCGATGCAAGAGATGGCAACGACCAAGATCTGCCGAACCGTCAGCATTCCGACTCGATGAAATGAAACAAGGGTACTACTGACAGTCTCAACCCGATAGTACGGCGCGTGGTTTCGTAGGCTGAGAAACAGAGAGTACATCGGCACAGTGAGGAAAGCTGCAAAAACGCTAATCAACACCTGCCCCACACATAGAGTGCAATTACCCTCACCCCACCACAACGACGGGGTACGCTGGTACCATGGTCCGTTCGGATCGTGACTCTTGTTGCACGTCAAGTCATCCGCTGCCGTAAACGTATGATGCGTGATTCTGGTATACGCTGTTGCCCCGATGGAAAGTCCAAAGCCCAGGAACAGCGAGTAGATCAGGGAGAAACAAACGCGCACGGCGCCGGATACGATGTTGCGCGATGCTAGCTCCAAGCTACCGCACAATATGATGAAACCCTGCCAGGCGTAATGGTTCAGCACGTGAGAACAACGTCAAATAATTCGTGTTTCCTTACAGGCAAGATGAGCACAATCGACGAGGCGCCCACAGCGGTGTAGCAGAAAGGCCCTACATCCGCGAGCGCAGCTGATATGAAACTAAACAACAGAGTAACCGTGATCCTACAATCCCACGTCAGCATACGGATCAAGTCTGAGCTCAACTGGTACGCACTCGAAGACATTGGAGTACAGCTCGTTTCGCGCGGCAAAAACTTGAATGACGATGAGCAGACAGCCAAGCGGGAATGACACCAATGAGTCGATGAACGAGCCGTTGAACGAGACACTGCAGATAAACGAGGAGCAGCATCCCCCAATCAAAATCAGCTGCCAGAACTTGTAGAGCGGCGTCTTGCGCATCAGGTCGTCGAGCGCCGCAGACGCGTCCTGGACAGAGATGTCATCGTGGATGACCTTCCAGTACAACGCATGCGCGTCTTGCAGCTTCCCAATGTCCAGCGCGCTCGCCTGACGGATGAACTTGATGTTGCTCGTGCTCGTCGTCGGGTCCTCGAACGAGATGAGCATCACGTCCGGAAGGTACATGCAGCTGAGTGTGATGTCAAGCACCTTCGCCGTGCTCTGGATCTGTGCCTGCAGCCGGTGCGTCGGTCCGCCGAACATCATCATTGCGCGCGCGAGCTTCATAATGAACTCTTGGCGCTGCACGATTTCGGCGACATGACGAGTGATCTGCAAGCATTTGAGTAAGCTGCGCTCACTGACAAGGCTAACAGGTAAACAACGTACGAAGACCTCGGCTTTTTTTCTTCGCCTCTTCTCGCGCCGCCGCTTATCTTCCTTCTCTTTCTGGCGCAGCCGTTCTTTCTCCAGGAGCTCGTCCTCACTAGTCGGGCTAGTTGGCGTGCCCGGTGTGCTCGGCGTACCTACGTGGCTCCACGTCCGCTTGGGTAGATCCTTCAACACGCCCGTCCACTTGCCGAACTTGGGGGACACCTCGAAAGCATTCATTGGCAGTGACGACGTGCGCAAGTGCGACGGGTGCTCGGGTACCGAATCTCCCGAGTTTGAAGTCTCGAAATGCATACTCCGCGGGCGAGAAAGCTGGGGCTCGACCTCATCCTTGACTTGCGGCAGATTGCTCTCTAGCGAATATCTGGAACACAGGCAATCAGCGCACAAAATTAACGCGACTCACTGCCGCGCTCACCTCGACAACCGATATCCCGGCCGCTTGATGTTCGGTGCCAATGTGCTATTCTTTGGCGCAGCGACGCCAGAAATGTTGCCCGTGCTTGCAATCAGCGGACCAAACACACCTGCCCCACTCCTTGCCTGGGGTGGCCTCGAGTCGCCCCATGGCTTAGGTACACGCAAATTCGGTAGGTTCGACACCGAAACGAGGGATGAATTCGCAGAGCCCGCCCACCGCGGCCGCTCTTGAGAGCGAGCGCGCCGCTGTTCGCCATCCCGCACGCGCCCACGCTCACCTTGCTGAAAGTAGTCCCGCTTCTCCGATACGCTGTCTTGAGTAGCCGTGCGTGTCGGAGGAAACATCGCCGGTGTGCGCAAGTCTTCCAAGGACGACTGCGCAGAGAGACTAGCGACAGTGCCCGACGCCGCATCGTTCGAGTCGTACAATTGCAGCAGCGCGGAGAGGACGCCACCGCCGCGCGGGGGCGGGGGCATAAGCGGACTCTCTGCGGCGCGCTCGACGTCGGACTCGAGTTCAGACTCAGTCGCGGAGAGACCGAACCACCTGCTCTTCTTCTTCTTCTTTGGCTTGCGCTTGCGCACCTCGCCGCCGGTGCTGCTGGTGCTTTTGTGCCCGCTAGCGTCACGGGTCTCGGTGTGTCGTCGAGGCATGTGTGGGACGTGTGGCATGTGCATGCCGCCGAAGAAGCTTCTGCGATGTGCGCTGATGACTTTCTGCGCCTGTTGCACCGAGTGCCGTTCTGTACCCGCGCCGGGCAAACCTGCTGTCTCACTCGGGTCGATGAAGGCCTCGCCTGCCACAGTGTGCGACGGCGACCCGTTCATCGTCTCGGGCGATTCAGTGTCAGTGGTCGTGCTTGAGGACTCTCGTGTCAGGACCGTGTCTAGCTTGGGAAGTTCTGAGGGTGACACGGCTCGATGGCGTTCGAGTGCATCAGTCAATGTTTCAAATGCGGATGGCTGTTTGAAAACTTCGGTCAGTTGTGCTCATCGACACGAGAGAACGTGATATGCTCCAAGGATAGTATTGGTGTGTGCCGATACCTGGAAGATCTCCGGGGACTACACATAGCTGGCGAAAAAGACCGTCGTGAGGAAGAGTCATTACTCCACAGCCCACCGGAGGACAGCAGCCGCGCTCCGCACCACGTTGCGATGACGGTACGGAAAGACGGTACGTGGATGCAAAGACGAGGCATCCTTATCCTCGATATGTGGCAAACTGACAGAAGAGGACGACTCACGTCAAGCCCATGTTCATCCAACGCTCTTGTTGATGCATTTGGATCCTCAGCGTCGCGCTCGTCGTGCCACTGGACCTTGCGAGGAGTCTTTGTACCGTTTGTGCGGCGTGTTCCTCCGGGCGGGCGGTTATCGTCGTGGGGGCTGATAACGTGGGGTGGACTGCCGGAGTCCATGAGGGTTGACGTTGACGGGGAGGTTGGCGGGGAGGACGTGAGGAGGATGCTCTGTATGGATGGTGGTGCATTATGAGGCATTGCGTCTATAGTACGAGGAGAGGGAAAGAGAAGAGGAAAGAGGGAAAGAAAGACGAAGAGAGAGAACAATGAAATGAGCGGGAGGGTGAGCGAGGGACTCACGACGGTATAAGAGAAAGAACGTGTGCGAAGTGGTGGCTATAGGTAACGGTCGAGACACGACGGGAGGATGCCTGTTCGGCTCTTCGATGAGACGAAGGTCGGCTTGGGAGAGACAATTTGCGGGCGGTGGCTGTTAGCGAACGAAGGCCGGACGCGATAAGAGGCGGCGAGGTCGAGTATCAAAAGAAGGCGTCGTTAGTGGCGACCGTCGAGAGGTGAGGCAAGAAACCTCTGGACTTGACCTCCGGAGCTGAGACGGGCGTGTTTAAGCCCCCAGACCCAAAGGTTGCGCGAGGTTATCTGGCAGCCATCGCGGCAGGCCAACGGCAGCCAGCTCCGGCGACTGGCCACTCTGTCTTTGCAAAAATCTTTGGCCAGACGCGCAGAGTGGAGCTCTGAAAACCCATTATAGCTCCGCTGACGTCGAGGGAGCATCCTCCCCTCCGGCTTCTCGGGCCGCACCGCTGCCGACGCCGATCCCGGCGCGTCCCGGGCATTTGGGGGCGCTGTCGTCGCGGTCATTGTCCTCGCCTGCACAAATCGGGAAGGCGCCCGGCTATGTTTGGGGTGGAGCCGCGGACCACGTTCGCGCCCTTGGCTGTCCGCAGCGCCGTCTTCACCTCCCAAGTTTTCAAAGTGGGTCTGAGGCGTTCGAGACTCCCGCTCCTGCTTCATGGCCGATACGTATGTCTGGCCGTTGTCTGCTTTCTGGCTCTTGTTCCATCCCTCACCCCGCATTCTCCCACCGATGCGTTGCTCTTCCTGATGCTCCGCGTGCGATATGCCTTCCTTCAATGCTCCACGCCTGACAGCTAAATCGCATGTACCAACTCAATCCATCACATCTCCACTACCTGCATTGCTGTAAAGCTCACCCTGTACCAGTGCATCGAGGCCGACTCCGACTCGAGCTGCGCATCGTCATTTGGAAATCCACTATTTTTGTTCCTTCACAAGGCACTATCGTCCGAGCGCGTTCCTCGGACGCGTGTCTATCTCCAACCCATGCTGCTAAGTCAGTCTAAATCGCCGCATCGGCCCCCGGCTGTCCTTTCTGTTCACGCTCGCCATCTAAAGTCATCTGCGCGCCCTTCACACAGCTCCTCGTCTCCCCATCCATGCCGTGCCGTAAGAGCTTAACATCGAATCAGCACCAGGTCTTCCTCTCCTCAACATGTGCGATAGCATCTATCATATAGAAGTCGGTAGATGAATGGAAGTCGAACGGTAATGCACCACGCACTGAGAGACAGTCCCCTTTTGTATCTTAGCAGCCTCTGTAGATTCCACAGTGAACAACGTCCGTTCATATGCGTCACTAGGTTGCGCTCGTTCCCCGTTTCTCTTCCAATAGCCCCGCACAGCTCGTGAGTCCGTGGAAGGCTAGCGCAGCAACTCTAGAATCCTTCTAGAGAGTACGAGCAAGTCCGCGCCCGGCGATTGCATGAATCGGAGGCCTCGTGGCGTGGGCATGATGCAGTTACATCCTCCATGCGAAAGTAGGCATTACGCGCATTAAAACTAGTCTCCCAAGGCTAAAACATCCAGGCATGGTGGTTAAGCAAGACAAAGGAGTGTGGGCTGGCTTCTGTGTCGTCCGCGACGTTTGGCCGTACTTGGCTGGCGACCTGCCCTAACCATGCCACGTGATCGTATGCGTCATCGCCGCCAAGAACAAGCGCTAATATGGGCGCTAGTAATACTCGTCTAGGCACGGGTCGAGGCCTTTTCTCCCAAATTTATTTTTTAGTATCAACTCATTTTCACCGGTCATACTGCACACCGCATTTGCAAAAGTGCTGACATTACATCGACATCGCAGCGTCTGTTGAATTAATCATGAACAAGAGTTTTGGACCTGGAGGTCACATGGTGTGCACATATGAACACAGAAAGCCGAGAGGACCGACGAATGTTCCTGACTTCATAATGATATTCCAGTTACTCGAAGAAGAAATCTACAAGTGGTCGGAATACAATATTTAGAGAGCTAGTCTACCCTACCGGACAACGCTCAGAACGATCAATCGAGAGCTAACTATAAGAGACTTGCCCTACAGGACCAGTCCCAGCTCGCGATTCAACCGCTCGCTCTCCGCCAACCACGCAGTGTCTACTTGCTCCGGCACGCCCAACAGTTCACGAATCTCTGGTGTCAAGCTCATGTCCGCGTAGAGATGCAACAGAGTCTCGACTTGCTGGTCGCCGACATGTGCGGGAGTGGAACGCTGGGGAGCTGCGCCGCAGATGTGCCTATCTCTCAGTCGATGTCACAACGGGCAAACAACAGATCGGGACTGACCAAGGTCCAACCACGGCTGATGCTCCTGGGTCTGGCAATCCTCAACGCGTGAAATATGGCTGGATGATGTGGGCTGTCCAAAGGTTTCCATCCTTACTGCGTCAGACATGTCTCAATTAGTAGAGGCAGGGTGAACTCAAGGTGAGCGAGTTAGCTACCAGGCGCAGCTAACAGTGGCTGTATCAAGCAAAGAAAATCAGCATGCGTTCAGTGGCGTAGACTACATGGGCACCTCTGCTGTTGGGAGTGAGCTGGAAAGCAAAGACTCGGACAAGGTGTTGCCCGGCTTTTTCTCTTTCTCCGTCTTTTCTTTTCGATTCTTTTGGCGTGCAGTCGTCTTTGCCGTTGCTTGACCCTCCTGAAATAAGGATAAGAGACATAATATATTCAAGATGCACGCCTCCTTACGTTTTTCTTCGCGGATCTCTTGATGGGCGCCTTACCTGCCCTTGTCTTCTCCGCGCCCTTTATGGACGCCTGGGTTGTCTCTGGCTTTGGTTTCCTCTTCTGTGGGGCCTTGGCGGGAGCCTTTGTTGACGCTCTAATAGGCAGGACATTCTCTCCATTTCCGTCTACCCTCGCCGCAAAATTCCCTATAGTAACATCTCCGATTGAGGCTCGCTGTTTCCTTCAATGACTGGACTGCGCTACGCACCAGCATCCGGTATGTGCCCCAACTGGCACTCAAGTTTTATAGTGGCATCGTGATATTGACGCAAACTTCGATCGGAGCCCGCTGTCTTTCCTTGCACTGCATGCGCGCTAGTACTAGCCTTCATCGCTGCGTGACTTGAATGCAAATCAACTGAAAGAGCTTCTGAATAAGTAGTCTTATAAAAAATTTGACAGAAGACTTGCAACTTTGTTTGGCCCCGTCGATCACGTTGGATACCTCCTTATGTCCTTGTTGCGCTGTATACATTATGTCGCCAAGTCTTTTGGATGACACACTAGGTGGGTCGATGATGTCGGCTGCGGAAGTAGTCTTGCACTGTGTTTTGCGCTTTCGTTTACTTATTGGCTCGGTCACAACGTTTTTCGTGCTCTTATCTTTGCCCTCTGGTTTCTCTGTCTGTTTCGGCTTCTTATTTTTTGGTGGCGATGTCGGCTTGACAACCGCAGCGGTGGGTTTCAGTGAAATGTAACCCCTACGCTGGATGACTTCTGAGAGTGATTCTGCAGAACTATTTACGCCATATTCACTTTGCCAATAGGTACGTACTCACCATTCTGACCATCATTATCTAACTTACTATCCTCCGGTTCGATCACAGCTTGTGACACCACTTCTTTGGCGCCATCGGCTGGCCCTGTCGACCGGGAGGCTACAGATCCCTGTAATGAATCATTGCTCGCCTGGCACACGACATGTCTGTAGTCACGAACAAGAACTAGCACGGAATGAAATACGCTGGCACTCACACCTGTATTGACATCATCGTCAACTAGCAATGAAGAGATAGCCATCTTCCTACGTATTGATATCTGCGCATCGTGATCTGCAATATTACTACCATCATGTGTATTGTTGCCAATCGCTATCTCCTGGGGATGTGGGAGGAGGGGGGTAGGCTTAGAAACTAGCCACTCAGAACACCCAACTGGAGATGAATACTGCTTCATAGGCGAGGACAAGTCACCGGCGACATCACAAGGAGAATCAGACTGGTGAACGTAAAGGGCAGATTTGTTCAAAGCGCCATAATCAGAATCCAGAAGATGAGCAGGGGCAGCGACGAAAACAGGCAGAGCAGAAAAACTTGAGATACTGGATGCAGCAGGAGTAAGTTCCGAGGAGTTCATAAGCAAGGCTAGCATGGTTTTTGAAGCATGATGGGTAGGGGCACGTCGCGCAAGACCAGTAAAGACTTCTGTTCCGACAGCGGTCTTAAGATGTATTGGGCTTGCAACAGTCGGGCCCATTGGATTGACAAAATTCAGTGCCTTACCGTTCCCAGTACGAGTGGAAGTTGCATAGATACAATGTTCACTCGACAAATCGGGGCTATCAGCTGAAGTACTTGGGGAGTCATACTCTGGTACTGCGTAATGGAGCCCTGACTTTGGCACCAAGTTTTCCACATTGTGATGCACGACATTGTCCACAGATAAAGCCAAGTTATTTCGAGTCCCAACGTCAGGATGTCCAGCAGAGAAAGTAGTAGGTCCTGGATTTATGATACGTTCATTGTCAGTTACCGTAGATATTCCATTGGCAGAAATGGAATGCCGTACTATGTGGAACGAAATTGCAGGGAGATGCAGGCTCTTGCTGGAATTCATGCTCACGGGTATTCCTCGTGGGAGAACCCGAGCTAGCTGGTCGGGATGCCATTGGGTGATTTTTATCCTCAGCCACCTGTGGGGCAAAATGGAGCATGACAGACGAAGAAACCACGTTCTTAGGAGAGTTCAGTGACTGCTTATTATTGCAAAATTCAGTAGTGCTATCCCTGAAAAGTCCTTCTGGAAGCGAAGACGCGGCAGCCACAGATAGAACGATAGATCCAGTGTCGTGACAAGAAGCCCTATACGTCCCAGTTGTAGATAGCATAGCCTTGCGCTTTTGACGGGGGGGCAAGACAGGTCCCGAGTCGATCATATCATCCAGTAGCGATTGAGAGTTCACAGATACAGTATGCACCATAGAAGTAGTGCTATTGATATGGACGGGACTCTCCACTGGCATATATGCGCTCATATTGCGTACCTGCGCTTTAGAGCTGCAAGAATTTTGGTATATGCAGTATCGTACGTCACTAGAGTGACCTGAAGGCGGAGAAGAGGATGGAATAGAACAATCGCCGACACGCTGAGTGTCACGAGGTGTAAGAGGAATATCAATATCGAAATCGGAAGATGGAGCTTCAGAAGAAAAACCCAGTGCTGGCGAAGAAGCAGGCGAACTAGGGAAAGAGAAATAGGAGAAAGGTTTGGCAACAGCCGGAGTCGAAGCAGTGATTATATGTTGCATAGGAAAACAAGTCAAGCATGCGGGGTGCGGATTGGCTTCATGAGCACGAGTATGGCGTACAAGACATGAGTGATTATACGTTGATTTAGACGGACTCGCGTGTTTGATCCTCTGTCCGGTGGGACTAGAAGCTCTCTTGCGACGCTTCTTCAGAACATCAGACGGCAGAGGCGAGCGAGAACGTTCGCGTTTAACTGCTCGAGGATTCGGGTTCCTCTTGCGAGAGCTTACAGAAGCCGAAGGGGCACAGACAGCAAGCTCGTATGAACCAGGAGACACGGATAGACCTTTCCGCAGTACCTGAGCTTTCTTCCTTGTGAACCAAGAGTTAACGTAGCTTGGATCAACGCTCCTTGCTTCCGCCCACGCTCTCCGCGAGACCAGAGACGGTGTTCTGTTGTCGGATGCCCAGATTTTCTCGAGGTCGGCACGATGTCCAGCAGACAAATCTTGGAGATGGTACGACGACGTAGCAGGCTTTGTGTCTTCTTGGAGAAAAGGAGCGCTAGATTTCCGACTTCGCGTGGTTGGTGCCATTCGGTATTACGCTTACGACAGAGCGAATATTTTGGAACCAATTGCGCGCGAGTATTGCAGGGAAAAGACTCGTAGAAAAGCTCACTGTTGATGATGCAGTAGACGGTACGGTCCGAAGTTTTGAACTCTGAAGCTAGGCCTGGACTTGAAGGCCTGAAGACGGAGATACTTGTTCGAGATGATGACTCCAGGCTGGGAGATCTCAAAGTGTTTTGACGCCAATTCGACGCCCAATCATACCGAACCCTAGTTTGGGAGCTATTTCGCCCTAAGTTTGGAAATTAGGCCGCATTCACCAAAGTACATAACTATTATCCAAGAACTCGTCGCTGATTCAATATTCTTCTCGAGGAGATGCAAGACGAAAGGTAAGTCGCGGATGAACATTTCTCATTGCGTCTACAGATACAACTGATACAACAACATTTTGTGCTTGACTGCCTCTTCCCGCTTAGTTCATCTACATTAAGTTATGAAGCCGCTGAATAGTACATCGTGGTAATTCCCTTTTGGTTTCAGGGCAACATCCGTCATACATGCTTTTAGAGCACCTTTTCGATCATTCCTAGACCTTCTTCTTCAACAATCTTGCGAAGAGGATCACAGATCTCCTTGGAATACGGCGCGTGGACTCCAGGCGTATTCAAGACACCGTCCAACACAAGCTGAACTGCAATACCGCATGGTACTCCGACGTAGCGTGCCATGGCTGAGTGTCCAAAAGGCTCGCCATAAGCTTCCAGCGTAGACGTAATGGTGTCCTAAAATCAAACAGATTCGGTAAGTGACCTCCAGAAATTTCCAACGGCTGTGGACAGTCACCTGCTTTCCATCCTTCCACTCAACCACGAACTTATGCTGGAGGATGACCAAGTCTCGCTCGCCCTCCTCGTACTTCATGAGTGTTTCAAGCTGTGCGCAGAGGGTGTCTAGCAGGTTACTGTCCCTGATCTTGACCTTCTCCAAAGAGAATAGCCCGATCCACCTCATTCCAGAGATAATGCGATAGCTCTCAGACTCGTCAGGGAAAGAACAGAGCTCTTTGACACGGGCAACAAGCGAACTAAGCGAGAACGATCAGAGAGATTAGTAGGTAAGTAGATATTCTGCTCTGAAGCGCACCTCTCACTCGAGTCACTGGCGCCAATGGCCTTCTGCATGACTTCAGCCCATGTCAAGCCATCCTTAAGCCAGTCCTTCTTCTCGGGATCGAGCCATCCGAGCTGCACTAAGGCCTTGACGAACTCCGGGAAACCTTGGTAGCGTAGTGTGCCACGGACAACCGTCTCCGCCTCAGGGATATTGTAGAACTCGCGGAACGGAACGGAGTTGCGGTTCGGATACGCGACAAATGCGAAGGCAGGAGAAATGAAGTATGGCTTCGCGACGCCCATGAGATCCTTGCCTGAGATATCGAGCTGCTGACCTTGCGAAATATATGCGGCGGAGTTGAGCAATGCGAGGAGCGCGCCGCGAGCGGACCAGGAGAATTTATACCCAAGCGGATTTCCAGAGCACTCGGGTGCAGGCAAACCACCGCAGTAGGACAAGAATTGTTTGATCTGTGAGAGAACGTCAGCTTGATATCTTATGGAATACATACATTAACATACTTTTCCTCCTTTGGCGTGGACCTCGTCAATGGTCTTGATTGCATACAGATGGTCAATGCCAGGATCAAGTCCGATCTCGTTCATAACGATGATCCCAGCCTTCTTCGCTTCCTCATCGAGCTCACGCATCGCAGGACTAACATAGCTTGTTGTCACTACGTGCGTCTTGCCCTTGATCGCTGCCTTAATTACAGACGCATGGTGTGTGTACGGGATCAGCGAAATGACAAGATCGTGCTCCGCTACCGCCTTGTCCAAGTCGGCCTGAGAAGTGGCATCGATGGCAACAGCAGTGGTGTGCGGGAGTTCCGACGCAAGTGTCTGAGCGGTGGTAAGAGTGCGGCATGCTATATGCATCCTGATTAGCTATCAAAGTGATTGTATGCAAAGGCAGACGCACCAATTGTGAGCAAGTTCGTAGGATTCCGCACGACATACTCTGCGGCAGGTCTGGCGACGAGCCCACTTCCGAGGAGCAGCACCTTTTTCTGAGGAGTTTCCGTGACAGATGGTCCCAGTTTGGGTAATAGGTCTTTGCCATCATCGATCATTGCCCTACCGAACTCAGGCAGTACGAATGCGGCCTTGTGAACCTCCGCATTATAGTAACGCGTCGGACTCACGGTGCGAATCGGAACCTTCACGTCCCGGCCAGCCTCCTTCGAACACACCACAAATCCGATCTGGCCAGATGGGTACGTCGGAATGGTTGTGAACGCGTACTCCGCGACGGGGAACAGGGACTGCGTCGTCTGACGTAGTTCGTTGATTAATGGTAAGTGTAGCCACAAACACTCGGCTTGTGTTGAGATGTGGCCGCCTGGAGTAAGCGCACCATGGAGCAGCTCGAAATACGGTTTTTGGAAGAGAGAGGCAGCGGGGCCCACGGGATCGGACGAGTCGGTGATGATCGCATCGTACGAGGATACATTGTCCTCGAGAAACTTGAAGCCATCGCCTACATACACTGTCACCCGTGGATCAGACAGCAGTGAAGACATGTGTGGAAGATATTGCTTGGATACTCGGATGACAGCCTATGTAAGAGTGCACGTAAGATCGTAGGCAAGTGTTACGGAAACTCAGAAAAGTAGGATTTTCCACCGCAAAGAGAGATTCGTTCACGCACCTCATCGATATCGCACAACACGACGTTCTCGACAGTGTCATGCTTGAGCACCTCGCGAACAACGCCACCATCACCACCACCAATGACGAGGACTTTCTTCGGGTTGGGGTGAGAAGCAAGGGGAAGATGTGCAATCATTTCCTGGTATCTACGAGGGGACGATTGATGACATGCAAAGGAAAACTCGCACGAAGTGAACGCACGAGAACTCGTCGCGCTCAGTGCACTGGATCACACCATCCAATACAAGAACATTTCCGTATGTCTCAGACTCGAAGACGAGTACGTCTTGATACAGAGACTTTTCGACATGAAGAATTTTCTTGACCTTGAGGGTCATCGCCTGGCCTGGCCATTGCGAAGAAATTTCGCGGAACCATCCATCTAATGCGATGTTAGCCAATCTCTCTTCCATATATACAAGATGCTGCTCCAAAACTGACCCTTAATTGATCTGTGCGAGAGGGGCGCCATGATAGTGGTGGTAGGGATGAAGTCTTGAATTTTGACGATGACTCCGGGATGATAGAGATCTGCGAGGCGATTAGATAATGGAATAAGTATTCAAGATTTTATTCGTTATCTAATCTAAGCGGTCATTGAGATTGCCGCGATGTAACTATGAACAATACCGAGAGAGCTTTGGTGCAACGTTGAACAATTGAGTCTTTACGCACCACTGTCTCTTCAACATATACGTCCATTCAAACGTCCACTTTACTCAAGCAATATATGGTAGAACTCACGCGAACCTTTCGACCAACACCCAGTGATGGCCTTCCAACGAGCACCTCGGTTCTTCAAAAGCAGACAGAAGAACTCGTCGTGAAGCAGCTCTCGCACTATCAACAAGTCCAGCCAAATCCGAACGCAGGACCACCGAGCGCATCGCTACCTACTGAACCAGAGCTTTCGAAACCCCTCCTCGAGCGGAAACTGCATCTCCAGTTTCTCTTGCGAAACATGCTCCAGGGTTTTCCGCAGCGATATGTCTCACAGGATGCTAGTCAGCCGTGGCTGATGTTCTGGACACTGCAAGGATTTAGTGTGCTGGGAGTTGGACTTGATGATAAGACAAAAAAACGGTGATTCCATCTGCTCATTTTGCCATAGCACAGACTCATCAACGATCGCTACCAATATCATATTAATCGTCTAGCGCGAGAGATACGTTACTAGCTTTACAGCATCCCGAAGGTGGATTCTGTGGCGGGCCTGGGCAGGCAGCTCATTTACTCGCCACGTATGCCTCTGTCTGTTCTCTTGCAATAGTTGGGCAACCAGGGATTGGCGGTGCGTGGGACGAAGTGGACAGGTAAGTCTTTTTAAAGCCACTGGAATGATTGAACCGCGCACTTCCCGAATGACTGACCACTGGTGCTGTACGTATCTTCTAGGAAGAAAATGTATGATTTCTTCATGTCTTTGAAACAAACAGATGGGTCCTTTCTTGTTGCGCACCATGCGGAGGTAGATGTGCGGTATGTTCGTCTCTGAACTCGCCGTCTCGATGCTCATTCCAGAGTTGGATTCTTTTCCGTTACGCATCTCTAACAAACAGTGGAATCTACTGTCTGCTTGCTGTCGCCACACTCCTCAACATCATCACCCCAGAGCTCCTGTCAGGGCTTCCCGAGTTTATTGTATCGTGCCAGACGTACGAGGGCGGATTCGGGAATGCCTCATTCCCCGAATGGGTTTTCCAGAAGGGCGAAGGTGGGCATGTACCTGGAATGTTCTTGTTACGGTTCTTCCTGAGCGCCGGCCTTCAGACTCGACCATCTCATTTGATCCTTCTGCCCCACGACCCGTTCTCGGCGAGGCACACGGCGGATATACGTTCTGCGCGACGGCCTCATGGGTACTTCTCCAGCCATACGTTCGCGCCTACTATTCGTCTCCCATCGAGAATGACCTGTCGTCAAATGATGATGCCCAGAGTCCTGGGCTTCCGTTACCTAGTATCAACTATCTGTTACTGCTTCGCTGGCTCGTGCGTATGCAGGGTACGGAGATTGAACTAGGTGGGTTCAAAGGACGTACAAACAAATTGGTAGACGGATGCTATAGCTGGTGGGTTGGTGGATGCTTGGCGCTTGTAGAGGCGTTTATTGGACTAGGCGACACCGAAAAGCATGCAGAGGTCGACTATTCAGGTGATACGGGAACACGTGCAGAAGAAGATGCGTGGCACGACATCGACGGTGAGTGATTTCAACGCGAAGGTCCGAAGTTCGCTTTCTCATGATGACCTCCAATCGATATGCCGGACGGACCAAATAGATGGCTTGCTTAATCGCGAAGCTCTCCAGGAGTATATTCTGTATGCCGGCCAACATCCCGCTGGCGGGCTACGAGATAAGCCCCCGAAGTAGGCTCACGTTCCGTCTTACATATCCAATTCCTCCCTTGCGTCTCTTCTGTTGTGAGCGGAGCGCTCACGTATGCACATGACACATTTGTATAGGCCAGCAGATGCATATCATACGCTATATTGCCTATCGGGTCTTTCAGCAGCCCAGCATCATGTCGCGCCAGATGAATCGCGGAAAACTAAGCTGATCGCAGGATGGAAGGCCGAAGATGCACAACAGAAAGCCGGTATGAAATCTGTTATGATCACCGCCGTGTCGTGTATTATTGACTGGTGTCTGTACTTTTCCTGAAGGAGTTTGCACGGCGCAAACCTCCACCGATAATCAAGCGCGTGCGGCTGCTCTTCGTAGATATACATTCACGGATGCATTGTGCTGGCTTGAGGATGAGGGTGCCGACAAATATGTCGGGGGTAGTGGGAACCGCGTAGTAAGTAGCTGTGGGCGTCACTACTACGTGCGGAAATTGACGCTTTCGTCTATCCCCGAAGAATGCGACTCAACCTCTTTTCAATCTGACGGTCACACATACAGAGCTTATGATGGCCCATTTTTACGGCCAGACCTTGCCCCCTCGTGTTGCCCAAACGCCGGCGAAGAAGTAGTAACGCCATCTCACTGATTTGATACGTATGTATATGGTTACTAATTTGTTTGGTTACTGATACCAATGACACATTGTGGAACAGTGCCGTGTTGATATTACATACCTGAACACCGCTGGCAGCATTGTATGTTCTGATTTACGGAGCCTATTCGCCGGAAGGCACACTGTTGATGTAATATAGCCGATGTTATCGCTTGCAATACTGAATTGTATCCCTAGCATGATGGAGTCAAGCTGTCCCGCCAGAACTGTCAAGATAAAACGCACGCGCTATATTGAAGTATCTCGACAACTATACCGAACTGACAGCCTCGTCGCGATATCGCGCGTGCGCATATCAGGAGGGAGAAGTGTAGAAGGCTATTCAATCAAATGATAACGGTGAGTTAGGAGCATTGTTTGCTGATATCATACAGGGGGAAAAGGGTGATACCACATCCAACTTTCAAGCCTTCGTATAAGCGCGTTGATTCAAGTGAGGGTCTGTAGCTCATCAATGTTCAGTATCAGGGATAGGTAAGTCGGCAATCAGTCACTTACAAAACACCGGCTCGGATAATTCAATGCATCGAGGAGCCTGAAGGACACTCCGGTCCTCAGGCCTCATTCACCGGAAATGCCGAAACCTTCCACGAGCCGACAAGAGTCAATCTTTTAGGCCATTTCCTCTCTCGTGGTCGTTTTGACCCGGATATCTCATGGGATTGTTTTCGAACCGTACCAGTTGGTGGGCAGACTTGGACTCAAGTGATCACCAAGCATTTTCGACCGTCCCACAATGACAGGTTCGTCGGCATGCTGGTTCCAGCTTCGATATGCACTAGTCCATACATAGTGAGTTAGGCAGACCACGGCCGCATCCGCCGATCCAATGATACAAGCTTCGGGGATGACAATTTAAGACCGAGGCAATGCGAGGAGAGACACGCATGAGCAATCGAGCGCCAAGCGATCTCCCGCCTTTCCAAGCAGAACATCAATGCTCTAGTCCGCTTATTAAACACGGTCTTGTCGGCAAACTCAGTACCCTGGAATGCTGCCGGCGGACTACGACGGATGGGGTGGATGAAAGTGAAACGGACACGATGCTGCATCGAGACACTCGTGAGCGATAACATCGATCAGCAGGCCAGCACGGGGAACGTACCACTCACGGAGCTGCTACTTGCGGTTGGTACGACTAGTCGATGTCATGAGGTCCATGCTGGAGGCGCAATGCCAGTACCTGGCGCTCGAGAGACTGGCAGCGCTCGGCATCAACAGCCCTAGACTGTAGCACCAAATCTAGCTCTCGTTGGAGTGCCGCAAGGCGCGCTTTCTCCTCCATCCTGGCGCGTGTGACGACCGGAAGGACCTTCACCAGCTCGTTCCAGCGTACCCAATAGTCGCTCATTCGCGCACGGCGCTCGTCGAGAATCCCTGCGTGGTCTAGCGCAATGCCGTACGCATCCGGCCATCGCAGGCCTGTCACGACCTCGCACTCCAGCGCGCAGAGCTGACTCAGAAACAGGGCGACGGCGTCCACGACGAGGATCTTGGACGCCCCGACGAATAACTTTTGCAAGGACTTGAACGGCACAATGGCAAGCGAGCGAGAAGGCAGGGCGTCGGCGTCGACGTAAAGACCAAGCTCTTGGAGCATCGGGCAGTGCTGCGCAAACGGAACGAGGGCGGCGAGGGTCAAAGGTGGGGGGTCGAACTCAATAACAGGCTCGCTGTTCAACATGAAGTGTTCCAGTGCAGGCCAGCTAACTGCGAACTCCTCCATGTTTTGATCGGTAAGGTTTAGTGCGTAGTCCCAACGAAATTCGAACGATTTCATATGTCGGCAGGCGAAGAGGGGGCGGAATGTAGTGATATTCGGTCGTTCGTGCGTTGGAGGGCCTGGAACTGAAAATGGAGCATGGGGGTAAATTATGAAATCGAGATGGAGGGTGGTGATAGCTGGAGTTCTGGAAACAACTGCCATGAAGAATTGTCGGACATCGTCGCGGGCGGCGATAGCAATGGCATGGACATACAAAGACGTAAGTCGATGGGGGAAGAAGGGATCGGCGATGAAGCGAGTTGCATTGGGCAACTGAGCACTGATACAAATCTTGCGGACGGATTGGAATGCGCCTTCGGTCAAGGTAGGACAAAAGTCCACGATATCGGTAGAATCTCCCCTTCCGAACTCAACTGGCTGCCCCAGAGAGATGCTAAGCAGACAAGGCAACCTCGACAATTCCTCCACGATCCTGGTAGTTGTTCCGTACAGAGGAACAACGATGCTTTGAAGCTCGTGGAAATGGCGCAAGAGGGCTATGATCCTACTCTCGATATTCCTCATCGGACCCACGGCATACAACGTAAGATGAGTTAGCCGGGGCAAGCGTGACGCGAATAGCTGCAAGTAGGGCTCTGCGAGGGAATCGGAGTTATTAATTCGAAAGGCTAGGCGATTTATTCGTGGCTGCATGAAGAGAAGGGAATTGTTTTGCATCTCCTGGCTCCTCGCGTCCCACGTGAGAGACTGAAGGTTAGGACATACTGCAGCAGTTGGGCACGTCCTTTCGATCTCGGAAAATATAGTCTGGTCAAGGAGCCTCCTATGTGACTTGACTGACCGTTCCTCAAATGTGAGAACGCGGATTCTGTGTGAGTACCGTTCGAGCCGCCCCCAGTCATTCGCTGTGAGCAGTCGCTGGAATTTCTGGGATGGATTTGGAATAAGCGGGAGTAATAGCATGTAGAAAGTACTCACATAAGTCGTCAAGACATGTCCCTGAAAATGAGTAGTCTTATGCTTCACCAGACGACATAGTATATTTAAAACTCGAGAAATATCATCGACGCTTCGCCACAAGAGATCGAGAGCAATTTCAGCCCATCGTCTGTTTACGCGAGCACATCTAGCCAGAGATTTATTGTCCATAAATTTGAAGATGTTCGCAGTTAATTCGTTAATCTCCCAAGGGACGAACGCGGGTAACGAGGGCGAGTGCGACATGAGAGAGCCAGCGAGGGAGACTTGGATGCCGACAAGATTGGCCGGACACCTAAATAGGATTCACCGGCGGCCCGGCCGGGATCTCGATCAAATTCAAGTAAGATACCGGCCATTGCCGGAAATGTCCGGAGCTCTCATTGGTTTGCTCGAAGGGGTGCCGTAATTGCCGGAGCCGATGCCACCGGGGATCAACATCCGGTTCGGCGATTTTCTCAGCTCTCGAGCACCACTGGCAGGACCTAGGCGCAAAATTTACCAAGTTAACGATTTCAAACGTTCAGATGACAATTTACATTACCGTCTTGCCATCGTGTGAAGGGCGTGGAACGTTTCTTCATTAGCATTGTAGTCTTTTATCCGATACGACAAATGTTTCATCCTTGCCGGTTTGCAGCAGCGGGGCCGAGATAGCGGACCCGGAGGAAAACAGAAGAATTGCATTCAAATTGTATTCGCACCCTCAGGGAAGATCCAAATTGCGATGCTTTGCTTAATATATAAAAAGACCGCTCAAGTCGTTCGAAATAACCCTCATACAAGCCTAATCCAGATGTTGCTAATCAGAGAACTCCCGCCGTTCAAAACCCTTGATGGTTGTCGAATATTCAACAAGCTACCGACGTGACAGGACATAACTCGACCTGATGTCTTCTTGATGTAATTTCATCTGTTTATCTAACACGCTGAAACCACGCAGCGCCACCCTGCATTTGGTGGGTTCATGCATACCCCGATCCGTCATGAGATCGCAATCGCTTCTCTGTCCCTGCTGTATTAGTTCTCCGGCATTGCTTAGACGCGCGCATGATGCATATCATAGTTTACCGTTTCCAACATTGGTTCATCAGTCGGAATACTTAATACACCCACCAAAACAGGCACGCACAACATGTCTTGGGGCGAATATTACAACAGTGGGTTGAATACTAGGGATTACAACAGTACAAAAAACACTTAGATCAAACATACGTATCAACGTACACACTCACATCAACCGACAAGTAATCATAAAACCACACATGATCCGTCCAACTCGCTCGTCGGTAGCGACGCGCGTTCCTCAAGCAGCTTGCATCGCACCCTTAGATCCTCCACCTCCTCCTGCAGCGCTCGCCTGCGTTCGCGTTCCTCCATTCGGAGGTGCGTGAGAAGGGGAAGGAAGCGCCCAACCTCATTCCACTTCTCGTACCATTCGTTCGAGAGGCGCTGAATATCCTGCGCCATCGGGTGTCCGACCTGAACTACGCCAACTCCGTCGGGCCAGCTCACACCCGGTAAAATTTCACATCCTAATGGACATAGCTGGCTAAGGAAAAGCGCCACGGATGCTGGCTCGGAGATAGAGGAGACCCCGACGCACAACTTGACCAGTTCGCGGAACGGCTCAAGCGTCAAATGCAGTCCATTCTTGGTGGAAGCGAAAGAATTAGGATCCTCAATGGATCCTGAGAGATAGAGGCCGAGCTCGCGCAGCTTAGGACAATGTTGCGCAAAAGGGATCAGAGCTCGAAGAGTGAGCGGAGATGCTTCGCCCCCAATAAGCGGCATAGGTTCATTATTCAGGTAGAGTACTTCTAGAGACGGCCACCCGGCTGCAAGTTCTTCTATGTCTCCCTGAGATATATCCAGGGCGAGATCAAGACGCAGCTCGAATACAGAAAGTTGGTTGAAGGACAGAAGCGGGCGTAAATCTGCCCAACTCAGGCGATCAATAGCAGGAAGCGCAGAATTCTTGGGAACAAAAAGTTCAAGGTAGAGTTTCTTGAGCTGCTTGCATACTTCTGACACAGTAACCAAAAAGTCGGAGATGACAGATGGTTGAGTAGGGGTCAACATATGGATATACAGTGTGGTTAAATTTGTTGGAGCGTAGCTCCTGTTCAGGAGGCGTATCATGTCGGGAAGATCAGCACTGAGCGACAAATCCCAGAGATTCGGAAAGGCACCCTCCTGTAATACAGGAGAAAATGGCTGTACATCTCTCTCATCCCCTCTCCCTTGTTGCTCCATGTATTCAAACTGGATGGTTCCCAAGGAAGGGAGGATAGACAAGCCTTCAAACACTCTGCTTGAAAGGCAAAATAGAGGTAGAACCACGGTCTTCAGTTTTTCCAGCTTCTTGAATAGATTGACCAAGGACCCTTCAATGTTGCGTACGGGGAGTTCAAATGACAGATCGAGATGTGTGAGGAAAGGCATACGCTCGGCGATATCTTCGAAAAAGTCGAAGAGAAATTGCCCAGTGAATTTGGGGAGTTGAACCGAAAAGTGTCGGACAGTGGTGCTCATAAATAGGACTGAGGGTCGCAGCCGGTCACTGCGCCAGTGGAGAGTGTGAAGGTTTGGAACGATGCTCAGCGACGTACGAGACCGCGCCAACTCGTCAAAAACCGCCTGCCCAAGATATAATTCCGTGCGCATTGCTTCACCGCCTTCAGCGTGTGTCAACGTGCGCACTCTGCGAGCATAGCGCCCAAACCGCCTCCAATCATCCAAGTTCAACGTCCTGTCAAAATTCTAGATATATATGAGAGGAAGAAATCTACATTATTGCATATTTCGCACCTCGTATATACCATCACGCGTGGCATGAAGAGGTGCCAGCAATGAGAATAGCCGAGGGAGGTTATCGACTTTGCGCCACAGAAGATCGAGGCAAATTTCCGACCACCTCTTGCACACGAGAGCATTTCTGGCATTATCTCCCAAGTCGAGAAATTCAAGTATCAGCTCGATTATCTCTGGAATCTCCAATACGCGGTTCACAGTCGAGGCATATCCAAGTGGAGGAATCGATGCCATTGCAGTCACTCTGGGCCCAATTATCGACGGTAAACGAATTTGCGAAGTAGAAATTGACAGATAGCAATGAAGATTCAAGTGAGTATGCAGGAATCTTGAAGGTCAACCTCGGGTTCAACTTCAAACAGAGAAAGGAGCGATACGTACGCCCGGGCCGCTGCCACATACCAGATGACAAAGTTTCTTCCGGGCTCATCAAGTCATGTGACCTCTGAGTTCGCCCTTGGGCAACTTTGAACCTGGACCACGACCTGGGAAGTACTTCAAGTTATTATACTGGTTCTCGAGGCGCCTCATTCTTTAGGTAGTATACAAAAGCATTTCATTCATCGTGGATGGAAAAACTTGAGCGATATTCTTGTCAAAATAACAAGCTCGCTATCATGCTGCAGCCTCTCATAGCTGGCTAGTTGCACGTACTCCATGAAAATGCATAGACTGATCATGGGATAATTACAGCACGGAACCTGGCCGTGCTACGATGCTCGTACGCTTCATCGGATTTGTTCAGCGGGAATGTCTTGACCATCGCCTTGATCCCGTGCAGCTTCGAAAAGTTTACTGTATCTTCACAGTCCATTCCGGTACCATAGGGCCATCCTCGAATACTCAACCGTTGGGAGAGCATTGTGACTACGATAAAGTGAACCTTGATATCCGATACGAAAAACAGCAGAAAGGAGATCATCACTCACGAATGGGGACAGATATTGCCTTTGGAACCAGTGGGAGGACGACAAATTGGCCGTCAAATGTCAGTCCATCTATTAGGGTCGACATTCCTTCTGGATCTGGTGCGGTGCATAAGATTACGTGAGCACCTCCCATCGCTTTGAGGGCCGTCGCTTGCTCCGCTGCAGAGCCACTGATGAAGTCGTCCGCGCCAAGCTCCATGGCTAGTTCTTTCTTGTCCGCAGTTGAGGACAGTGCTACGGTCCGGAATCCCATGCGATGAGAAAACTGTATAGCGAGATGTCCAAGACCGCTGGACGGCAAAGTGTCATTGACATTGGGAAAATGATACAAAACTCCGGGCTTACCCTATGCCTTGGATAGCCACAAGACTGGGAATCGGAGCATGCATATTTCTGAGAGCATCTTCGTGGCGAAACGATGAGTAGCGTACACAGCAAGAACGTAGCTGGATGCGTACTGAAACAGGTGACTCCCGCGCATAACAATGGGGCTGCTTCCACAGGATCTATGTCCGTTGGTATCTTAGCAAGTGACTCCGAGCGTACAGTGGCATATTCCGCATAACCGCCGTCGGTCCCCACCCCTATAAGAGTCAGATATAGGGGCTGGCTAAGTTTCCTTTTTTCCTCACCATTAGCTTGCCCGACCATGGTCCTACAGGTGACGAAATCGCCCTTGCGGCAGCGGTCGCATGTTTTGCAATACCCAGCGAACCAGCCTGCACCAACTCTGTCGCCCACCTTCCAAGTGGTTTCACCCTGACCGATAGCCACAACATCACCAATTATCTCGTGCCCTGGCACACGCGGGAAGACAGTGGTAGGGAACCACTGGTCCTTTGTGACTTGATCGCTGAATAATAGACAGGTCAGCTAGTGAGACAGGTAAAGGATTCCCTTTGACCTTGCACAGACACCGCACGCTAAGACCCTGACTACGACACGGCCAGGCTCAGGGTTCTTCCAAGGGACTTGGATTTCACGCAAAGGCCCGCCACGTTCAAGAAAGGCGTATGCTGTGTACGTTTGAGGAGGTGTGAAGGCCATGGTGTTGGACTCAAACTGAGATCGTTATGTTCCAAATACTTTCACAATGACTCTTTATATATGCCCCAGAGGACGAGCGCATGCCCAGAATCGATGACCTCGTCCAAGCTCCTACTCCTATCCTGAGTCTTCGGACTCTCCCCGAACCTACCCCGAAGCGATATCTTCCGGTTTGCGGAAACTTCGCATCACCGAGACATGTTCCACGAGTCTCATGCGACGTCGACGGGGTTCGTTTTTGAGAGTTTGTACGTAGCTCCTGACTCGCTAGCTGACGGTGCGCACAGCGTCAACAGCACCGAGCACGCATAGAAAAGAACTTTTCTTGGAGTCTAGTTTACATCAATCTCTATTACTTACGCACCGTTGAAACAGTGGTACCTCACCCTGGTGACATGATAACTCCTATACGTAGTGCATACAAGATCACATCGTAGGTATATGCACCAGCGCGGTTGGCATCGCAAAATAGGCCTGATAACAAGCAATAGACGATGAGCGGGAGTATATAACTGAAGGGGATCCGTTTTTGAAGGGGATCCGTTTTTCAAACCCTTCCCAAAGTGCCTGCCGGATCAGTGAATTCGCCCACAGGTACCCGGGCTCCCCAAACATGTACTTCTAGATTTGAACGGCGTATCCATCACGCCAAGACTTGGTCCACCCTATTATAAATGTTGCTAGCTACGCCAATCGATATGGATAAGGATTTGAATGTAGACTCAAAAGGCACGCTTGCGATTCAGTTGTACGGTTTCCGCGTCGAAAGTACCACAAGCGAGAGAGAGCGGTCGTCTCTCAAGGCTACGAGAATCGCCGACGCACCGTTCACAGCCGTGGGGCGCATGTTGAATGCTCTATGAGCTGAAGGGCCCTCGCGTAGGCAGCGCTTCAAACAATGCCTAATTCACTCAATTCGCTAACGAAGGCGGCGTCAGCTTAATTCAGGCTCGTAAGCTAGAGAAGTGGATAAACGTGCAACCTTACGGCAGGTGTAGCACAGCTTCCACCGCTATCCCGTGTAGGTTGAAAAAGTCTGACTACTGGACTTGCGTAGTTGACCCATGGAATCATGAATCCGTGGTTTGCCATCTGAGTTCTATAGAACCGTCCATACAAATCCGCGCTCCGAACACTGGTACATACAGTGGTAACAACTCGATCCCGGACCCGGTACAACAATCTGTACGGCCATCGAATGTGTGCACATCGGGTGATCAGGTTTGACTAGTTGGTGATATAGAATATCATGGAATTGCATAGCCAGGTAGTAAACCGGTGCCATAACTTATGGGACCTGCATTCTCAACTGGATCCAGGAAGACATTTTTCAAGACAAAATTAGATAGAAATGCAGAGGGCCCGAGAAACAGCGGAGATATCAACGCCCGCGACAGCGCGCTAACCAACTGTATCCTCAGTCACAGTATAAAATCTTTAGCCAATACCCTTAGACGTAGCTCTCATTGTTTTCCATGCGCTCCCCACATATTCACTGACCCTGTAACCCTTGGCAGATCTCAATGGACAAGATGCAGACTTCGAATAGAAAAGTCTCACATGCAAATTATGAGAGCACATCGTTCGCGTGCACTGAAAGCACGTTTTTGTGGGGATTAATGTATGGTTGGGACGCCGCAAGGCGGATGCGCCGCTCTTTCTTTTTGTTCTGTCTCTGTTCTCGCGTGCGGGCAGGTGCGGGCTGCGGGCCCTGAGCTTGAGATTCAGTGTATGAGGGGTCCGATACAGTGCCTGCTATGAGTGGACGATCCACAGCGATCTCTCCTTCCTCGAAGACATCAGTGGTATGCTGAGTAGCATTTGCAGCGTTTTCAAAGCCCGACATGCTGTGAGTTGCCATGGAGTTCAAGGTGATAGGATCGCGAAATCTAAGCAGCGCTGAAAGGTGCGTATGAACGGCGAAAGATAATGCACTCTCGTCAATGTCTGCACGTTCATCGGATGACGCTGTTCCAGATACAACACTTGCAGCTAGAGACATCAACTGTGTCAACATAGTTGAATACCATGGGTCGACCGAGGAAAAGGCGCACCTGCATTCACCACCACCGCCGGGATATTCACGCAAGACGGGCTTAAAATGCAGACGGAGCTGCGATTTTTGGACCTTGGTGGATGACTCTCACCAATCATTTGAGTGAATACGTAGACGGATTAGAACGAGGGAAATGTCTGGGGAAAACATTGAACAAGCTTCTAAGCTATGCTCTGGTTACGTTCAAAGTCACCGTTGTGTGACTGAAGCCAGCCACGTCACTACGGATCTCAACCACGTGGACGTGACGCTACGCGACACCATGACGAGAGTCTGCACTGTGACTGTGAGGCTCAGGTTGGCACCCAGTACCGGTGCAATGCATCTCCCAAATGTTGAGTCTTTTTACAACACGTTGCTAGTCTCCACTTCGGTCTCTGTATCCAGCCATCGCAAAACGTAAGCCGAAGGGTCCCGCTCTTTAGCTTACATTCTGCGGCAACGCTGTTCGCATGATCAGGCTTTCAGGGCGAGGATGAAACGCGTCGAGGTCAAACAAGCGGTACTTTGCTCAATCACACCGCTGGATTGAACTCGGCGCGTTTCATCTTTGTTTGATCCTTATATCGAGGCACACCCGGAGCACCTCGTGGTTGTTGTCCCCGCCAAACTGCACATAAGTACGAGGCTCGCTGCTGCAAGCGCTCGAGCTTTCAGCGTCTACGCAACATGTCCACCTCAGACCTTGATCCTTTATCCATTGCCAATGAATGGCTTCAGCGCCTCAGCATCGCTGGAGAAAGCAAAGATGTTCAGGCATTCGTCGACCTCTTTGTGCCTAACGGCTGGCTCAGAGGTCAGTTCCTTTTTGTCTTTATCGCGCGAGCGTGTTCACATGCCTTTGCAGATTTCCTCTGCTTTTCTTGGGATTTCAGATCGCTTGCAGACCACTCAAAGATTGCTGCTTATCTCTCAGAGAAAGTTGAGAACGGGACGCGTTTCTCAGAAGCAGGCCTACATGACATCAAATTGGAGACCACGTCAACCCTCGGCGGTCCGAGTGTCTTCCCCCTTCCGCTTGATCCAACCTCAAATGGCGTTCAAGCCACGTTCGAATTCTCCCTTCTGTCTCCTCCTCGCAGAGGTCGTGGCTTTGTCCGGCTTGTGCACGGCCCAGATGCGCAATGGAGGGCTTTCACTCTGTTTACGAGTCTTGAAGACATCAAGGGTCACGAAGAGCCTCGCGGACGTCCACTGGGTATATATCCCGAACTTGCTACATGGGAGGAGGTTCGTGCCGCGAATGCGTCGACGATTGAGAGTGATCCCACAGTTCTCGTTGGTATGTCTACGCACTTTTGGAAGTACCGAAGGTCATAGCGTCGCTAATGTCCGATATGTGGTGCTAGTCGGTGGAGGCCAGACCGGCCTCCAGTGCGCAGCCAGGCTAGGACGTTTGGGGATTCGAGCCCTTGTGGTAGACAAAAACGCTCGTATTGGAGATCCATGGAGAAATCGGTAGGGTTCGACACTTTGCTTCATTTTTGCCCTGCCTGAACTTGTCCTTCCGTTGCAGATATTCCAGTCTTACGCTTCATAACTCAGCAATCTACTGCGCCTGTAAGCATCTTGTGTTTATGTACTGGAAGTATACTTACTCATGCATTCGTTAGTTGCCTATCAGCAGTGGCCGTAAGTTGTTATTTCTATTCAATCCGCGACACAACATCTCACTAGTGCTAGTGACACGTATCCACAATACATACCTAAGGAGAAGGTGGCAGATTTCGTGGAGGCATACGCGATATTTCAAGAGTTAACAATATGGACATCAAGTATCGTCCTCCCTACACCCACCTATGACCCCATCACCAAGAGATGGACAGTCACGATCGAGCGCAAAGGCGAGGAAATCACTCTGACTCCGAAGCATATCATCATGTGCACCGGCACCACCGGGAAACCATATGTACCAGAAATGAGGGACGTGAATAAGTTTAAGGGCATTATCTATCACTCAGACCGACACGATAGCGGTGCGCAGCTGAAGGGAAAGCGCGTTGTTGTAGTCGGCGCGGTACATCTCAGTGGTGACAAAATTGGTGTCCGCGAACTGACTTTGCGCACAGTGCAACGCCGGCCATGATATTTGCGCTGATGCCGTAGCCAAAGGCGCACAGAGCGTGAGTACAGTCTGTCACAATATACGACGTTAATTGTAATCGGCTTGTCGAGCAGGTTACAATGCTGCAGCGTAGTGCCACGTGTGTGGCGTCTGTACATACAATTAACAAGGCTCTCGGCGACATGGGTTATAACGAGAAGCTCGCCATCGACGACGCTGATTTTGCAAGTCAGTCTTTGCCACAATTGCTCACTTTGCAGGTGTCCGCCGGCGGTGTCACAGCGCAGATCAAAGAGGCTGATCGGAAGATGCTCGAAGGCCTGGAGAAGGCTGGGTTTCGTTTAAATTGGGAGCTAACACCTGGAGGCGGAGAGGTTGGTTTATTAGGCTTCTATTTAGCCCGGGCCGCGTCGGGTTCAAGTAGGTCCATTTGTATGGTGTCGTTGGCATTAAACAGACCCCTAAACTTCTGCAGTGGTGGACATGGGATGTGCACAGCTCATCATTGACGGCAAAGTCAAGGTGAGTTAATCCTTCATCGTTTCCGCGATCTTTATCGGTATTTTAGCTTATATCGTCCCCTTTTCTGTAGGTGGAGCATGGTGAGATCAATAGCTATGAGAGCGACGGGGTTGTTCTCGGGGATGGTTCGAAGCTTCCGGCAGATGCTGTTGTCTTCGCGTACGTCTCACACGATCTACCGTTTGTATCTGGTTGCTTATAAGGTACACACTTTATAGCACCGGATATCACCCGCCCATTAACAATTTGACTGCAATATTTGGTGACGAGATCACGAATAAGATTGGGCAGCGCGTATGGGGAATGGACGATGAAGGCGAGATGATGAAGGCTTATCGCCCGACAGGCCAGGAGGGCCTTTGGATAGGGATGGGAGCATTCGTGTTCGCTCGCTTCCATAGCAAATACCTGGTATTGATTCCACTCCGTATTCAATTCGAATCTGCGATACTAATTCGACCATGCAGGCTCTCCAGATCCTCGCCCAGGAGCTGGGTCAAAGTAAATAAGATGACAGAAAACTTTTGCACTAGATAATATAAATCGAGTTGCTGTATTTATCATAATGTTAACGAGGCTCCAAGCTTACTGTTTTATGTGTTGGCCATATAGTCGTGCGCGAGTAAATAGTACAAGCACTACATTGTCCTATTCATCTATGACTGGTATATTTCGGTAAACGTATGTATGAATGCTACCTGATCACGTACGCTGCTAAAAGTCAGGCGCGGCCGAACCGAAATACCCTTTCCGTGGTGCACGGCGGAAGCTATCGTGGACTGTGATCAAGCCGACATGAATGCGACCAGTCAATGTGCACTCGTATATTATATGATACTTGTATTATCCGGGACAAGTTCATGTATTCTCGGCAACCGTAGTCGGTAGATTGCAATATCAACTCGTGCATCCACGCCATTCGCAAATATCATCCTGCAGAACATCCGGGCGATGAAGCTTCGCGGATCTGGAGAGTATAGATTTTCTACACGAGCAAACCATATTCTTTGGATCTTTGGCTGTGGTGCTCATTCATCAGTGACGACGATCCATGGCGCTCGAAGTATCTGCGATAAACCCTGCTCTGGTTGAAGAGCTGGAGAACACAATTGAGATGAACTCGGATAAACATGCGTGACCTGTGTACTAGTATCTCTCATCTTGCTAGCAAGCAGGAAATATGTTTGTTTTCACTTTGTGCTTGCAATATCTAGTACAATTTGGGTTTCCTCCTTTCCTCCATCTTAATCCTTCGAGTGAAGGTTCTTGTAGTAAGTAATTACAGGTGGCTGTGACATGGCTGTATCAGGCTACAAAGGTAGATATAGTATAGCACCTTGGCGTACCTTAACGAGGAAGTCTCCTGATACGGCGATGAAAGCCTTGAAAGTATCGGACTGGTTGTGCCTATTGTGAAGGGTGAGCCAAGACGCAACACATTACATAGAGACTGGTGCAGCATACTTGTCCAAAGCCTCTGCATCAACATATCTAGACAAACTGTATGTCAGTGACCGCTTCACTGGGACCGCAATAGTACTCGCTTACCTTTCCCACACAAAAAGCCTGTCCTCGAACCTAGCCCAAGAATACTCAAGTGTTCCTGGCTCGTTCGCATCCACGGCTGATTTCAACTTGTCCGCCCATTCTATCAGTTCAGTCATCTTTTCGGGCTTGCCGTAGATCTAGTCGATTAAATTTCCCCGGTCCGGATCATTGTCGCCTATGAGTGGAGCATGCTCATCTAAGTGTTCGAGTAGCTACGAACCTCAGCAAAGAGCACTATTTCGCCCTTGATGTCTTTGTAGGAGGAGCTCATGATGGGAATTCGAAAGGTGTATGAAGCCCGAGAGCTGCAGTGGGAGCGAGCTTATAAACGCTTCGACCAAAATTCACACTCGGGGTTATGTATCCATCAGATATGTTCGCCGACTCATTCGGGCAGTCGATTGCGTCAGTGCCGCACACTGCTGGGCCGTCCCTACTCAAGATATAGTAGCGTATGCCGGCGACCCAAAGCAGTGCCTCAATCCCATCAGGGTCAGCTGAGAACCAACGGTTCATAGCGTGACCGTCATTTGCCAAACGACAGCTCAACTCTGAGTGTTGAATTTCTGCGCTGGTAGGGCCAAAGTGAGCGTCGAAAGATGTTCATATCCAGACATCTAATTGCAATAGCGTTTCCGGTGTTCGGAGTCAGTGGTGACATTGCCGATCTTTTGCTTGCAAAGCCCGAGATATCGGAAGACCACGGAAGACCTAACGGTCGCTATTACTACTGCAGTCCTTTTTTCTGGACATAAGATTATCAGCACTTCATTGGAGTAGTCTGGTGATCAAATAACATATAAATACCTTACTGAAACGACTGATTGTCCATGAGTGTGAATACAGATTCATACTGGCATATAAATGTCGTAAGCCACGATGCTGCGAGGTGAGACTAGAAAGGCGTATATCCCTGGTCGCTACTCACATGTGGCAAGCATCGACAAGCCCGTACCAACGTGACTCACCATTATCGGGCTCTTTTTGAGGGTTCTTGGCCTTCATGTCTTCCTGTGCCTCTGCGACCTCTACCACTACCATGCCCTTCCCTCTCAGCACGATCATCATGTCCCAGTTTTGCGCTATCACTTCCAGATCGTTCCCGCTTCCCAGATCTCTGCGTATGTTTACCAGGAATTCGCCTTGCTGCATCTGTGTGCTCTGTATGCGCGTTGCGCTGAAACTCGTCAAGTGCCGTTGGCGCGGTGTCCGTGGGCAGCGTATGCTCCTCTGTCACCTCCTGACCGTTATGTCGGTCGGAAACGCGCTCGCCAGTTTCAACAGATGTAGTCTCCACATTCTGCCGCTTACCCGCGCGTTGTTCGTGGCGGGGGGCGTCCTCCGCTTCCGTGCGGGTGCTATGCGAACGACGCTCGCTGATCTCCGAAGGAGGCGAAGACACAGACGGAGCGGGGTTAGGCTCAAGGACGATGTACATAAAATCCCATGCAGCTTGCACGCGCGCGCGGCGATTAGGAGGCGCCCAGGCGTGCAGGGCCTGGCGTTCAATTTCGTGCAGACACGCGAGGCGAAATTTGTCCGCGGGGCTGCGTGAGGGATGCGCTGGTGCAGGGAACCTACCATCAGGATAACAGTACGAGCAAAGGGAAAACAGACAAGCGATAATGAGTCGTTAGTGGATAGAGGATATATAGTCTACGTACCGCGAGCCGATATGGTTTAACACAAGCCTTTCTGCGCCGATCCTTCGCGCAAATGTACCAGCCATTGCCGGAGTACTATGTCCTCGATCGCGCGCTTTCGCCTCAACGCTCTCAGCAGTGCGCTTTCTCCCGGTCCGCTCCTGTGGGTCTATCGACGAAGGAATATACGCGTCGGTGGCTTCGTGTATCAGAAGCGTCACAGGACTGGGGGTAGCTGGTATACCATCGTCGGTCTTCGTCTCAGCGCTGTTGTATTTTTGAGATGCACCTGCGGTACTTGTACTGGATTCACTGGACTCTAAAGCGGGACGCTCAGGACCAATGGTGTCGATTAAGGGGATGAGTGTGGAAGGGTCAGAAGTATCTCCGAGGATAACAATCTTACGCGGAACAGGCGCGTCCGGGAGAGACGGGTGGTTGGGAATCTCGCGAATGACATATCCGATGCAAGGGTCTGAATAAAGAGCAGATATGCTTCAGCATGACTCGCAAAAGCACGCTGACAGACGAGAAAATGGTGGAGCAGCGGAAGCAATATGCATGCGAACTAGACGTCAAGTGGCAAGGTGATTAGCATTGCTATCCTCCCCACGAATTATTTCCACAAAACAAATGGGCCTCTCGGGACTCGATAAATCCAGCGGAAATTTCCCCAAAAAAAAAGGGCCCATATTTAGTAAGAAGAAATGTTCTGCAGAAGTGAACAGGCATATAACAACACGAACCTCGATGTTCAATTGGTCCTGCATCAACAACGATCTTACCACCACTTCTTTTCCCGCCAACAGTGTTCACGACAGCGACTGTACGCCAAAATCCATGCGCGTCGCACGGAATGTCCTTTCCTGGCGCCTCGTTCTCAAGCAACATGTCCTCATCTCTCACGATTTCACTTGTTTCTTCGCTTATACCTTCCTCTTCGGCCTTGATCCTCTCAGAACTAGCGATACCGGAAGAAGGCAACGTGCCCGGGACGGATGGCCGCTCTTCGGACCGGAGAAGCTCGTGTACGACATAACGAAATTCGGTGTGAGTGTGCGTGAGGAGAAACTGCACGCGAAGAAAGCGGCGTAGGCCACGCGGGCCATAGATTTCGAGACGGGGTGGGTCTGAAGAGGAAGCTGACGGCGACGAAGACTGAGAGCGTGCGGAAGGAGGCTTGGGGATGCCAAGAATATTACGTAGGAGATTGAGGAGGCCGGCAGTGTGATCCGCTAATTGTTGAACAATGTCAGCTGAGAATTGCGCATACGAAGAGCAGAAAGGAATAATGGGAGATGGATGTAGTGCGGGCCTAGTATCTCAAGAAAAATAGATACGGAAGTAGGAACAAATGTCGGAGAAAAGAGATCGATTGCGCTTCAAACGAACAGACGAAGATCATCGCAGGAAGATAAACGTAGAGTAAGCAAGATACTCGCTCGGACACCCTTCGGCAAATTGTGAAATCCAGAGGGTAGATGTTCAGCCCGTGGGTATGATTGCAGAGTATGCAACCAAGACAGTTTTCGGAAAAGTAGATTGGCTGAGCGGTTGGCGTCTTCAGGCTCGCAATTGACCACAGGTCAATGTACCACGAAAGATTGCTGTAAAAATCCCCATACATGTATGGATGATCTCTACATCCTTGAAAACGAACATCGCCGAAAATTACCGGTCAATGGCAGCCTCATCTTCATAACCAGTATAGGGTTCCATCTAGTCTCTGGTGCCAAGTGAAAGTGAAACCCGGTTGTCTCGAGCCGGGGTGAAGCGTGTGATAATACATACAACGCCGCATGGGATACGCACGGGAACCCCCAGTAGCCAGGGGTGCAATCAAGTAATAGTATCCCAGACTGAAGAGAGACGCAACATATGTGGATTATGGCTCACCGTGCATGTGGGTAATGAAGATTTTTGATAATTTGCCTATTTTGAGACGACGAGCATGGTCATGATACGGTTGTTGGGAGAACTGTCTGAGGGTACCCTCTGCACAGTCAACCACTGCAAGAGGTATTGAGCTAGAATTTATGACTTGAACGAGAACATTGAAGAGAAAGGGACATATGTCCGACCCTCGTTCCGACAACAGCTGCAGATCGTTTCTGGGGAGAGGCCCTTTAATTCTCAATATTTTCAAGACCATCAACGAGCATGAGAATGTGGCGCCATGACTGCTCTAATTGGTTGGTAATCGGCGCTAACCACCCAGGGGTAACGGGCCGGTTCAAACAGCACCCCAGACGAGCAGTATGAGGGCGGAGCGTCATAGCGCGCCAGGTGCGATATCACAGCACAACAGTCTAATGTAACGCACTCCATAGTGAGCCATCTCCGAGGGGGTCTATCACAAGACTTGAGCAATTACGGGTTTCGGAAGGGCCGCCACCACTCGTAGTGCCTAGGAAGGTGACAGCAATTTTGTGGGACATGGTTGGGCTCCTAGACGGATATGAGGAGCTCATCCTTGTTGTGGGAAGTGATGAGACAAATCTGAGTATGGAGGATGGGGAACGAATGCGGGAAAGTCGAGGATGGAAGGGGAGGAACATGCGCGTTCAGAGTCGAAAGGCGTAGTGGCGCGTAGACGCCGGTACCGTTTCCCTAAACAAGTAAAGCGCGATCACTACAATTTCAATGGGCCCTTGTCGCCGTTACGACTCGCGAGGGCCGAATCCCATCCTCCTTACTCTACCTCCAGGAGTTTCTCACTGCAAATTCTCGTCCTAAGCCTCATAAAATGGCCCCTAAGACAGAGACAGAGCCACGGCCACTACGACTCAGTTCCATGTGAATGAATGTCAAAATTAATCATTGAGGTAGGCATTACACGCGACATATCTCACGGATCCAAGATGCGCTTAAACTCGGCTGCTGCACTACTTAGGGCGGTCTTGATGCGCTTATGGCACCGGTGAGCACGGCAAAAAGAACAAATCTGGGGGAGCTAGTTGGAGAGCGACAGCCACATATTCCCCACGGGACCACCCCGCACTCGGCTACTAGAGCGATCCGCCTTGTCCATCATCGTGCGAGCTCCCAGACGCTTCAGAAAAAGTCACCACGTACCGATATCCCTTCCGGCTATCCGTGAACCAGCCACATGATCACCATGCTCCCCTCTACCTCTTGCTCTCCTTATAAAGTGTGACCCTCGCGAGCGTCATTCACGCCTAGTCGTCCCCCGTTCTCTCTTGTCTCGAGTTCTGTTCGGTCTCTTTCGATTTATCCATCATGCATCTTGTCACTAAGGTCGGGCTCGATAGCCTGCGGGGTGCCGCTCTCATCACTGTTCTCACCTCTGTGTGTTCTACCGGCTTCTGTCTATTCGGCTACGACCAGGGTGTTATGTCCGGGGTTGTTATTTCCAGCTTCTGGCTGGAGCAGATGGGCAATCCCAGCACAATCATGGTCAGCACAATCACCGCTCTCTACGACGTTGGCGCTATCTTTGGTGCCATCTTTGCCGCCTTCACCTCTGAGCCACTCGGTCGCAAGCGCACCCTCATCTTTGGGGCAATTATCTTGCTCATTGGTACCATCTTGATGGGCTCGTGTGTGGAGCGCATCCAGATGATGATTGCTCGTATCATCACTGGCATTGGTGAGCATCTCGCCATCTTGCGCCTTCTATCTAAGAGACTCACCAGCCTTGTCCAGGCATTGGTTACATAACATCTGGTTCGTGCACTCGTCTTGGCCTTCTTCGAAGATAGCGGATAAACCTCGCTGACATCTTTCCATTTCCCCCTAGTGACACCAGTGTATCAGAGCGAGATCACGCTGCCGGAGCATCGTGGCTGGCAGGTTTGCTGTCAGCTCACGAGCATGCTCTTCGGGCTCATGCTCGCTTACTGGATAAACTACGGCTTGTACTTCCAGAATAGCGCAGTGCAATGGCGCTTCCCGCTTCTCTTCCAGTGCGTTTTCGCCATATACGTGATTGTCGTCACTATGTGGATGCCGGAGACGCCACGATGGCTCATGCGTCACGACCCCACTCCCGACCGTGGCATCTTAGTACTGGCACACCTGAGGAACTTGCCGATCGATCATCCAATCATCGTCAAGGAAGCAAAAGAAATCCTTGATGCCATTGAGCTCGAGAGTAAGGAGGAAGGCTCGTGGAGGGACCTGTTCAGAGACAACGGCATTATGGGACATAGGCGCTTCTACCTCGCTCTCGGAATACAGTTCATGCAGCAAATGACGGGTAAGTTTTGTGCTGGTGAAAATCAATACCCACGGTGAGCTGATTACTGAGTTAGGTATCAACATTGTGACGTACTATGCCCCGACGCTCTTCAAGGAGTCTCTCGGAATGACTCAAGAAATGTCTCTCTTCCTCGGCTGTTGGCTGCAGGTTTGGTATCTCCTTGCGTCCTTCGTTACCGTAAGTCATATGGTCTTTGAGGGACCCTCCTTCTATTGGTAATTGCGTTTGCCTCTTTAGTGGTTCACGATCGACCGCATCGGACGCCGGAAGTTGCTCATTAGCATGGCTATTGGGCAGATGATTGTGCTGGCGATTGAGGCTGCCTGCGTCAAAGTGAACAATCCTCGCGCAAGCATTGCTGCTGTCTTCTTCATCTTCGCGTACGAGACCTGTTTCACATGGGGTACGTCTCCCGAGTCGCATTCATCGCAGAATGTTACGGCTGACAGTGTACTACGATCGGCGATCAGGTTGGATGGGCACCGTATGGGTGTACCCAGCGGAGATCCTCCCGCTCAAGATTCGCGCCAAGGGCGCCGCCCTCGCTGCGGCGGCCGATTTCCTCGGGAACTTCCTTGTACGTTCGCACCTACAGTAACCCACGCTCCCAAATTGGCTTACTTTATTCTTAGGTTGTCGAGATCACCCCTCCCGCGCTGCAAAATATCGGCTGGAAGACATACCTCATCTTCGCTGTTTTCAATATCGTTATAGGAGCCATTGTGTGGGCGTTCTACCCCGAGACCGCAAACCAGACGCTCGAATCCATCGATGAACTGTTCCATCATGCAGAAAAGGAGGAGGTACAGAGTTCTGGCGCCTCCTTTATACAGTGGTCGATGATTCCCAAGGCTGCGGAGGCACGCAAGCGTGCTCGGGCGGCGCGCAAGGTTGAACTAGAAAGTGCTGCAAGGGAGGAGGGTGGTACTCCCGATTCGCATCATCATAGCGAATCAATAAGCGTACAGGAGAAAGAGAAGGGAAGCGGTCAGGAGTACATCGAGGCCGTCGAAAAGCGATGATTGCGTGGGTCCGCACGATGTAGCTGCGGCGATGCCGCCGCTCAATGCCTTCCACGAGATGACTTTCCTACCTAAGGTGACATGTAACCATTAGATGAATGCTGTATTATAGTTGTTACCTAGTGTGAGTATCGTACACAGTATTGCACCATTATTGTCGTTAGCAGCCAGGAATCGGACTGTAGTCGAGTTGTTTCGTATACGCTTCACTTTAAGTGCACTGGAAGAAAGGACGTGAGGATGATTCATGTCTTCAGTTATGCCAGATAGTCAACACAAGGCGAGTTATGCGGTATATATCCTCCTCGATTTCGGGCAGAGTCGACCTCTTTAGTATTTGTGGGACTCCGTCCATCAAGACAACGCGAACGTTCACTACGACGGACTTGAAACTTGAACGTAGAATCAGTTCCCGGGTGTAGAGTCGCGAGGCGCCAGAGTTGAAGTTACATTCAAATCACTCTATTGTGTTATTGTCAGCTTGTACGCGAGCCACCTGCGGGAGAACTGGAGGATGAGATGTTGAATCCAAAGTAACTCCTACAAGACAACAACCAAGTCTATATCGGATTAGGGTTAATTTACCTCCGGAATTTGCCGCTCTAGATTAGGAACCGCCCGGGCCACCAGCGCACCGTTGACTCGACTCAACTCCCAACTTGCTGAACGCGAACATAGCACCATCGACCTTGACTGGGCGGTGGGAAATCTGATCCTTTGGAGAACTACTAATATTTGTGCATGTAAATGGATAGCGCAGAATTTCACGCAGCGGTGAGCCCTTCAAGTAATGTCTCGTAATATAATACTTAATGCTCGTTATTGACGACAGGTATATCACGTCGTCCGCCAAATTCCCCCACAGCATGTCACGTCCTATGGTAATGAAATAATCCCCAGCGTACATGATCGAACTCAGTATAGCTGGATCCCCAGGTCACATCGCAAAACTCGTTGGGATGCCGAATTATTCTCGCCACGTCGGGCAAGGTACGTCGAGTCAGACACAGGCTCTGACATTCAGATAACTCTTCGTCATCCATCAAATCGTAATTAGCGCTAAAATTCGTTTCCCCTGATGTGAACCCACCCATTCCTTGGTACCGCGTCCTCGCAGCGTCGGGGACCATCTCTTCTCGCGGGCCCGGAACGGATGGTGCAAACCGACAACGACAAGAGCTCGAGGCGGAAGGTATCGAAGTGACCGCTGGACGCACTGGTGAGATGCGAGTAGACCTGCGTCGATATGGCTGGTTTCCCGCCATTGGAACCGTGGATACTGGCGAAGCTGCGCGAGAGAACGAAGATGAGCATCACGATGGCACGAATGCCGATGCGATTCAGCAAAATTGAGCGACTTGTGTTGATGGCCTGTGCTCTTTGATATGTGACTCGGAGATCTTGGCCGCTGAACTAGCAGCTATGGAGAGCCATCATGTTGGAGCGCTTCAATTATCAGATTTAATTCACTTTCTGAATGAACTTGGGATGCTTCACCAATCTGTGTTCCTTGATTCGGCTGTAGCACCATCTGTTCTGGTGAGTGAACAAAATATCATAGAAAGATGTGAAGTCTAGTAGTCATTTGATGTGTGGTGTTGCTACTCCCGCAGCATCAGTACTATTGAAATGACTGAGGTACGCATATGATCAATCATGAGCTATAATCATAAGTGCATTGCATCGTGTAATCCACCAATTCCTTCACATCGAGATACTGACTCCTTGCACTTTGCTGTACGCAGGCAGGTTGTTGGTCGGCAAGGCAACACAGGGGATGGCGCTCAAGCTGCGGAGAATGGATATCGATTATGATTTTAGTCCTTCGAAGTTTTAAAGACGCTACCAGACCTTACCGGACCTGTGTACGCCTCCAAATCACCTTTCCCATCGTTATCAGCATCACCATGTCGAACGTCCGCCACATTCTTGGAGCTGTTGTCATCCATGAATCCAATCTGGCCAGTCTGAAAGGGACGACCCTTGATATATCTGCGAAAGCAACCCCCTGCAGGTACCGCCTCGTTGATTGTGCACAATTCACCCAACATCAGACCCTGCGCATTTATGAGCTCCCCGAATTCCCTCAAATACACTATTCCGCGGTCTCGTACGTCTGGCGGGGATTGCCTGTAGACCCGGTTGATGCGGCTGGGAGAGAGGGGGTTACATTCGAGGTGAAGGGTGCTGGTGATGCTGACCCGACAAACATTGATGTCCTCCATCACGTCTGTACTGCCGCCCTTCTGCTTCAGGCAGATTACTTGTGGTTCGACAAATTGTGCCTTCTCCAAACCAGCGATGAGGACAAAGCTTGGCAGATCAGCAGGATGCACCTCATTTATCAGTCTGCCCATGTCTGCTTCGTCCTTCCTGGAGGGATTGGTCGCTTAGCAAGCCTGGAGGAGGAGACGACTTGGATCCATCGCGCTTGGACGCTGCAGGAAGTAATGCTCCCTAAACGTACTATGGTCTTGTATTCCTGGAAACTGGGATCAGGATTTTGGGAACCATCTGGACTGCCCCCCTGTGAAGTAATTGAAGTTGTCCCCCAGAAGTCGGCCGTATCCTCAGTGCTCGGCATTTTGCATGGTTCCATCAGCGGGCTCAATCCAGGACATTTTGTGAGAGGGCAGGCTCCCGGCGAGAACTACCCCATCATTTTCCGCAATGTCGACCCCTGCGCACCAGCGGTGAAGCGGTCCGCGCAATCGCAGCTCATCGCGCTCATCGCGGTGATGGAGCTCGAAGAACCCGAGGCGCGTGCGCAGGCGCTCTGGCGGAGTGCGCTGACGCGCACCTCCGCACGCCCCGTCGACATGGTGTTCAGCATCATGGGTCTGTTTGGCGTCGTGCTCGATACAAGTGGGTTTCACCAGGACGATCGGCTCGGCGCGACAATCGCCCTCGCGCAGGCGATCCTACGCCGGGGTAGCACGGCGAGCTGGCTCGGAGTGTCCTTCTATCTTGCGCCGTGCAGGCAGCTGTCTTCGTTTCCCGAGTTCCCGGAGACGAGCTTGGAGGGGCGAGCGTACGTGAGGACAGAGAATGGCCTTGCTGAAGTTGGGGATTTGATGAATGAGTTCTATGAGGCCGGATGGTGGCTATCCGGTGTGCCAACTGGTACGATGGACGATACAGGCTATCTGTTTTTCTCTGCGAAGGCGTTCCCCATTTACCCTACGGACGAGCAACAGGAGGCGTTCGAGGGTGGTGTCGACAATATGTCTGTCACACCACGGATCGTTGCGCTAGGTGGCGCAATCTGGGAGCTCGGCCTCCGAGAGCAGTCGGGCGCTGCGCGGTACATCGTACTCCTGGGGATGCAACATCCGTTCTCTTTGCAAGGAATGCCTCGGTGGCACGCTGGATGGTCGATACGAGCTATGATTGTAGAAGAACACGCCCCAGGGCGATACCACCGTACATCTTGTTGTATGCTTGGCGACATCTACAAGCCGCTCGTGGAGACTTGGGCCACTCGTTTGTTTGCGCTTGGCGGGCCTTTTCCAAGGCATGGATCCTAGCTAGAGAGCATATTTACCTGGCGCCCAGTAGTGTACGTTACCTTGATGATAAGAAAAACTCCAGAGTATTTCTTAACTTACCTGCGTAGGCATCGCTCCCTCAACATAAGTCGTTTATCGCCCCACATCTTGTTGGAAGATACATCTGTTTGCTCATGTTTGAATCCCGGAGACCATGGTCAGTGCCGCTGCATGCACTTAAAGACAGGTGTCATAAATGAGTTAATTCTTCAGCGAGACTACGCTAATAAGCCAAGCGAAAACGTTGATGCGCCTACAGACCGCCAGAGAGACCACGACAACTCGTCGCGCCAGCGCCGGAGTCCAGTGGGAGGGGCTGACGCAGCCTCCACAAAGGCAGTGACCACAACCGTGACAGACGACCGTGCGCGAACTCGAGGCAGATCGCAACACCGGCATCTTCCTCCCCTTCGTTCGGTCAGTCAGCTGTACTTAATATACGCAGGTATCCCACACCGAGGGGTAACTGACATCTCTGTTTGCTTGATGATCGTCCAACAGACCCGAAACTTGATCTCGCGGGGACGGCGGGGCGTCCTCGGGGAACATTGACAGGTCCTGTGCCCATTGCCTCTGCGCCACAGCCTGTTCGCCTTGGTGTGTCCATCGACGTCTCGTGCGAGGGGTCACACAAATGACGAACTGTCAGCCAATGTCCGCTGACCGGGGCGCCCTAGTTCTCGGTGCAGGATGCTGCTCTTGATGCAGTTGTAATTTCTCGACTTGACAGCACGCGACAAGATGGCGCTTGTGCTGAGGGATCACCAGCGTTATGTTGCGACAGCTGTAGAATGGTCAGATTAGGCCGACATCTCTATCAGATCCCCGGGGAACGAGTCCGTTCAGAACGGCTCATGGAGGCTCGAGCGTTCGGGACACCCCATAGCAATACCCCCAATGGACCCTTGATAACTGAGCCAAGGAGCCAGATATGGATCCGGACTGTGAGGGACATCTGGAATGTCAGATTGGCTGTCTAGACAAACGCGGCGGCGAACTGCCCGAGAATGTATGAGGCGGTACTGGCTGGGATTGCTCGCGGGAGGGAGACTGGCCCAGCCAACTCGAGACGTCCGTCGACCTGCGGTGTTGCTATCAAAGCACTAGCATAACTTCGGCAATCCTCGAGCTTGATCATGAGCCAATTGATGCCTGTGGCCAGAAGAGCTAGGATGAAGCTCCACATCATCTACATTAAGATTCGGACCATATACATGCCACCACATGGTGATTATCGATACTGTGAATGCGGACGATCAACACAAGGTGGTCGAGATAACAAGGAGCGAGATTACATCAATTAGATACGACAATAATAATGTGTCTATGAGGCATGCGCGAAGATGGTGCGCAACAACACGCACGGATGGGGGCCGAAGCATGGGAGGCGTTAAGCAAGCAGGGTATAGCTAGATGTGTCATGATAAAAGCGAACAGTTCAGCAAACAGCTAACCTAAAGATACCGGGCGTTGAGCGCTGAGCGCGCGGGCCAACAGCGATATAAAACGTGAAGCAGCCATAAATGTACAGACAAAGCTATGGGTACATCCTATATGTGGGTATTCGTGGCGGTTAAGTGATTCGTGCAAGCTGGGACAAGTCAGCAAACGCGGCGAGACCGCACGTCAAATAACATTGACGCTCTGTAAGTGGGCGCGCAAGATGCCTTCTCGAACTGCAGATCAATCGTGAGTATGACAGGCGTGGAAACATTCCTGTATACGTACCGCCCACGAGAATAGCAGCGGTGGACCGAGTGTCCTGTCAAAACGCAAGTGTTTGAATTGCTGAGCAGATATACGGAGACCGACCCTACTCACAATTACCGACGTCTCGTGCCAATAAAAAGATCGTGCCTGCGGCGACAGTCGTTTCTGCATGAACAGTGAGGAGTAGTGCCAAGACATTATCAAAGAGATAGCGTACATGATATCCACGGAATTTATCTCTAAAATCTACAGTGACAGATTCAGTGAAGCATGATGACAGAGCACGGGGCTCCGGACATACACTTTGTAACATGTTGTACGTCATTGGGCTGCTCTCCGTAGCTTGGCACATATTTGCTCACGCGTATCCCCGAGGCCAGTGTCGCCTGGAGAATATCCATCTGGACATCATGATGTAGAACAATCAGCGTTGCAAGGAGACTGGGTCGACGTGGTGTGTGTATTCCCGGGCACACCCACGCACCTTATTCAAGAACAGAATAAGCGTCGTTTTCCCTAGCAGCGGATTCCCACAGATCTCTTTCCACAGCATGATTGAGTCCTCCTGGGAGTATGAGGTGACGTTTGAATTGAGCGTTTGAATGGAAGGGGATAATCAACGAACGTGACGACGGTGTCAATGAAAGGCTGGAAAGAGCACGACGGGGTATATAGGGCAATAGATGTACGTACAAGGCGGTTAACTTTAGAATCTTCTTCAAGCATTAAGTTGAAGGCTAGAGGCGCGAGGAAAATTATAGCCTGGATATCATCAAAGTATGGAATCCACATAGGGCGCTAGGGACGGCGATGAGCCGGGTTTAGTTGGAGATTAGCGGTACATACATTACTGCGACTCCCGCCGACGTCGTAGATATACCACTCGGACCCAGGAAGGGCACCTGTAGAGCGCATACAATGAACAAGACAAAGATCAATAAGAGGCACGACAGTTACCGTTCTCCATAGTAAATCTATGCTCTTCCACACCCAAAGTTCGAAGCCGAGCACGGACGATATCGTCTACATATTTTTCGAAATGTGACAGATGGACGTGCATGATTGAAGCTCACCGTCTGTTGGCTCATAAATAAGTGTCGCTATACGTGCAGCGTCGTTCAAAAAGCTATGCACTTTGAATGGAAGCTAAAATTAGATAAGTGAACAGAATTACGCACAATCCAGGCATATCCTGCAAGCGGACGTTGTGCTTCTTAAGCACTTCGCGAACCACCGGGTCCTCCCAAAGGGTAACGATGTCGTCTCTGCATGCAGCGAGCACTGCGGTAGGGTCGTCCTTACTTCGCCCTTCCGCTGTGCCCGGACGACGCTCGATATGATTGCTTGAGACAGAAGTAAGGACGCCTTTCCACCCGCTGCCCGCGCGCACGCAGACGTCGCGGACCTTCTCGTTAGCTTCTGGAAGGAGGCGCTTTGTGAGCTCTTCTTCTATAGAAATGAGCGGGGAGAGCCGCATGCGTATCCGGCGGTGTGTATCGGTGAGCGGAGATGTCGAAAAACGGACTGTCGGTCCTGGGGGGCTGCGCCCAGCGACGCCTTTGCCCTTGTCAGGGCGCGAGGGACGCACGGACTGGTCCCATTCGTCTTGGAGGATCTCAAGAAGGCGTTTGATGGAGCTAGAGCGAATATATGCGCATGTTCTGAACAGGCGAGGGAATTTACATACCGTATGAGGTTGAGCTGCACGATTGTCTTCCACGCCGCGCGTTCATTTCGGAAATGAGCAGGTGAAAATGCCAGCTGGAAATCTGAGAATGCAGATTAGATTGAGTATGAGAAGCATAGTTAGCGCGCGCACTCTTCAGAGTCGTGCTCTTTCCCGACTCTGCCTGTCCTACATGCCACATCGTCAGCAATTTCCACTCGGGCATAGCCTCGGGGAGGGAAACACACCCAACAAGAGAATCTTGATGGCCTTCTTGCGGCGGTCGAACGCTTTCTTGGACTCCTGGATATCCTCGTCGATGCGGTGGGAGATGGCCTGAGCTTCGCGCTGCTGCTGAAGACGGAGAGCGCGGTCGTCAGGGGACTCGTCCGGGGGCGGCTGAAGGGCTTTAGAGAGTGGGTCGTCTGCGTCTGTGGCAGAGGTAAAGAGGGACGAGGAGGCCATGGAGGGGAGAGGGCGAGGGTGGGGGGGAAGAGAGGGAGCAGAGGGCGGGCGCGGACATTCAGACGGACAGATGAGGAGCCCACAGACAGGCCGATCAAGGTCGAATAGCGACACTGCGCTGCCACGGGCCCGGCGTCTGTTGACTGGGCGCCAAAATGTCTGACTATCGCCCATCAATCACCCAGCACAGCTCTCTCTCCCGAAGCCACCTCGACTTGTCCTCGTCTCCCGCGCCCGCGCCCGCGAGTCGCCCTCGAGTAATCACCGAATTCACCGGCTAATGCGATCCCCCCTTGTCTCGCCTCGTCTCGCGCCAGCAACACATCTTACTACTACTGAAACAGCACACTTGATTGACATCTTGCTGACTTGGCTGAAGCACTTTAGCTTGCCCTTGGGCTCCGACTCTGTCGAGCAGAAACACTTTGTTTGGCAGCATGACTGGAATGGTGGAACTTTGTTTGCTGGCGGGTCATCGTTTCAACTCATTCGGCCCCGGCTCTAGCAGGCGTCCGCGATCTGGTGCAGTGGACCATGAGCGGCTCTTTCGTTGAACCGATGCCGAAGAATGTACGCTAGCATTGAGCTTGTATTCATTCAGTAGCTGCAGCCCAGGCGAGTGAATCAATTCACACGACGGGAATCAGCATATTTAGTATTTTGAAACGGGCTGGTATCCACACCACAGGACACGTCAGATATGAGTCCAGGGACCCCAGGCCGGTTGTCAGCCTCATCGAGGAGGTCGGGCACCAGCAAAGTAACATACATCTGTTTAGATTGCCCATTTTCCAGCCGTATCAAATAAAATCGAGCAGGATGAATAACTTGGTCTACCTTTGATCCAAAACGTGAGTGCGAGAACATTCTTGCTGTCCAACAATTTCCCCGATTCATGCCTGGCTTCTATATCTTATGCTGTGCACAATTGCGGTGTATGCCGCCGCATTTCGCCTACAACGACCCTAGGGTTAGGATCGCTGATAGCACGTGATACAATCTTGCTTATCTCGAGCATCTCTGAGAAAGCAAGAGTCCTGAATTTTTCCCCTATTGTCCAGTGCTCCGAAAGACAAGGTAACGCCGTCCAGACTTCACCTGCTTTTATTTTTCTACTAGCGTGCGAATAGCGCCAATGTGCACCATGATCTAGTCATTCCTCAGCGCACTGGTCATACTTTGACTGGAAATATAGTGTTCAACGCCTCGACGGCGGCCCGTTCGAACCTGGAAAATGAATTCGGAGCTCAGACTCTGAGTAGAGCTTATATTCTTTGTTCAAAATGCGATCTAGACGTTTTATTCATCACTCATAGCTCGCTCTATTTATGCCGAAATGACTAAATTGACACTACTTAGAATGTCTATTCACGCCGTCAAACGTGAGCAGTCTCATCTCGCATGGGACCACAGGTTTGTCCTCCACAGTTGGCCTGCCATACCGGACGTTTCTGACATCTTTCCGTCTCAGCATCCCACCAGTATTACGCGTTCAATCGGGCGATACCGTTACTTTTGATTGCCTCGACGCGTCCAATGGCCAGATCACTGCCGAGTCGGACATCAGCGCCATAGCCTCCCTCGCTTTTGGTCAGCTCGACCAGGTCAATGGACCTGTTTACGTCTCCGACGCGCAGCCTGGCGACACCCTCCAAGTCGAGGTGCTGCGCGTTGAGCCAGCCAGCTGGGGGTGGACTGCCTCTATCCCAGGTTTCGGCCTTCTCGCGGATGAGTTTCCCGTTCCTCAACTGAAGATATGGTCTCTGCACCATGACGAAGATACCGCGAGCGGTATATATGGCTTCGCATGGTTTGACGAGGCGCGTGGGATCAAGATTCCTCTCAGACCATTTGCGGGCGAAATGGGCGTCGCGCAGGCGGCAAAGGGTCCGTTTTCGACTATCCCGCCGTACAAGACTGGTGGAAATATCGATACGCGCTACATGTCTGCCGGCTCTACGCTGTATCTTCCGATAGAGGTCGAGGGCGCGTTATTTTCCGTCGGGGTATGTACTCTGTTTCTCCATCTGTGCGTGCAGCCGACGAGTTGGCACACAGGATGGACACGCAGCACAAGGCGATGGAGGTGAGCTGCGATTAACATCCGTCGCGCCCGCATCTGACATTGTTATGTAAGAGGTTTGTGGTGAGTAGCAAACGGCTTATGATCCCGCCAAGACTGCCAACTGTGCAACTAGGCACAGCAATCGAGACTTCGACGAAGGTTTCCGTGCGCCTCACTGTGCTTAAGGACAAGCCGTATGTCCAGACTCCACATTTCCGGACGACCGCCACCGCATCGGAGGAATACTACTGTACGACGGGGGTTGACCCTGGTGAGTGCCGCGGCTGCATCGCATCGTTGGTTGTCTCATTGGTACAGATATCCGCGAGGCGACACGGGCAGCCGTGCGGAACATGATCGCCTACCTGGGTGCAGAGCACGGCCTCAGTAGAATGGAGGCATATATGCTGTGTAGCGTTGCGGGCGATCTGCGCATGCACGAAGTGGTACGTCTCTGGTCTTTCCTTCGACCATTGTTTGACGAAGTTCACACCCCCACGCAGGTTGATATGCCGAACTATCTGGTGAGTGAGACTGCACCGAGCCCCGCGATGCGCGGCCGAGTTGGCTTTGCTGCTATAAGCCGCTGTTAACCCATCAATGCTGCAGATTGGAATGATGATGCCGAAGTCCATTTTTACCAAGGCGAAGTAGATTACATGCTCACATTACGGGCTGCTGTTTCAGTATCCAACTATTTTTCCCGAGCCTGGTCTGTTGAAGACGCGTCGGGGCGCGGTTTGGCACAAATACATTATATTCTCTGCTTTCACAGGAATTGATCGTGCATGAAAGCTTGTCTTGTGGTCTTGCGATGGAATGCCGCTAGCAGCTTGGATACAACGCGAAACTAATCCGTATTTAGCGCGACAATGGAACATCACGGGGGTTCGGAGGTGTTTTAGGCCCGATGCTTCTTGGGTATCTACCGGAGATGAATTACCCTTCAAAACACCGTTGGGCTGATTGTGCCATTAAGTACCAGTCGGGTTTGACCGTGGGCCATGCTCATGCTGCGATCATGCATATAAGTATCGCAGCCCCCCTCACTAACTTCGGCTAGATCACAAGTGGTAATAGTCCATATGGCGTCGTTCCCCACGGGCGGATCGCGGAAGCACAATTCTATCCGTCCCCTCTGACACTTGTGAGTTGTAACACCTTCGCCCACCACCTAATTATACATGAGAGAATACGGAAGGAACACGCCTCTTCCGATGGGCCAACGAAAAGAATGTAACAACACAGGCAGGTGCTCCTAGACTCTGGCTGATCACGACATACATCCCTTCTTCCTTTCAGTGTTTTAGACTGCATTGGTTTGCTCACCTTGATGGACAGTTCCCGCCATTTTACAATGATGTCTTGTGAAATCCAAAAGATGACTGATGACTTGTTCAGTAAGCTGTGCCAGTACCATATTGAAATTAGGCGATTTATGTCCGGGTCATATGCGGCTGGTTTACTTTCCCACTGACGTGTCTTCTAGGATGCTGTGAACATGCTGTATGAGTGGTGCATCATGATGGAGAACTAACACAGGTGATATGTCTCACGCCCCAAGGACGGGCTTCTGGCATTGTCTCTATCGCGTGCATCTGTACATATATACAGCACTATGCTAGAGAGGATGTAGAGCAAAACCACAGGAATTCAGCCGCGTCATGAGTCATCAGCTTGATGCAAATTGCGGGAAAGGGGGATCAACCGTGGTTTGAGGCTACAGTCAAAACCACCTTCCGTTGAGATGTTGTGTAAACCCTGGACAACGGAGTGTTCTCGCGTCAGGTCTAGCACCGGCGCTTCAATCACCTTCCGCTCATGAGTGACGTTAGACGAAGGCAAAGATGCAGGTGGGGTAGCAAGTGTCGACTGTTCGCTGCAGACAGTCGTCGAGCGCGTCATTGGTGGAGGGAGCTCCGAGTCGCTGACAGACATGGCGCAAGTGTCTTGTCGCAGTGGTGGCGAGAAGGCAGGCGAGAGAGGCGCTGGCCAAGAGCTTCCCTGCTTGTTGTCGGAGACGTTCGATAAGGCATGCACCGTAGGAACTGTTACTGTCTTGATTGAAGACGTCGAGGGCGATGGCGGCTTGGATGACTCGTCGTGAGAATCGATGTTCGGCTTTCCTTCTACAGCAGGCATTGCAAGGTCAAATTCTCCGGACGTCTCTGGCCGCCCGTAAGGCGGGGATGTGGAAGGCCCAGGTTCCATTGTGGGCCGGTACACTGATTGGACACTGGCTATGTGCTCCATTGCTGGAAGATTACTCGTCGGAGGCAAACTAAAGACTTTGGGTGGAAGCACATTTCCAGAAGCAGCTGGAAGTTGGAAGTTTTGTTCCATTCGGTCACCGGGGCGGGCGGTCGCAGTACGCATTAGTGCAGGGGGCGCTTTCGGTGGGAGGCTAAATACACGATGCGCAGGAGTCCGGCTTGAACTGGATGATTTACCCGATGGTCGCTTTAAATTCGAGACAGAAGAAAGTGTCAAGTCGCCAGAAGATGCAGCTTCTAGATGTTCCTGCAGCCCAGCTGGCAGGGTGAGTGGTGGCGCAACCAAGGGAGGGCAGGGTGGAAAGCGGGGAGAGCGTGTTGCGCGAATAGTGTGTTCGTCCTTGTCGTCAGAGAGCGCTCTAGAAAGCGTGTATGGAACTGAGTCCAGATTACCGAAAGGATCTGTCTCCTGGCGCATCTCCAAAACCTTCCTTTTATACTGCAGTATCCTCAGGTGGATGTCGACGCAGATGATTCAAAGCGATAACATACCCATTTAGCGAGAATGTGCTTGGCTGCAGGAGTTGACCAGGACAAACCATCAAGGTCGGCAAACTCGACCTTCACCGATTCGAACGGTTTCTGGAGGATTTCCAGTTGCTCCTATTGTTTACCTATCAGATCGATTTATGAAGAAGCGTATCAAGATGATGCCCACTTACGTTAGTCATCTCGATAGCCTCCAGATCTTCTAGTCTCTGCTGCTGCTCCAAATGTTGAATGTGGAGCATGCGCTGGACAGCTTTGTCGCTCAATTGCTGCACAGGCAATGCTCTGCTAGTCGAGGACCGTTCAGTGATTGATCTGTTCATTGCGAGAGACGGCATGGGATCAGTATTGACAGGCCTAGGCGACTCAGATGAGGAATGCATAGCGTCGTAAAGAGCTGCGAGACCAGCAAGCAGCATCGAAAGAGATGAATGTGTTTTGAAGTAGGACTATAAGAAGAACGAACAAAAAGATGATAGATATGATGCGGCAAGAAGAGCACAATACGCACTGAGATCCTGGCCACACCAGCCTCAGCCAAGGATCACCGTCACGATTCAGACTGTGGCCGATTCATTCCGGCAAACAAAAAGCAGGACAAAGATATATGTCGCTATAAATTCAACTTTTCGGTTTAATTCCATTCACGTTTCGGAAACGAATTTAAGAGTGATGTTTGTACGCGACCAAGTTCGCGTGGAAGGAGCGAACTGAGGATGAATCGGGCCATGCGCCACGGATTCGCGCGACGCGTCTGATCGCGTGATCTTTGTATAGTGTGACAACGCGTCCGTGGCCTGTGACGCACGCGTCCAGTTTTACGCTCCGCCCGAACAAGCAAACGCGCTCCTCTCCTCAGACGCGTCTCGAGCACGTCCATACACCTCTCTTCTTTCCAGAATTTCACATTCACGATGCTTGATGCTCGTTTGAACGAAGCTGCAATATTAAAGCGTCTCATTGATGGTATGTGGAATCTACGCGCAAGGATGATGTACATGTAAACTTTTACCATTGCAGCTATCAAGGAGCTCGTCAATGACGCGAACTTCGAGTGCAATGAGGAGGGATTGGTGAGCCGTTTCTTCTCTATTTCTCAGCTTGAATATGGCTTACCTGTCTTTCTGATTTTAGAATCTCCAAGCCATGGACAACTCGCACGTCGCGCTCGTGTCGGTCAAGCTGAACGCGTCTGGTTTCAAGCGGTATCGCTGCGACCGTCCAATGCCTCTTGGTCTCAATTTGGCATCCCTTTCCAAAGTATTAAAATGTGCGAAGGATGATGATGCGTGTGTCGTCAAGGCCAACGACGATGCAGACCTTCTCAGTCTCACATACGAGGCACGAAGTAAGTATAATTGCATTTTCCCAAGTTTTCTATTCATCTTGCCTTTATAGATACGGATCGCATCGCTGAATATGAGATCAAGCTCATGGACATCGACTCCGACTCGCTGGCCATCCCTGACACGGATTATGATGCTCGTGTTACCATGCCTGCCAACGAGTTTGGACGCATTGTTCGTGATCTCTCGCAATTAGGCGAGTCCGTGCGTATCGAGGTGTCGAAGGAGGGCGTGCGATTTATTAGCGACGGTGAAGCTGCCAATGGAAACATTCTCCTCAAACAGTCGGAGTCAGCGGCGCGTAAAGGATCTTCGTCAAAGGCGACCCAGGACGACGACGATAATGACGACGATGAGCAGGAGTCTGAGGAAGAGGATGAAGATGGTGGGAAGAAAACAAAATCCAAAAAACAAAAGGTGAAGAAAGAGGAGGGCGAGGACGTTGAGATGAATGGTGACAAGTCAGAAGATGACGGGGAAGCTGAGTCTGAGCAGAAGAGCGATGAAGAAGGTGATGGTGATGAAGACGGAAAGCCTAGCAAAAAACGTAAGAAGGCGCCAGCAAAGGTATGTAATATAACAAGCGTAGTGAATAATAGACTCAACTGGACACAGGCCAGCAAGCCTGCAAAGAAAGCAAAGAAAGCCTCTGAGGATGATGTGCCAGAGGAGGGCGTCAGCATCGAGATGAACCAACACGTCAACCTAACATTCAGTTTGAAGTACCTCGTCAACTTCGCAAAGAGCAGTTCGCTGTCAAACAGAGTGCAGCTCATGATGAGTAACGATGTACCGCTGTTGGTGAGCAGTTTCCAGCGTGTAACTTTTTTTGTGGGCTCTAATACATGGCAATAGGTGAATTACGAATTTGGGCAGGGGCACATTCGGTACTACCTTGCACCCAAGATTGGAGACGATTGATGCCATGATCTCCCAAAATCATCCTAATTATCTGCTTTTCGTCCGCTTTTATATCTGTATCATCCCGATCGCCGTATTTGTTAGGGGCATATATTTTTGTTTTGTTTGCTACTGTCCATACCGTCCTGTATTAATCGCTTGTGAATTAAATGCGCACTTCGTTGAGAACTGAATCATTACGACTCATACCTCCGGAGACCCTTGAGGACGCATGGCCTTGACATAGAAGTAATGAGCAGGATTCCCTCTGATGGCCTCGGTTACTCAAATTCCAATGTATTGTATTCATGATATGTACGTATAACGACATGATTTCTACGTGATAATATACTAATGATCAGCATTGCAATGACAGCGTATGCGAAAGCACAGAACGTGACAACGAAGCCAGTAGTGAAAGGAAAGTAAACACAAGAAGTGGTGTATCTAGAACCAGCAGTCCGGACAAGTGATTGGGATAGGGATGGTGTAGTTATGTAGAGGGCGATGTCGCAGCGAGGAGAGCTCGAAGTTCAAGCACGCACTCGCTGCACCGAGCATGCACCTCACGCGCATTCTCCATCAGAGGTTTGATGTTCTCAGGAGTCATAGCAAGCTTCAAGCCCATCTCAGTGTTTCCGCCCAACTGCGAATCGGGACTTTCCAGGGGTCGAGATGGCGCGGAACGCACTGAGCCCGAGAGCCCTCCCCGATGATTCCGGGAAGACGGACGCTTGGGGCTGGGGCTAGGTGCAGTTGGCCTGTCCTTACCTCGCGACGACGGCCTTGCCTGGCGGTTCGCCTTCCTCTCTGTGAGCTGGCGGAGACGAGAGGTAGGTGATAGCAGCACTGATTGGGTGGTCGACGACGTCTTCTGCGGAGAACGGTCAGCACTCCAGATGGAAGATTGGGAAGCGCTGGGTGAACGATGGGGCGTTTCTGGAGGGATATCCCGTTGCGCGAGGTACGGGGACTTTCCCTTCTTGAGTCGGACGGTAGCAGTGCCGTCAAAGGGCAGATCCAGTACTCGCGCCGCCTGTTCTAAATCTGCAACAGATTCAACTCGATCCCAATCCTCTTCCTCAGGCAATCTACTACGACTGGCGGCTGTTTGATGCGAACCGCTGACACTAGAGATCGTTTCAGATGCTTTTAAATCATCCGAAGATTGCTCATTACTAGAAGAAGCGGGTTTACTCTTCTGCCCCAGACGAAAGATAGAGGCCAGGGAGGGTCGACGAGGGGAGGATCTATGCGTGAGAGACATGGAAGTGCCGTAGGGAGAGTTAGGATGCCTATCAAGCTCTCTGGTCGACTTCATCGACTCTGGACCCGTGCTCGTCTTTGCACGTCGACGCTGTACCAATGACTTAGACTTGAACTCGCTTACGTCGTGGTTGAGCGACGAGTCAGTACTGGCAGACACGGATACTGTTGACGCAGCGATAGCCGAGAGTGGTGGGAGCATTGGGGGACCCTCAGAATAGGTCTTTTTGAGGGACTTCAGCATATCCCTTAGACCACGCATCCCAAGGCGGCTGCTTCTCCGCTTCTGCTTCTTGGCATTCCCGATGGATGTACCTGATCCACTAGCTTGCGTTCCGTCCTCACTGGGCAAAGTCACAGTGCTCCCAGAGACGTCACCCCAACGCCAGCTACGATTCACAGGACTCAAGCTTCTCTCTTCCTCAGGGATAGGAAGATGTCGATCAAGAGTCATGGTCGCGGATGGGTCTGGGTTCAACATCTCACGTAGAAGAATGAGCTGGCGGGAGCTAAGATCATGTCTGCCCGTAGATGCACGCCATTGAGCAGTATTGGTGGGGCTGACAGTGCTAGGCAGGGGCCCAATGATTGGCTTCGGCTCGTCACCAGCCAGAGTGATTGCACGTTCGCGACTCTTCCGACTATCAACAGGGATATTAGTCGAGGCAGGTGTATCCGAACTAGGAGACGATATGGGGGCTGAAGCTGGCGCGGTGGACGGAGCTCCGCTGCCCAGGTCAATGAGCAACTCAGCACATTCCCAAGAGAGTTGGTAGCGCGCTTCAATAGTATGAAATGCAAGGACCAGGTCATGAGGCGTCTGGAGCGCCTGTGAAGGAGTAGGGTTTGTATTTGATCGTGATCGGGATGCCGGCCTTGGGAGGTTAAAGAAAGTCGGAGTTAGGGCACGGGGCTGAGATGTCGGTGATTGGGATAGGTTTTCGCTCATGACTGAATGAATCTCGCTGACAAGACTATGATGAGCCTGTTGTAGCTGTTTCAGTTCTAGAAATGGGTCAGTAAATTAGCAGGGCGTAAACGATAAACACATAAGAAGATAAACATACGATCGACACTAGCCGCGAACTCTCTAACCATCCCCAAATCCCTCCTCAATCCTACCTGTGCCTGACTTATCCTCGCCGGAATCTTAAGATCCCCTAATGAATTGCGCCGGGGGACGGGACTCGCTTCGGCTTGAAGATCTTTCGAGATTAGCGTCGCGCGTCCGAGGGAAGCAGCCTGCTGAGGGGATGTAGACAGTTTCGGCCGAGTAGGCGAGGGCAAGGGAGTAGGAGAAGGCGAGATCGGCGACGACGTCGACTTGCGTACAACATTTACAGAGGAGCGTGTAGAAAGCACCGGATATGAGCGTGACGACTCTAGTGCGGGTTGCGGGCAAAAGAGTGAATCAAACTCTGATCCAGGTCCTTGAAGAGTGAGGCCATCTGGTGAGACACAGGGCGGTGAAGGAGGCTGCAGTTCGATTGGTGGTAGAAGCCCATCCTGCGAACTACGCACAACACGCGACGGAGGTCTGGGAGTTGTCTGGTCCTGCTGACCTTCCAATATAGAGAGCGCTGTCGCCGGGGTAGATCGCTTGCCCTCGCTCGTCGGCACAGAGCTCTTCGTCCGTTTGTGCTTGGTGGTCCCACCGAGACTGATCCTTCGCATACCACCCATAAACGATCTGCTCCCTTCCTTTTCTTTTCCCTTGACATGTTCACTTGGAGACTGATTTCGGGGCTGACAAACAGCCTCTCGTTTCTCCTCTCGCGTCCGAACAGCTCTGCCCGCTTTACCTACGTCCTCCACACTAGCAGAAGCCGAACGTTGCTTTGAGCTAGATCTACTGCTTGAGGTCTCTCGTCGACGACCAAGGTCGTGGCCGTACGACGCATGCCGTGGGACAGGCGGCCGCGTGCTTGTCCAACTTGATCCTGAACTCGAGTTCGAATTCGTCGCCTGCATTTGGATTGAAGTCGGCCGCCTTGGAACACCAAATAGCAAGGCTGCGGTTGATGGTACACTATTATTTCCCGCTGCAAATTCAGCCAGGCCTCTCGGTAAAGGAGGATTGGATTCCACGCTCTCAGCCTGGTCTCCATCAGGGCTTCGTGCTTTACCTCGGCGCGAAGGCGAATCAGGATTGCGCTCGAGCCCTGCCATGGCTAGGAGCTTGTCCACGCTGGATTCGTGTCTCAGAGCCGACCGATCCATCGATGGAGGCCCCGGCCCACTTCCACCACCGCGAAAAAACCACCCACTTTTGGGTGCGGGAGGAGACGCTGCCGATCCAAGCACAGATTGAGGACGAGATGCTTGCTCACGCGTCTCTTCTTGCTCGTAAAGAGAGATCTCATTAGGGCCCGTACTCGCCCGTTTCTTGCGCGCAGCGCCCCACTTCTTACCTACTGATCCGATGCGAGACAATAATGGTGTCTTTCCAGATGATGGACCAGAGCCCGGCGCAGACGCTGTGGGAGCCGCATCGGAAGGGGGATCGTCAAGAGACCTGCCACTCTTTCTCTCCGGTGTAGATGGGTCTGACTGAGTTTGTAATGGGACAGTCGCGCGATCCTCGAGCTCATGAATATCAGGTCCCATGACTGGTGGCGGACGTGACTTTTTCCGTAATCTTCGTCGCTCGCGATGAATTGGAGGACTTGGAGGGAGCAATGCTAGAGCAGAACTGCCTGATGAAAGAGTCGGCCGTAATGCGAGATGTGCTGTAGAAGAGTACGAGAGGGCTGCAACTGAGTCATGGGCGCCATTGGACGATACGGGCATGGAGAATACGGAGGGGTTAGGTGAGCCCGGGAATGGAGACGGTAGTGGGGGAACGGGAGGGGGAACGTCGAGTGGGATGTTCAGAGGAATACCTCGAGAACGGGACGTCACAGTGCGATCTTCCTCTCTATCTCCAAACCCATAGTCATCCTCCTCGTCGGAAGAACCCCACGACGCATGACGGCGAGGTGTTCGCCTCTTGGGTGAATGGCCATCCTTCGCCTCAACAAAGTCGTCATCCCAATTCTCCGGCTCATCCATGCTTGAGTGTAGCCGAGATGGACGGGTACAGACTGGGGAATCCGTGTTGTCTCTGAAGTCGTCATCCCAATTCTCCGGCTGCTCTGCCGACCGCTTGGATGGCGTAGACGGCCCTGGCTCCGTCCACCGCTTCAGTGTGTTTTTTCTGTCCTTCGTCAGAGGCGTGGAACTATCTGCTTGACGGTTTCCTGCCGGCAAATCGAAGTCGTTATCCCAATTTTCTGCAGGATCTATGTCACCGACAAGTCATAAGTGGCAACCATACTGGTCATTCAATGGTCGCACCTGGAGTAAGAACAGTCATGCAAGCTGGGATATCTCCGTCGTAATGATCGTTGTTCGGTCGTAGGGGTCGTACGGAACGTGTCTGATACTTGTATGCTCGGTTAGAACTGAAATTCGATTGAGGTCTCCAGGTGGTCGCGCGGAAAGGACGACAAGGACCAGACAAGCCGGTGCGACGTTGTTATCGAAATCAGCCGCCGAATTTGGGTGTATATGCTATAAATGAGAACATGGCTGAATAAGTAAGTATTAGTTTGTATAATACAAAGCTTGGTAGCTTAGACCGCCTATTCAAGATTCGCTAGGCTACACGCCATAAGTACTGCAACTGAATATCATTCATTCGGCTCGGTCTCCGGACCTTTGCTATGATGAACCCGCATGAGTCAGGTAGCTCAAAGTCAGACTTCCAGATGCATGCGGGTCTTGACTCGTAGTTATCGACCACTACGCCCTTTCTCGACTGCCAGCGCTCTTTTAAGATCCGGATACATGGGAAAGAACAAGAAATCATCCGTTCCGAGCGAAGAACATCTCGTCTTACCCTCCCATTCGGCTCTGGCAGATGCAGATACACCCTACGCCATCGTGGACACACACACGCACCTCATATCAACATTCAGCTCATATCGCAGCAAATACAAGAATGGACAGTTTGGTACTGTCTTCGATTTTGTGCGCGGATTGTACCACGGCCGCAACGTTGAGGCAATCGTCGATGTCTGGTGCGAAGCACCGGTGCAAAAGATCTGGCGATCCATTGCGGACTCTGCGCTCACGGAGGAGAGTAGGCGGGACAAGTGGAGTGGTATCGAGTATTGGTTTGTGATGGGTAAGTCCCCGCATGCTTTCTCCTTCGCTAGTTGCACATGCTTCGTTATTAGGCGTTCACCCGTACGTATCTATAGCTTCTCCGCATGACTGGTCTGATCTAGTAGCAACAGACATGAATCAAGCCAGTACACGGACAACGTAGAGGCAGACATGTAGGTGAGCTGCCTCTAGTTATGTGATGCGATTCTCACCATCCGCTTCCCTGTCAGTCTGGAGGCGATGGCTCATCCACGCTGTGTGGGATGGGGCGAGATAGGTCTGGATTATCACTATGATAATTCGCCGCGTGATATACAGCAGGCTGTCTTCGTTCGTCAGCTGAAGCAGGCAGTCCGGCTTGGGAAACCTCTGACAATTCATACCCGAGAGGCTGAGGCTGACACAGAGCACATTCTGAAGGAACATGTCCCGAAAGACCACAGGGTAAGTTCCCCACTCTCCTATCATCTGTTTCCTTGACTTCAATTTGTCCAGATTCACGTCCATTGCTACACGGACTCGCCCGAGTGGGCTGCGCGAATGCTAGACCACTTTCCTAATTTGTACATTGGAGTCACAGGTACGTCCTCCCTATTCGTACTGCGTATACTGAGTGCTGACATATCTCACCAGGCGTGATTACCTACTCTACTAACGCGAATACCTCTGCCGTGGTGCGCAACTTTTCCTCGGATCCGTCTGTTCCGCTGCGAATCCTACTCGAAACCGACGCGCCATTCATGATCCCCTCGAATCTATATGATTCCTTGAAGAACGTAAAAGGCAGACTTCCACTGTGCCATACGGCTATGATTCCATGGACTGCAGACTTCGTAGCGAACGTTGCGAACGGCGATAAACACGATAACGCGTGGGATGCAATTAGAGTTCTGCAAGAATCTAGACAGAATGCGCGTAATATGTATGGTGTATAGACGTGAGTGACCTTGCTATTTGAACATCTCAAAGAAAGGTCATCATAAACGAGACAGTAATGTTAATATAAATCTGGGTTCATCGATGTTCGTCTAGGCGAACACACGCTATTAGTCTCATCTATATATCATACTGCGGGAACTCTGTCGCGATGAGAGGCTTATTCACTCCGTCTATACATGACAACGATAAGTGTTGATGCAGATGCTGCAGGGGGCCTGGACGCAGCAGTAATTTGAGGTGCATCTATACTCATGCTCTTCTATGCATATAAAGGGCCGTGTATCAAGCAATGGTATCTCCCGCGAATCGTGGATTATTTGCGGTGGGGTATTACTCCCGCACTGTGCATACACATAGTGACTATTTTTAAGCTACAGCACCGTTCATCCTCCTAGAACGATACGGTGGGCGATGAGAAAAATATCTCTTCACCAAACACCGCCATTTGCAGAGTCGGTACGAGTCATGGTGTAGATATGGGTGCTGTCCTTATATCTGATACCGGAATCTGGTAAACGGCAGTCATAGCCTTGATGCTGACATTTCTTAAAGCTGACTATGCTGGCGCAGACGTATGAAAAATTCCCCTTCGAGTGTCATCTGATCTCACTAGTTCCTTTCCCAGCCACCGTCGCCACAAGAGTAAGTGCAATTTTTAATTTATCCGATGCTCTCGTGCTCCTGGTGATTTTGAGCGGGACTTGTCACATCCGAGGAACGTTTCGCCTAACATACGCTGAAGCAGGATTGTTCTTGTTGCTATTGAGAGACGGTGGGCACTTGCAAAATGTCAGCGTATAAATTGAGTTTGGTAATGGCGGTGCTCTTCTCAAGATTCTCCTACTTCGCGTGAGGCAAAATTCACTCATTGTAATGGACAATCTGCGGCTAACCTACGACCCGTAGAATCCTTTTAGTGCTCACCGCATTAGACGTAGCATTATCGGTCACCAAGGCAAGTCTGGCATCCGTGGGAGACATTTTTCGAAGCACGAGTTATATTAGACCTTTCATCGCATGGAATTTTTTTTAATATCGAGGTGTCAGTACCTTTAGAGTTGTACTTGACAATGCGGCATTGGAATTGATTTGCGTACGATAGATCGACCCCCCTCTTGCTATCGAGGTGCTTCCGTCACTTCCACGAAGCATTACTTGACAATATTGAAGTGTCCACCATCGTTTCGCGCGAAGTGCACTTCGCGTCCCCAGGAGGAACTGGTCTTGTGGTGATCCCTCGCCTTTAACCGGGAGCTGGAAAAGCTCAACGTGCAAACCTTGCTTTCTTATGGTGAGCCCTCAATGATGGTTTCGCAGAATTAGCGGCCATCTTATAGCAAATCCGTCCCTGGTCAAATGTTACTAACTCTAGTGGGCTGTTCAGTTGTCCGAGCAGCAGTCCATAATCATTCCCTGCGTTGACTCATTTATAGTATGCGAGGGCTGAGGTCTATGCGGATAGTAATTAGTACATGTGTTGCAGCACATTGGTATAGAACTAATACAGTAGAGGTCTGCATCAGACACAGCCTGGAGTGCAAGTGTGGTGAGGCTTACTGGTAAGTAGTGGTTAGATAGCCGGTGGAAGAGTCAAAGCTTAAAGCCCGGTGAGAATCGACATCAATTAAAATGAGACACTGTGTCGTCCAATGAGAAAAACTGAGACAAGCCAATTTGGCATGAATTACATAATTCAGCTTTCTTCATGCATTTTTAACGCAATTCATTGAGTGATCCAGTTTCTCGATTTAATTAATGACACTTTCCACTGGACTCAAAGGCGGATCATTTTTTGTGGTAAATACCACCATACCACCGCGGCAGCTGCGGACCTGGCGTGACTATTTGTTGTGGCGGTTTTGGCACATTCGTAGCGTTTCAACACGTTCAAGGTCCTCTTTTTTTAACTCCTAGTTTATACTCCGTACCTAGAGATACATGCAGAGTGTGTCGAAAGTAAGTATGTAAATATCACCGGAGCGGTACGCACTCCTCGCCGTCAGACCCGAACTCACTCCCTCACTGAGCAAGTAGGATTGGAGCCTGGTCATCAACGTCCCCCATGAACGCTGGAGCAGGGTAGCGTTCGGGATATTTCCTCCACGCCTTCAGTATCTGTACAGCTACTTCGTCAGCGCTGTAATGAGCCCGGAAATCCCGGTACCCGGGGGTTCCTAGGACTGTTTTATGTGGCGTTCCCTGCAATGATCACGGAACGCGTTGACCCTGTATAGGGAGTGTGCATAAAGAAGTGCATTTGCGGCTGACGTCTCGTCGCCCTCTTCGCGATCGGCAGCTGCCTGGGCGAGGATCTCTGCTCATTCGAATGTAGCCACCATCGGATTGAGGCGCAGAAAAATAAGGACGACGTCCTCATTTTTCTGCACCGCTGCCAGCTACGTTCGTAAATATCATGGACTGTTCGCCTAGTATCGCATGATCCTATCCTCCGTGTAATTCGATCCAGATCAAAACGTGACGAAGGTGAGATCTGCGAGACGGAATTTATCTATGAGCCTACTTACTGCGCAGATATCATAGCCAGCGTGTATTCAGACTAGTCCCGAGCAAACATCCTCTCATTTTCCCTCATGAGACAATGGTATTAAAACTGAACTAGATTCACTGACTTACCGACATTCATCTGAGTGAACACAGATCTATGTCGCAAATCTGGCCTCATTAACATCGGTTATGTCTGTTATAGGAAATCCTTGTCTGTAGCAGTGCCAGGCGGCGAGTCGCCGTTGACGTTGGGGCGCTACGATTGTTCGGAACAGGATGTCACATGCATATAAATGGCTGCAATCAAACCATGCCTGTGACAACTTGCGTATCTTCCCCTACAAACCTTGCAGTGCGCACGGTATTATTTCTTCGCTGTATATCATGATGTATATATGTTGACTATTCTCAAGCTCCAGAGTCACTGTTCAACCACATAGGACGATGCAATGAATGATGAGGAAAGCATGATTTCACCAAATATCGCTGCTTTGGAGAATCGGTACGGTCCATGATATAGATATGGATGTTGTCTTCCGGTCTAATTCCAGAATCACGCGTATGACAGGTCCACTGTCATCTTCAGTCTCATCTCTCTCCTAAGTAAGCACTTCATCAGATTAACTCTGGTCAATCTGAACCCCTGTCGATCATTCAGCCTTGTATATGTTCGATCGCATAATAAGCCTAGACCAAGAGATCGAGACTGTGTGGTGTCGCAAAACATCCTTAATAACTTTCTTTTACCATACAGTTCATTGTGCCCAGATTCTAACTCTTCTGATATTCCTCTTCATTGTGTTGGATGCAGGTTGCAAAGTGAGGATAAATCTGCTTCTTTCTATCCTGTGAAATGACTCTTCACCAGCAGTATGACCAGCATTTCTCAAGCGCTACTGGATGTGATTTTCTGACGCTGATCTGATCCAGCGGCTATGTCATGCTATGGTCGTTGGGTTGCTGCTTTTGGTATCTTGATATTATGTATGCAAGTGAGTTTATTGGGCATTGGTTTCTTAATTACGTCGCGCCTCATGCTATGATAGCATTCTCAACACTCCGTGTATATGTCATTTCGGAACGGAATTTGCGCGTATCACTCCTCGTGTTTGCGTTAGCACTCGTGCCATTGCTTGTAGACGTTGTACGTGCCAGTCCTCCTTTGGTTCAGTGTCACCGCTAATGTGTTTATAGTATCACTTCTGTAATTTCGGCCTTGTCGCCCCCTGGCCCTCTTCTGGCTGTATAATGGATGTTGTTGGTTCGATGGCGGTGTCAAGCAGGTTTGTCCAAGTCTGAATCCTGGAACGTTTTCGTGAACTTGACTTCGAGCGCATAGATGTATGAGGTTCTCGTTCTACAGAGTCATCTGGTCTCAATCTCTTTGTGCAGACACAGTCGCCGCAAGAACAAGCCTTGTTGCGTCCGATGCCATCCTGTTACTGGTCATTTTAAGCAAGACATATCATACCCACGGGATCACTCACCTGACTCACGTTCAAATGAGTCTGTCGTCGTTGCTATTGAGAGATGGTATGTACTTGCAATATAGGTCTTGATTGGGTTCAATTACGATGACGCTCTTTCTCAGGATCCCTCTACTTCGCGTAAGACGACTCTCCTCCTTACAAGGGTAATCTATAGCTCTATGGCTGATCTACGGTCTGTAGAGTGCTTTTTGTGCTTAATACATTGGACGTAGTGTTTTGGGTCACCAATGTAAGTCTGGCAATTGCTTAGAGAGGTTTTCTGAATAATGTGTTATGTTAGAGCTTTATTTACTTGGATCTCTTTATTGTGGTGTCAGTCCTTTGTGAATTTCACTTGACAACGTGGCGTTTTTAGTTGACATCCTCACAACAGCTTGACCACCCTCACGCTATCAAGGTGTTTTCGCAACCTTCGTGAAGCACTCATCGAAGATCATGGAGTGTCCTCCATAATTTCGTGCGACGCACGCTTCGCATCTCAATCAAAATCTAGCTCTGCCACAGTGCCACACACTGTTGATCGAGAGCTAGAAGAGCCTTGAGCTCATCCTTCAAGTGAGCGTGGAAATACATACTTTGCACTATTTTACAGTGAGCAATCTCAACGTCATTTCAGCGGCAAGCTTACAGCAACGCTGTTTCTAATCAATGTTTCAACTTCTCATGTAGATTGTCCATTTGTCGATACAGCTACACCCAGTAACTTAGATACAATGATGTGTTGCTGCGCTTACGCGTGTTCTGCATTTTGTCATTCTCTGCCGTTTCGACTCGTCCAAAATTGTCACCACCGCTAGTTAGACTGTCTGATACGTTCGTTCGGCGCCACATGCTCCCATGAGATATTAGTAGAATCAGGACAGGATGAAGGTGAGTGTTTGCGAATTGCGTGCATGAGCTTAACGTATCACGACGAACGCGCATCGAGCCTGGGCGTAGTACTTCAGACGATGGATCATACCTCATTCAGATTGCCTGTCGGCACAAAGACACTTAAGTTCATTGCAGCCAATACAAGAGCGGGGTTGTTCGGTACTGTCTTTGATTATTTTGCGCGGGACCATGCACCACAGGTCCAATACTAATGCGATTGTTGGTTAGATGATATATCGCAGATTCAGCGATCACGGAGACGAGTAAGCGAGACAAGTGGGGCGGGATCCAGTGTTAGATTGTGATGCCGTAAGTTCTTCATACACCGCTTCCCGCTCCGTTGATCATGCTGATCTTGGCCTCCACGGATCCGTACAAGTTGGCGGACGTGAAAGACAATCCTCCGTTATGTCCCACGGCTATGGTGCGGGATTCTTCGCGAACGATGATAAACGTGGGGAAGGACGGGATGCGATTAGAGTCATGCAGGAATCCAGATTCGGAAATGCGCGTGGTGTATAGATGTAAGTAGTCCCGTTCTTTCGCTGCTTTTTGGGCAAGTCATCACGGACGAGACAGGGGTATTGAAACTGAGATAGATTCATCGACATTCATCTCAGCGGACGCAGATTTATGTTGTCAATCCCCACTGCTAGCCGACTGACCTCCTCGACGTCCATTATGCCTATTATAGGAAATCTGTCATGCTTCTAGGGACGCCCGTGCGCCTTGCGCCTATAGCAGTGCTAAGCGTTGAGTACTTTGAGTCGCCGTTGACGTGAGGGCGCTACAATTGTTCGGAAGCAGCCTGAACCTACGCTATTCTGTGCATATAAACGACCAAGCAATGCGCAGTAGTCGCCCCCCCCATAAATCTGTAGTGCGGTTTAATCTTCACCCTGTGTAGGCACATACTCACTATTCTCAAGCTGTAGCATCGTTCAGCCTCTTCAAATGATGCGATGAGACACGAGGAAAGCATGATTTCGCCACACTTCGCCGCTTTGCAGAGTCGGTACGAATCACGGTGTCGTTGTGAATACTATCTTCCCATCTGATCCCAGAGTCACATACACGACAGGTCCACTATTGTTTACAGCCTCATCTCTGCCCTAGGTGAGCATCTCGTCGGATGAACTCTGATCTATCAAACTGAGACTCTATCTACTGTTCAGCCTTGTATATATACGATCGCATAATAAACTTCGACCAGGAAATTGACACACTGTGGTGTCGCAAATTCTCTCTTATGACAGTGCTTTACCATATAGTTCATTCCGCACAGATTCTGGCCCTCGTATTATGTCTCATCTTGTTCGATTCAGATTGCAAAGTGAGGATTAAGTTGGTTTTCTCGAATGTGGAATGACTCTTTACTAGCAGTATGACAACCATTCTTCCAGCGCTACTGGATAGTATTTCTCTGACATTGATTGGATCCAGCGACTATGTCATTTTTTGGTCGTTAAGTGCTTGCTACTGGTTTCTTGATATCATGTACGCCAGTAAGTCGTTGGACACTGGCTTCCGAAGTTCGCCACACCTGACGCTCCAACAGTGTTCTCGGCACTTCGCGTATATGCCATTTCGGAGCGTAATTGGCGTGTATCGCTCCTCGTGTTTGTGCTAGCACTTGTGCCATTAATGGCGGACATTGTAGATGTCATTCTTGCCTTGCCTCGGTGCCGCCGCTGACATCTTCACAGTACCACTTCTGCAATCTCAGGCTAGTCACGCTTTCACCCATCTTCCGCTGCATGACGGAAAGTATCGCTCCGACAGCGGAATCCAATAGGTTCGTTTGTCTTAACCCCAATTTGAATGCTGAAATCTCTTGATACTTACTGCGATCGCGCAGATGTACGAGATCTTCCCTTTACAGAGGTATACAGTCTCACGATTACTATACACAGTCACTGTCGCCGCAAGAGCAAGCCTTGTTGTGTCAGATGCCATCGTGCTACTGGTCATTTTCAGCAAGACGTATCATACCGAGAGGATTATTCGCCTAATGCACGCTAAAGCGTCTTTGTCGTCGTTGCTGCTGAGAGACGGTGTGTACTTACGATATGCCGATGGGCATGGCTGTATTCGATAACGACGATGTTCTCTCTCAGGATCCTTCTACTTCGCGTAAGATAACTCTCCCCTTCCTTGGGGCAACCTATGGTTTGTTTACGGTCTGTAGAGTGCTTTTTTCGCTCAACATGTTGGACGTAGCGTTCTGGATCACTAACGTAGGCAGATCTAACATCTATCTCGGGAGGTCTGCTGAACAACGTGTTATGTTAGAGCTTCGCTTACCTGGACCTCTTTATTGTGGTGTCAGTCCTTTGTGAATTTCATTCGGCAATGTGGCATTTTCAGCTGATACCCTCACAAAAGCTTGACCACCCTCACGCTATCGAGATGTTTTCGCAACCTCCGCGAGGCATTCATCGAAGATCATGAAGTGTCCTCCAGAATTTCGTGCGACGCACGCTTCGCGTCTCAACCAGGATCTAGCCTTGCTACAGTACCGCACACTGTTGATCGAGAGCTAGAAGAGCCTTGAGCTCATCCTTCAATCGAGCATGGATATACATACTTGCATCTATTCTATTATTCTTTAGTGAGCATTCTCGAAGTGATTTTGGCGGCAAGCTTACAGCAGCACTGTTTCTAATCAATGTTACAAACTCTCATATGGATTGTTCAATTGTCCATACAGCTACACCTAGTTACTTGATACAGTGATGTGCGGCTGCGCTTACGCGTATTCTGCATTATGTCATTCTCTGTGCCGTTTCAACTCGTCCAAAATCGTCACCACCGCTAGTGAGACTGCCTGATACGTTCGTTCCACGCCACATGCTCCCATGGGATGTTGGTGGAATCAGGACGAGACGAAGGTGAGTGTCTGCAAATCGCGTCCATGAGCCCAATATATCACGACGAACGCGTATCGAGCCTGGGCGTACCACTGTAGGCGATTGACCATACACTGAAACGAACTCGTTCGGATCGCCTGTCAGCACGAACGCGCCGGCTCCTTCACTGTATAGGATTGTGGTGGCAGGTGAACCTGGTATCACGTCAACACCAGACTCGAGTGGCAGGCGACTCAGACGAGTGCTAACTCACTCCCATCTTCGTTGATCCATTGTACGCTAATTACCCCCGTGGTGCTGTCTACATACCAGATGGCGCTTTCCACGCCTTCTGTGAGAGCGGTCGCGTCCGTGAAAGTATTGCCCACCGCTTGCGGGACCGCTCCAGGGTCGGCTGTGGGAAATTTGGTTATCCGGGTCGACGAAAAGGCAACGGTAAAGGCTTACTTTGCGCGGTGCCACTCAGGTAGGCATAATTGGCCGATCCAAGAGCAAGATCGGAAGAAGTACTCTCGAACCCCTCCACTGCGCCGAGGAACAGGTAATCGGCCGCGCCATTCTGCGCAAGCGGTCAGGGTCAATGCGATGCATTCCTAGAATATTAAAAAAGAGCGATGGGCAGATATATCACCTACCTGGGTCTCGATGGTTACAGGTCCGTCGGCCCCACATTGGGTGAATTGCACAATCAGGGCGTCCGACGCCTGCGGGGTTATGCCGTATTCTCCGTATTGGTTTGGAATGCGGGATACGAACGCCCCTGCGGCGATGTTCGCAGCGGCGACAGCGATCTTCCCGGTTTGTGTTGTGCATGCTGACACTGCAGCCACAGCAGATGGGACGACACGACGTGCTTTCCGTGCGTATCGGGGTTAATCGGAAACCAAGAGACTGAGGAAGAGGCGTGAGGCGTACCATGCTGATGGAAACGTGGCCTATTCGGCGAGAGACCGCGTGCCAATCGCTTTGCGTTGGTCATGGGTACGGGGTCGGCCAGCGCAACGCGGTTCAAGTGGCTGGTGGGTGGATTCAGTTTTTCTGCCCGAGTGTCGAAGAAATGTTTGACGGTGTGTGTAGGGCGCATCAGTGCAGCATGGACGAGAACCGAGCCCGTGCACAGGGCGAGAGCGAGAAGAATCTGGCGGAGAGACGAAGAGTACATCGTTAAGGATAGACTGCTGAAATGACTGTGGGATGAGTGTGAGCAAAGCAGAGCAGCAGTCGCAAGTCTTGAAGCTTGAGGAGATCGCTCAAGTTGGTGGAGCGAGCCGACCGAGCAGGAGGCTGACCACGAGATGACAGAGCTTTTAACGGAAAGGCAGTGAGCATGAGGCCGGCGGCTGCCATGGTCCGGGCATGATATATCTTCGGCCATGCTCAAGGAGCCACTGTTTTCCAGGCACAGTCAGCCACGTTCCTCGTTCATCGACACCGGGCCTCTGTCAATCGATATTCCAACCTCACCAATCGAATAGGATCTAGACATGGGCTGTATTTTAGTTTCGACTACACCATGCCAACCTAGGTATCTCGTTCTAATAACTCGGTGAGTGCTGAGTACACCGTCAGACGCACGAGCCTTGTCCTTATCGCGGAACTCGTTGGTGAAAATCGCATGAATGACATCGTGAGTGACATAAGTACACAGCGCAGGCCTGGGCACATCCTCGAGGACAAAAAACTTCCCGCGCTTCGTCAGCACAACAATGCCATATTGGGGTATGCGCTTACCGAATCAAGTTCACAGCGATCCCGACACTCTTCAGCCTCTAGCTTACTGCAAACAAGTAGAGTGAGCATTTCTTGTTAAATGTCAGCGCTAAGCCGAGAGCCGCCGTTGTGAAAACAAAGGTGAATCGAATTTGCTCTTTCGTCACCAGTACTGTTATGACCTTTTTATTGTCGCACAGAATTGCGAGATGCCCGGGCCTGGCTTTGGCTCAAAATAAATAGACCCCCCAGGGCCCCAAACAGGATCAAACAAATCGACGGAACTGCATCCTCCTCCGATTGACAACATCGTATCTGAAACATCGTCCTAATTCTCCCTCTGAGCCTCATCACGAGTAAGTATTACTTTCACAGCTGTTGCCTGAGAGAAAATTGCACAATCTTGTCGAGGAACGCCACGTGTTGCATTCACCCTCACAGCTATCGAAAAATACGAATTACCCGTTACTTACAAGACTTTGCTGCCACAGACTCGGATTTTCAAATGGACATCACACGCCGATTCGGATCCAGCAGCTCGTGTACTCACATTGATGACGATGCGTAGGTTGTAAGCTCGCTATACGATATATGCGGATATGTTAGGAGACCATTTCGTATCTCGTGCAGGAGCCCCACTGATCATCTAAACGCCGCGGCTCGGCTAGGCAGCAAATTAGATCGTTGGCACACCATCATCTCATCTCCAAGAGTCGGTTAGGTTAGTACCTCATTCTATTTGGTGTCTAGTGGTGGTCTCACGGGATAGATAGTGCATGGTTCAGTGCCTGTGGCAATGCCTTCCATAGACACGCCACCGAACAGCGGTTTTTCCATCGCCGCGAAAACAAGAGCAATCGCCTCGCGCTGACTAGTAAGTCTATGGAACCATCTACGTGAATCTTTTCAAGAGGATTCATTGGCTTGTTCGGTCCCGGGTACAGTCACCCTGCACAAGGCCGTCAAGTATGGTCCGACCACAGATATTAAGGGACTCCAAGTACGTGTTCTTTACGAACAGAGTCAGCACAGTACTGTATTTGAACCTCGCGCTCGGGGCCGCACCGCATGTTCTGTGTTCTGCGACTCTCACCGTGGGCCCCATGACCGGGCTCGAGGACATCAAGAAAGCCGGATACCCGTAAAGGGATTGTATATCGAAGGCAGGCCTGTCGCCCGCGCGGTCAGCTACCGGCACGAATACAAAGACCTCGGGTCGGCCCTCGGCGTATTATCCAGCTGGCGCTCTTCGTCCGGCCAATCGGAGAAGCGCGCTCGATGTTGGGAAGGATCTGCGCGGGGAGATGTCCTGCCATCGGACCAGTGGCGTGCGTACTAGTTGCTCCCGCCTGACGTACATCCGTGCGGGGGAAGTCTGCGAGCTCGGGGAGGTCCCCGTCTTCGCCGAGGATGGCATAGGGCAGGAACCTATCACGAGTGGTGTCCCTAGTAGCTCGACGCCACCAGTCCCTTTTGACGTACTATACAGTCGTGTGCTGCTCCAGGCTGCCCTGGCCGGTTGGTCGCACTGTTGATCCGGCCTGCCGTTCGTATCGCTCACTCGAGCCAGCTTTCTACTTAACCTGGCATCTCTCGATAGTCACCCTCTCGTACAATCATGCCCACCATCACTGAGATGTCTGTTGAAGGAATGGTCGCCCCTGCTGCGCTTGGTTTTGTGAGTTAGTTTGACGTGTTCTGGTGGACTCGACTCAATTGCGCACACATTCACAGCTTTCGTACCTTGTGTTCAAGAAGCTCGAGCCGACAGACATGGTTTCTCTCGTTGCGCTGCTCGGAATAATCCCTGCGATTCCGGTATCCATCCTCTACCCGCCGCTGGATTCGATGCTGCTCGCTGTTGTGGTGTCGTATGCTATCTACTACGGCGTTCTAACAGCTTCTATTGTGACGTATCGCCTATCTCCAATGCACCCATTGGCCAAGTATCCCGGACCGCTTGCTTGCAAGGTGTCCAAACTATGGCTGGTGTATGTAGCATCCGGGGGACGGCAATACAGCTACTTTTACAAGGTTCACAAGAAGTACGGGCCGATTGTTCGTATCGGTGCGCCAAACTCTGTCCTCTTCGAGCTTACATTCGAGGCTAACAATAGCGGTTGGCATCCAGGTCCGAACGAGCTGTCCATCGTGGACGCTACATTGCTCCCATCTATCCTGGGTGCAAACGGGATGCCGAAAGGCCCTAGTAAGCGTTTTTGATGGATAAGTGCGTGCGCCTGTTCTGATGCCGCTTCGCTATGATAGTGTGGGAAGGGAGAAGATTTACGAAGGAGAAGGGAGCCGGCGAAAAGACTATCAAGGGAAATCTCATCAACACCAGGAACACACAGCATCATGCGGAGGAGCGCCAAGTGTGGAATCGCGCGTTCAGCACTGCGTCGGTGAAGAAGTATGAGCCCATTGTGATTCGCAGGGCGGCTCAGCTAGTCGAGGCGCTGAAGACAAAATGTGGGGAAGCCGAAACTAAAGGCGCCCAAGTGAACATGTCGGACTGGCTGAGTTTCTTTTCGTATGTGTTTGGCTAATGCTCAGCGAACCAGTCTGATTTTTGTCACACAGGTTTGATTTTATGGGCGACTTCGTGTAATTGGCTATTGTTTTCATTACGTGTCCGAGCTCAATATTCTATGATATACAGGTTCAGTGGGCCATTTGATCTTCTACGGGATGGCGATGCGAATGGCCTCGTCCGTCTCATGGAATTGGGTTTATAGTAAGCTAACTGATCGATATCATCGTAATTTCAATGAATTAATTCCAAATAAATCAATCTAGTCCTCCTGCTCTCACACAACACATCCCCTGGTGCATTCAGGCAGTTCTCCGCCTACCTTTCTTTGGAAAACAGGCGAAGAAACTCGGCGAGTTCACTTATAGACAGGTTAAGAAGAGGATGTCCGACGGGTCATTTCACGATGATCTTTTCTATTACCTTGTGAGTTGCTAGCTGGCTTGAGATCTGGTGGTGCTCATGCAGTGTGTAGAGCGACGAAAGCCGGCAGAAGTCTGAGCCCGTTCCAATGGGTGCCCTCCTATCCAACTCCATCCTTGCCATTGTCGCAGGTTCCGACACGACTGCAGCAGCGCTGAGCAATACCTTGTATCTTCTGGTATCGCACCCGGAGTGCTATGAACGCCTCCAATCAGAACTAGATAATCTCTTTCCTCTGGGAAAGGGCGAACCAACTGACACTGCCAAGCTGGCCCAGATGGAATTTCTGAACGCGGTTATGTTCGTGCTTTGACCTTCAGTATTGAACCCGCGTCGGCTTATCATCGTGATTCGCCAGAAACGAATCTCTTCGCATACAACCTCCCGTCCGAACATCCTTACAGCGCGCACCCGAGGCGGGGAGTGGAGGACACATGATTGGCTCTGAGTACGTGAACCCGCTCTGGAGCCCCATTTCCCTATACTGATTGTATGCATAGCATGTTCATCTCCGAGGGCACGGCCGTGTATGTGCCCCCATACGTTTACCATCGCGATCCTCGTTACTTCTCTCCCGATCCCGATCGCTTCTGGCCAGAGCGGTGGCTGTCGAGAGGGGAGACGGGCGTCGTCTTGGACACGAACGCGTTCATTCCGTTCTCGACGGGCCCTGCCAACTGCGTCGGGCGGTCGCTCGCGCTGGTGGAGCTGCGCATGGTGTTGGCCTACCTGCTTCAAGCGTTTGAGTTTCGCTTCGCGGAGGGGTACGACCGCAGGGTGTACGAGGACAGTCTGCAAGATTTCCTGGTTACACACCGTGGACCTCTTCCGCTCGTCTTGACCCCACGCGTGGCTCATTGAGTTTGCGCTCGGAAACGCGTCATCAAACCGTGTTAGCAATGTTTTTCATCCTCATGTCTGACCCTATCGTTTCTCCCTGTATAAGTGTAATCCCATTTGATTACAGCATCATATTGGTGTGTTATGAGCTTTACTATATCCCCCTGCTTTTATTCTAATTGGCTCTTTGTAATACGACTCATGCTCTCTTGCGTAATGCGTCCGAGTCTGCGAACGAGCGATGACGCACATAATGTAAGCTGAAAATTTGTTCGTATGTAAGCGTAGTGCCACGCTCACTTTTCTCCTTCTCTCGTATTACATTCTCCCACTGTACCATCATCCCGTACTACATTTACTATTGATCTAGCACGCGGTGCCTCGAGGCCGCTCGCGCGAACTAATGTATCTAAAAGAGGGCATGATCTGACCTTATCGGGATCGCTTATAGTCTCGGACCAAACCCTCCATCTATCCTAAAAAGCAATTTAGCCGGGGGACACAACGCGCCACGGAGGTTCAGTCCGAGGCTACTGACATGCAGAGCCTCCCTCCTCAAATTTTACTTATATGTACTAATCATTGTTGCAATTGTGAGAAGGTGTCTCAATACTCTGAATCCTCTGCTCCTTTGTTGCACTGGGACTCCTGTGTTATGACTGCGCTTGTTGAGATCCCACTCGTTCTTGGCGACCACTCAGCTGCACCCGTGCTCTCCTGGAAAGACAAGAGCTGAATCATGACCATCGTCTTTTCGCGTTCGCCCTGTTATGCTATCCATATTCCAGCAGTCTCCATGAGGTTTGGAGCGGTGTAGTAGCTTATCATCATATGCCCACTGCACCAAGATTGTCAAAGAATTTAAACTTGCTCGAAGAGGCTCAGACCAAGGACGACGTGTCATTGTGCGCTCGTAATGGGGGAATTCGGGCGACTCATACAATGCCTGCGACATTCGGACTCGACGCGACTAATGGCTGGGATTCGAGTCGTCATTTTTCGGACCAGTTACGCTCAGTGAGATCGACTGAATTCCCTTGCTCGCCTATCTTTCTGTGTCGTGCGGAGAAGATATCAATTGGTGGTATTTGACAGTGTTGTAGCTATGTTCAACAAGTTCTTCAGTGGTCAAGAAGTCGGTCAGGTTGTTCAGCAAAATCACCTGAATTCCAGGAAGTCTTAGTGTATTTCAGGTTCAATCAGGTGCATCAGCACATCGAATTCAATTTGCTGATGGATGTCGATGAGGCCAGTAGGGATTGATGACATAAATCTGTGTCCGCGCAGATGAATATTGACGAACTGATTTCAAATCAAATATCACGGTCTCGTTTGTAATGACTTGCCGAGAATGCAGTGAACGAGCAAACTACTCACGTCTGTACACCACATATATCACGAGTATCTCGTCTGGATCCCGGGAGGCTTCGAACAGGATCCCGTCCTTCTCCATGTTTATCATCGGTCGCAACGTTTGCGAAGAATCCTGCAGTCCACCAACTTGTACGGATCCGTGGGGGGCATGAACGGCACCACCAGCAGAGAGCGGTGTACGGGGAAATTTATCGCATCACAATCAACACTCGATCCGCCCCACTTGTCCCGCTTACTAGCCTTGAAGTCAGAGAGGAGAGCGCCACAAGAAAGGTGGTTTTAGCAAAGGGTCCAATTTCAAACCCATTCAAATATGTTTTCCGGACCAATGAGCGAGCTCACCGCCTGAGGTACCCAAGCTCGCCAAGGGCGGACTGTGACTAGTACTCGCCCTTGTGGTCACTGAATCTGCGATGGACCACTTGATCAACGGTGGCGTTAGCATTGCAGCCGTGGTACATAGGTCCACGCAAAAAATCAAAGACAGTGCCGAACGGCCCTGCTCTTCTATTTGCTGCGATGAGCTAAAGCGTTTTTGTGCCGACAGCCTCAATTCGAATGAGCTCGGTTCGGCGTATGGTCCGTCGCCTATAGTGGCGCGTCCAGGCTCGATACGTGTGCGCTGTGATACATTAGGCTCATGGGCGCGACTCGCAGACACTCACCTTCGTCCCGTCGTGATTCTATCAATATCTCATGGCGCCGAACGAACGTACCGGGCAGTCTAACTAGCAGTGGTGATGATTTTGGACAAGTTGAAGAGAATGACATAAGAGAATGACATAATGCAGAATACGCGTAAGCGCAGCCACACATCACTGGCTCAAGTGACTAGGTGTAGCTGTATGGACAATTGGATAATCTACATGAGCGTTTATGTCATCGAATAGAAACAGCGCTGCTGTAAGCTTCCCGCTGAAATGACGTTGGAGCTGCTCACTATAAAATAGTGCAAAGTATGTATATCTACGCTCGCTTGAAGGATGAGCTCAAGGTCCTTCTAGCTCTCGGTCAACAGTGCCCGATACTGTGGAAAGGCTAGGTACTGGTTGAAACGCGGAGTATACGTCGTACGACATTATGGAGGACACGCCATGATCCCCTATTAATGCCTCGCGGAGGTTGCGGATACACCTCGATAGCGTGAGGGTGGTCAATCTGTTATGAGGGTATCAGCTAAAACCGGGGCGTTTCCGACCGAAAGCCTAAAACAACTGACACCGCAACATAGAGGTCCACATATGTGAAGCCCTAATATCACATGTTGGTCAGCAGATCCCCCTGGACGGGTGCCAGACTTACTTACATCAACGACCCAAAATAATATGTCCAACATGTTGAGCGCACAAAGCACTCTATAGACTGTAAGTAAGCCATAGAGCCGTACATTTCCCCTGTAAGGGAGGATTGAAAGCTGTCTTACACAAAATAGAAAGATCCTGAGAAAGAGCATCAGCGTCATCGAATCCAGTCAAGGTCATCTGCATATTGCAAGTACACACCGTCTCTCAGTAGCAATGACGACAAACTCGCTTTAGCGTGCGTCCGGCGAATAATCCTCTGGATATGATACGTCTTGCTTAAAATGACCAGTAGCACGATGGCGTCGGATACAACAAGGCTTGCTCTTGCGGCGACGGTGACTGCGCAAAGTAATCATAAGACTAGATGGCTCTGTAAAACAAGAATCTCATACATCTACATGATCGCAGTAAATATCAAGTGATGTGGCATTGAGGCTAAGACAACAAACCTATTGGATATCGCTACCGGGGCAATATTATATAGCATACAGCCAGAAAAGGGTGAGAGCGGGACTAGCCTGAGATTGCAGAAGTGGAACTATGAAGGCGTCAGGGGCAGCGCCGAGTCAAGGAGGGATGGCACCTACAATGTCTGAAACCAAAGGCACCAGTGCCAACGCAAACACGAGGAGGGATATATACCAGTTGCGCTCCGAAATGACAAATACGCGGAGTGTCGAGAACACTGTTGGAGCGTAAGCCACGGCACGAACTTCAGAAGACAGTCTCTAGCGACTTACTCGCATACATAATATCGAGACACCAGTAGCAGAGAGACATCACCCAATAGATGGGATGGCCGCTAAATTCGATCAGCGTCAGAACGCCATCCAGTAGCGCTCGAAGAATGGTTGTCATACTGCTAGGAAAAAGAGTCATTCTAAATTCAAGAAAACCAACTTGAGCCTCACTTTGCAATCTGAACATAATAGAATAAGACATAACACAAGAGACAGAATCTGTGCGAAATGAACTATGTGGTAAAGCACTGTCATAAGGGTGAATTTGCGACACCACAGTGTGCCAATTTCGTGGTCGAAGTTTATTATGCGATCGTATATATACAAGGCTGAATAGTCGATGAGGTCTCAGTTTGATCAGAGTTTGTCTGCTCAGGTGCTCACCTAGGGCAGAAGTGAAGCTGAAAACGATAGTGGACCTGTCGCGTACGTAACTCCGTGATCAGATGGGAAGACAGTATCCACAACGACACCATGATTCATACCAACTCTGCAAAGCGACGAAGTTTGGCGAAATCATGATTTCCTCGCGTCCTATTGTATGGTTTTAGGAGGCTGAACAATCCTGCAGCTTGAGAATGATGGGTGAAGATAATACGGCACCACAGATTTATGGAGGGCAACAAGTGGGCATCACTCGGTTATTTATATGCATAAAACAGCGTAGATTCAGATTGCTTCCGAACAATTGTGGCGCCCTCCCATCAGCGGCGACTCAAAGTACTCAGCACTTTGGGCGAGTTTTGCGGTTAATGAGCGCGCCACCTTCGGCTTGCAGGATCGCGGATGTATCTTCATCTGCAAGTATGCACTTAGCGAGTTCGGGTGCTTAAGGTGGTATGTTCGCACATTGGCTCGGCAAACACTTTTGAATGAGGCGGAAACTGAACCCAATTGAAAAACATTTTCGGTGGCGCTCCCCTCTCCGATGTTGGCCCCTAATATTATTGATCTCTGGAGTTGTAAGCGATGGACTCACGCGAAGCCTTGCCGCCACCGCCGTCTTCACACTCAGTCTCGCATCCCGATACCCATCTCGTCCACATGGCTGCGTGTAAGTAGCAGAAATTGCCTTGGAGGCCATTCCAATTGAGAAGCGCACCGAGCGGCATCCCATAGCATCATCCGATGTGGCTACATGCGAGTGCACAAAATGAAAATACCACTGAAGACACGCACGGCGGTCCGTCCGAGGCGCGATTCTCCATTTCTTAGAATCGCTGTCTTTGCTATTGAAAAGGCCGGCACGCCGGAAATCCTGAGCGCACTGACTCGCGATCGGAGATATCGCTGTCATTGCTATAGGCAAGGCGCACGGGTGTCCCTAGAAACCATGGCAGACTTCCCACGATAGATCTAATGGATGTACTTATCCTTACACCGGAGACATGTGGTTGCATTTCTCTCATATTTGAAACACATTGGGTTTTATCCTGTTACCAATGCAACCAAGATAACTTACAAGGTTGTGACTACTATATACCTAATTCGATGTGTAACATCTGATAAAGAATATCTAATTAGAGCTTACTTAGCTATATTGGCGCCAATAAAAAACCCCATTTGGGACGTCATTCGGCTGTCGCAAATGGTCCCGTGTCTGCAGTGTTACCATTCGTTCGGCACTCCATTGGGCACCTCAGTTATGCAGAGCTCAAGTCTGGTTCCCTTCACTCCGTACTTTTTACAGTGTATTTTTACTAGATTAGTTATAATCTCGAGGTCGAACGACGAAAATCTGACAAGTGGTTGTTGAGATCGTCATTTCAGCGTAATAAGACCTAAAGTCACCTCCTCTGTCACCTTGCCGAGCCGCGTCGTGGCGGAGTTAGAGAATGTTTCATCTTGACTTCATAGCCGACTGAGGGGGTCGGATAGTATAAGGGCCCATAGTATTAGCATATGCAGTGGCACGATTGACGCAGTTCATAAACGAATGTCATAGTATCGCAGCACATGACAACCCATACTCATACCCCTGCCATACCCACACACTACTTGGTACTTCCCAGGTGTTACTTTTCTCGCTTCTGATTTATCCCTTGACTCTAAATCGAATTGTCATGTTCGCAACAATTCATCAGGTCGCAAACAGGTCTTTCGACTACGTCATTTGCGGTGAGCCATTGGGCCCTTCGAGTTGTTAGATACGGTACATTCTAGCTTACCCGAACTCATGCTTGTGTGCCGTAGGTGGCGGCGTGAGCCCTAGTGACGACACTCGTCAACGAATTTTGTGCTCACTATATTGCGCCTGTAGACTGCTGGCTTGACTCTTGCTGCAAGACTGTCCGAAGATCCTAATGTCACAGTGCTAGTTCTCGAGGCTGGCGGAGCGAACCTCAACGATTGGTCGATCCGTGAGCTGAACCCTCTGAGAGAGTATCCGCGTCTCGCCTAATAACCTTCTCCAGTGCGATCCGCCTCGTGGGGGAGCCATTTCAACAACCCGAAGCAAACTTGGCTCTATTCTACAGTAAGAGTATTATCATCTGGTTTCCGATCTCGCATCATTGTATATGGGCTTTGATCATCAGGCTAAGCAACAATTTGCTGCTGACCAGGAGCTCGTCTGGCCAAGGCGGGCATATCTAAGTCCATGTGGTTGTCTCCCGCATTGACTGGCTCTCTAGAGGAAAGGGTCTCGGTGGATCTACGCAAATCAATTATATGTCCTGGACAAAACCTCCCGCGAATGAGATAGACGGTGCGATCCACGCGCATGATTAGGAGCACTTTGTTTTCTGACGAATCCGCAAGCGTTTGAGCGGCTGGGAAATCCTGGTTGGAATTGGGAAAATCATCAGAAATACGTTAAGCGCACTGAAGGGTCCATTCTTCGTCTGTGAATGTGGGCGGGCGCCTTGCTGATGATATTCGTTGTTCTACACAGCTTCGTAGTGCCCGGGGCCGAAATGCAAAAGCGAAACGGCTTGTCCTTTGACACAGTAGACATTAGCACAGACGGTTGGTCGTGTTCTCAATTGGGGCTTGTTCTATTCATCGACCGTGCTGACCATCCCAGGTCCCTTGAAGATTGCATATCCAGGCACAATAGAGGAGGCAGAATTGAAGATTCAAGAGGTGGGAGTGAACCTTTGCATACCTATTACAGTGATGACCTGAAATTGGCTGCTCATAACCCTCCCAGACATTCATCAACGGCGGCATATCTGTCGCGCCTTGCCCCGTGAGCTCGCTAAGGATGTTTCGAATGCGCCATCTCATTGGAGACTTTCACCGCTCAAATAGTTCAATGGCGACGTAAGTGAAAAAGAAGAAAAAAATATAAAAAGTATGTCGGTGTTCAACATAGGTCTCACATAGCCCGAGGGCGCGTATTGGTGTCCCAGTACGTACGATCCAACTACACATACGCGTTCATACGCGACTACAGTGCGGAACCAGTCATCATCCAAGTATTGCTATCATTTCTTATGGCCATCTCCAGGCTTTCTACGTTCCGAACGAGGACCGAAAAAACTTGATCGTGTTGCTGGATGCCTATGTGACCCGCATAATCACAAAGAGATCCACGGCGGGCGCTGTCTCCGCGAAGGGGGCGGAGTTTGAACACGAAGATGGCACATACGTCGTTAACGCGCGAGCGGAAATCATCTTGTCCGCAGGGTGAGTCTCATCATTATGTAAAATGCGACGAGATAATCATTCAAAATGCTATCGTCTAAGGTCGCTCAAGTCCCCTCATATCCTCGAGTTATCAGGGATAGGGAGGAGGGAAGTACTAGAGAGAATTGGTGCACCGTTCAATGTGAATCTTCCTGGAGTAGGGGAGAACCTTCAAGACCATATTGTTGTCGCAGCCGCATTTGGTGCGCCCAGCTTTTCCTCAAACATCTTCGTCATCCGAAAATCTCGTTTCTCAGAGCTACGCGACGAAGTTGAATGGGAGACGGCAGACCTACTGCGTGATCCTGTACTCGAGGCAAAACACCACAAGCTGCAGTAAGTACTCAGCGCTTCCATAACCGTGGACTCGCATGATGACGTTTCTCCGCGTAGTGCTCAAGGAGAGGGCATCTACACTACGAACATCTTGAACATGGCTTTTGTTTCGCTTGCAACTGTCACAGATAAGTCGGATATTTTGTACGAGGCTACAAAGACGAAGATAGCAGAGAATGCCCACACGTACCCGCCTGGGCTTATGGATCAGTACGAGATCCAGCTTGAGCGTATGCAGCAGCGCGCGCCTGGATGCGAAATAATCTGTATTCCCGGATTTATGTCGGTCCCGAGTGAGTGTCCGCGTTGTACATTTATTAAACGTTTCCACCTTGATTCGTTAAACGCAATAGATCCACCCGAAATGGGGAAACGGTATGTGTCGCTATGTGCGGTGTTGGACCATCCATTCTCGAGAGGGGTGATCGTGAGTTTCAGTGACTGAATCTGCACACATTCGGCATACTAGTCCATTCACATACAGCATAGCAAATCTGCCAATCCCCACGACGAGCCCGATATAGATCCGCGCTACTTTGAGCAAGAGATTGGTGCGAGGCAACGCTACTATCTTGCTCCTATCTGCAAACTAAATCGACGCCTGTATTTGCAATTGGCAGATCTTGATATCCTGACTGAACTCTTGAAATTTGTCCGCGGGCTAGCCAACCTCGCCCCCCTCAAAGATATGATTGGTGAGTGCGACTGTTAACTTTTCGCTGTCAATTACAAACATTTGGACTCCTTCCTTATCGCAACCAGTTCAAGAAGTGAACCCGGGACCCTCGGTTCAGACTGACGAGCAACTCAGGGGTGGGGCATATTCCGCGCAGCATTTTATCAGCCATTTCTTATGCCGGTCCCTATATGCCTGCGCCAGCGCACGTCAAACAATTCGTCGGCACAATTCCACGTAGGCGACCACCCTTGTTATCGTCTCGTCGTCTGACGTAGTTCCGGCTTAGATGCCACCTCGACATGCTCTATGCTTCCGCGAGAGCGCGGAGGCGTTGTTGACTCCAGCCTCAAAGTATGTTCGACGATATCCTACCGACAACCTGCTTTTTGGAAGCTCATCATGCGCACAATGTACAGGTCTATGGCACGACGAATCTCCGTGTGGTTGACCTCTCGGTCGTGCCACTGATCTTCGCGGCGCATCCTATGGGTTAGCAATCGTATCTTGCGGACAGGACATGATATTCATACTCGATGCAGAAACGGTCTTCGCAATCGCTGAGCAGGGTATGTATCGGCCGGTAATGTCAGTCACTCGGATGTAATCATGTCTGGCATCTGGTCTTCCACAGCTGCGGATATCATCAAGGGTACATTCAGCGCTTGAGGCAGCCGCAGGTGGGCCTCACGTAGACGTTGGACGTGTAGAAGGGTCAACATATATTCATCAAGGTGAGTTCCTGCGTCTCACATAACCAGAAACCATGCATCGATCGACGTAGGGTAGTCATCTGTGAATTTCATTCTAAATGTTGGCCATCTTGAGGGCAAAGAATGTGATGCAGATAGTACAGACCAGAAGGACTATATCTTCATTGCTACAGCATCACAATTTCCTTACTTCATCATGTCTATGTATATAAGTATATGCTGATATCCTACAAGTCTGCTGCTGCAACATCAGATCAAACCTGGTCACACCACGATGTAACGCGCGCCGTACCTCCCGCTTTGATTTATACACGTTGTAGAGTTCATTATGCGTTTGGGCAGGGTACGTCCCCAGTCTCATCCACGATTTGAAGCTGGCACGAACCGTGATTGTCGTCTGAGCGCTGGACCGAATCTTGGTGATAACAGACGCAGTCAGATAATGATTGCCTGAGGGATAGTAATAGTCAGGACGCATACGCACCGCTTGAGCAAAAGCGGAATGGGTATCATCAATGCCGCGCACAGCCCCAAGATAGTGGACGCCCATCGGGGATTCAGTTGTTCGTACATCTGCGTCGCAAAGAGCTGCAGGGAATCATGATGTTAAGCGCAGAGTAGAAGCAGGGCACGGCCGATCAGAACGAAGAGAAGATGCTTACGGGAAAGCCGGCTGCGGCAATGCTTCGTATCACTGTGTTCGCCGCCAGCGCGGAAGCAGCCACGAACAGATACACGTCTTGAGTTACCGAGTCACTCGTCAGAACATGTCACGCCCACAAGAACAGTACACGACCCACCGACGATGTAATTGAACAACGCCAGCTGCAGCCGGACGTAGACATTTCAGCACAATTCACAACCGAGAAGGGAAAACGCAGCCGCACGAATATCCAGATGACGGAGAATCCCATCATAACTCCCGAGAGCATCGGCGCCCAGTAAGATATTGAGGGATACGACGTCCATCTGCGTAATGCGAAAGTCAGCAATCACGCAGCTCCTAAACAGATTTGGCCACGAACCCGAACCAGAAGAAGCTGATCGCGAGAAGCGGCGCACCCCATAGCGCCAGCTCAAGCCGGATCTCGGGCGCGACGCTCTCGGGCGCAGCGCGGGCGGCGGCAGCTTCGTAGCGGGGGTGGAAGATCAAGAGGTACTACAGGAGGTGGGTCAGCAAAGTCCTTTGATGCGGGACGATACACGATAGAGAGGGATTAGAGGGGTTGTAAGCGGAGAAAGAACGCCTGAAGCGTGAAGGGATGGCGGCACGGATGGGCACTCACCCCCGCGATGCCAAGAACAATGCCGATTACGACTGGAATCCATACCAGGCCTCCCGCGCCTAACAAGTCCCCACGAGTATCCCAAAACAGTCACGTCGACGTTAATTGTCCAGCGTCCAACCATGAAGTGCAGCCCATTCAGTCAGCATCCCACACTGACGAAGACAGAGACGATCGCACCAGACGAGAAATGGTGTCCCTGCTCAAATACGACCGGGAACGCCTCGAACATAAGGTACATGACGCCATACAGGAACTGCCGCGCGCATGTCAGCGTCTTCATGCGCCAGATGGAATGGAAATACACGCACGCTCATGTACAGCGTCGTGACAATCAGCAGCGGCTCACGCATGAGAATTCGGAACGGCAGCGTCACGGTGTGCCGCACGCGCGCGGCAAGCGAGAGGGGCGCAGCGAGCTCGAGGGGCGCGGCGTACCGCGCGTCGCCCGTCGTGAGCCGTAATCGGCGGGCCTTGTGCGCGAGGAGTGCCGGGCTGTGTGGGACGTGTGCAGGGGATGTCGAGCGTACATTGAGATAGGCCATGGAGAGGGAGAGATAATGCGCACGGGTATGTCTCTTCCAGCGTGAACAGGACCAACAGGATACATACGCCTGCCTGCGTTCTTTGGTTGATGAAAGCTCAAAACAGATGGAAGAGGCACTCGTACCATAATCGCGATGATCCAGAACAACCACCGCCACGAAATGTTCGCTTCAGCGATGTACCCCGAGACGATCGTCCCACTGTGCACGTTCGCAGCACCAAGGATGCAGAAGGGGAAAGATCGCATTAGAGTGGAGTCGCAATTTACGATTGTGATCATAGGTGTGCAGTTAGTGCGACTGATGGCGTGGAGCCGATGGAAGCGGTGGGACGTACCATGCAGGGCTCATGAACGGCGCGACAATGAACACGGCGAGCGCGATCCCACGCGTGTGTGCGTCCCAACTGGCAAACAGTTATGTTGTGCATCATATGTTGCAATTTGGTTCAGAATAGCATAGTTCGGATGATGTCATACACCAGAAGCACAATTTGAGAGTATTCCATGATTGGGTCGTGTAGGGGCCGGGTCAACGCATGCAGGCGGGCGAAGGAAACAGAGGACTTACATGTCGGATATGAGTGCGCTATATGCGCATCGTCATCGAGCACGACAACGGATAAGCCTGCATACGGACGAGAAAAAAACAACTACGACGCACCCGCTGTTCGACATTGGCGCCGCGGCAAACATGCCACCCAGCAGGCGGAAGAGCATGAGCGCTGTCGCGTTCGGTGCGAGCGCACAGCCGATTTGAAAGCACTGTGCATGCAAGATGCAGTTGGATATCACGAGTGAGCGACGGCATATAGTCGGCATGAGGGTGTACAGTGTCACAGAGAGGGTGCCGAATGGAGAAGAACCTTACCGCATAGATGGGCAGAGACACCAGGAAGACGGGACGCCGACCGTACTGCACGCACGTCGACATGTCGAGTTTCGGCAGCCACCACAAGTCAGCAAACCATCAAGTCGTCATCCAATGCATCCGCCATCGCACCAGTCAAATGACCCATCAATCACGCGCATATAGCCACCGCTTGAGCTCAGCGATGGCAAGGAAAGAGGAACGGGCGCACCTGTTCAGAGAGCGGACCCCAGAAGAGCGGCCCAACGCAGTAACCAAATATAAAGAGCGAAATGGTGAGCGTAGCAAGCTCTTCGGAGATGTTGAAGGCTTCCATGAGCTTGGACGACATTCCTGAGGGTGCGGAAGACGCGAAAGCGCTATATATACGGGGTTCATGGCGTTGAGCGGAGACATGAGTGTGAGCAGGGGAAAATAGATATGCGAACGACTGACGCGTTGAATCCGAGCACGCCTGCGACGAATGTCAGGTACCATCGTTTTGCCCGAGACCAATTCTGTGTGTGCGACGAGATATGCGTGTTTGAACCGTTGAGGGATGTTTCTGATGAGTGTGAATTGCGCACCTTTGGGTTGTATGGGTCGTCCACGTCGAATGCGACGACGATGGGCTCCTGCGAGTCGAAAGCCTCTTTCTCGATATCGAGCTCATCGGAGGGCGTTTTGACCTGGGTATCGAGTTCACTCATGCTCGCCATCACTTGTTTCACGCGATTCAAGGGTCGGTAGTGAGTACACGACACGAGAGACGAGGGACACACGCGGATGAGCTGCGGCGCAGACACAGAGGGATCGAGGAGACTTGAATATACATGGGGTGTAGATAGGGTTTTGAGTCAAGACGAGTCGCGCCGCGTGGCGTAATCAAAAGCGAGCACGGAAGCGGGGGGGCAGCATGCCCAGCTGATCGCGGTGGGGCTTCTTCGCATCCATCGCAGGTGCTGTGTTTGCGTCCGAGATGTGCGCCGCATGGCCCGCCGCGCGCGATGCAGAGCAGCTCGAGAACAACCCCAGAGCTGTAGTGATTGGTGTCATCTCCGGGCTGTTCGGTCGCGCACTCGGATCTGCGGCAGAGAACAGAGGTGAAATGGACCTCTGAAACTGCAGGGGGTCGACAACGTGTGTCGGTCTGATCTCGCTCTACACGGCGATGGGTGGACGATGGACCTTCGCTGGGCCCAGGACGGTCGTGGGTGAAAGAGCCGGGTCCGGGATTCTTCTTCTGATAGGTATGGAAGCCAACTCCGATGGAGAGTCCTCTTCCTCCCACAGCGCCGAATAAAGCTCCCGTGACAACAATTTTCCTGCCCACCAGGCGTGTGCCGCTGCGCCCAGCTTGACGCACGTATTCACGGGTCTCTGCGAAAGCCCTTACAGGTCAGCGCAGCAACTATCAGACTCCAACTAGGCCGGCCCCGGCGCGAGTCATTAGTAGTCCACTGAGATGTGGCCGCACAACTTCGGCACAACCCTGACCGTCAAGTATATGCGAACAAGTCCAGAAAGAGATGCAGCCCACGCACGTTCTATCACACTTTATCAGAACATTCAATTTCTGCGGGCTGGATCCCGTCATACATGCCTTCTCCATGGACTAGGCAGCAGCATCGTGCGTACCGAGATCACACTAGAATAAGGAATGCGTGAAATCAATTGTATCTGGGATTCTCCTGCGGCCAATAGCATCGTCAGATAACAATAAACCATCGCGTACCTCATACGAGTCATTACATACTTCATTCTTGTACGTCGTTGGACTCGACGTCATTAGATTTTGCTTGAATTCCTTCAAGTTACTGGCAAAGCCGCATTGCAAATATAGACATTGACAAGGAAATCTAGAAGGCAGGCAGCCAACCCCAAGAATGAATTACGACTGACACGACGAAGTGAAGTAAATCAATTATTTGGAACAGGCGACAACCGAGCACAATTCAGAAGCCGCCCGCTGTACTCGGGCGCCAAATACTGCTGGCATGGCATATACCAACAGTACTCATACGTGATCTTGTTCAAGTCTTTCCCTTGTCTGGCACCTCTTGATCCATCTCCCAGAGGAATCTCAGACTCCAAGTCCAATTCACCTACGCAAGCTGTTGTGATCTTATTTACTTCTAGCTTCGCTGCGACTCGTCAGTATATTTTGCACTGCTAAATCCTGCATGACTGGTCCGTATCGATTGCACTTTACTTTGGCGTGTTAAGCTTCAATCTCACGTCCTGCATCTCTGTACCCTCTGATTAGCCCTGTCCTCCAGACGACAGATGCCTGATTTAAGACTGCGTACTTGGCCGTAAAGAGCATGGCGACTAGGAACTCGTCATATTCTCTCCTTCCAACGCGTCTGCATCTCTGATTGTGGGATCGCTGCGACCTCCGAACAAGGCTTCTGCGCACATGAATGCATTTATTTCAGGATGTCAGCCTGACGCTTGGAGGTATAGAGCCCGACGGGAGCTCGAAGGGTGATTGTAACCTCGGAGCCAGCGCAGTAAGTGCCAATTGCCACCATTTGGTATCTGATATTTGATGTTCCCAGCCAACTCTCAGTATCTGCATCAGATCCGAAAACAGCCGCAGTGGAGTCCTCATAGCATTCCCAATGTTCGCAGGCGCTGGCACGGGCCTTTGTGCAGTTCGAACACCCACGGATCTGTCTCCCTATCTACGACGAAGCCGAAGAATGCCCGCCGCCTGGTCTTCCTCTTCGATCTGTCAGTATCTGCGCCGCCATACGCGCGCGTATATACCGCAGCTTAATATGACAGTTATCTCACTTCACAACTATCTGTCAGCACAAGATCCTATAGCATTCTCGCCCGAAGTCCGACCCGTCATTCACCGGATTCTATCATACATATCTTTATTATTCTGCGCCACATTTCGTTCACAGTAGGCCTAAGCGTCTTAAGCACTGAACTTCCCCTTGATGATGTCCGCGGCTGCGTATTACAGAACAATTAGCTTGTCAATTCGACGTGCACTATTGCCATCGAGACGTACCTTGCTCCGCAATCGCGAATACGGTTGCTATATGCAAGTACATCATAGTTGTTAATTGAGTATTTACCCGGGGACCCAAACAAGGAGATGCATAGCTTACCCGTTGGATGCGCCGCGAAGATCAGAGGCGCTATGGAAAAGTCGACAACGCGAAGGTTCGTCGTGCCGTAGACCTGTGCATGTCAACGTCATAAGCTAATCATGTACGAGATAGACAGCGCCGAATGCGACGCCGTCATACTCACCTTAAGATTAGGGTCGACTACGCCATTTTTCTCCTTCGGGAGCATGGAGCATGTGGCGGTCGTATCTGTATGGCATCGAGGTTAAAGAATGTAAGAGTCAAGGCCAAAGTCGGGAATACTTACGCCACGTTGAAAAGAAAAATTGCTTTACGTAGTCTGTCCGACGCGGACAGAGTCATTATGCAGGTCTGCCAATTGGGTACAAAACGAGACGCGACGTACCCCGCACCTGGTCGTCGGTTTGAATTTCTGGCCCCGGGTTCACCTCAGAGACTGGTCAAGAAGAATTGAGCCAGCTTCAATTATTGATCTATACAATTACTTACCAAGCATCTCCTTGAGCGGAGAAACTTTGGCCAGCCCTCGGGCAAATTTCACCAATTCCACCTGGATATCGAGATCTAGTATGGGGAGCGAAGACGCAGGATTGGAACGCAGTATTCAGCTGTAAACAGGTAGAATCACCTACCGATTTCTTGTTCGAAGAAGCATGGGTCAATTTCTGGGTCGTCTCGCGGGTTAGACGATTTGCTATGCTACACGCAGGCAGGGTGTATGCTCATAAAATAATGATTGGGGGGACACGCATTAAACACTCACCATCCAGCCTCTCGAGAAGGTGTGGTTCAACGAGGGGAACAGCGTCACATAACGCTTCCCTGGTGCAGGTGGATCTGCACAGTATGCACGATCAACCCGTGATCAACAATTGGGGAACACAACCATAGGACACGCACTTGGGACCGAGATGAATACGGGGAGACAGATCAATTCACACCCAGGGGCGCCCTGGCGCATGCGTTCTAGCTGGATTTCGTACTGCTCCATCAGTCCAGGCGGGTATCTATGTGCGTTCTCCGTGATCTTCTTCTTGATAGTCTCGTAGAAAGCATCCGCTTTGTCTGTTATCAAATCGAGAGGCAGGAAAGACAGATTTACAGGGGCCTTTGTGTAGATTCCTTTGCCCTGCGCGCTAACGATCGGGTGTCAAACGATGAGAGGTGTAAGTAGTATACAGGGGAATTCCGAACTTACTGCAGCTCGCGGTGTTTAGCTTCGAGTACAGGATCCCGCAGCAAATCAACGGTCTCCCAGTCAACTTCCTCGCGCAGTTCTAGCAGAATCATTCGCGTGATTAGGAACAACGGACAAGGAGCCAAATACGACAGGTGCATACCGTAACTCATCGAGACACTGAAATGGTCCTGAAGGTTCTCCCCGACTCCCGGAAGCTCCACTTTCATCGGTACGCCTATCCTCTCCAGTACATCCTTCCTTCCTATTCCAGACAGCTCGAGGATGTGAGGCGATTTCAGCGCTCTACGACACAGAAACCACAGAAGAACGAGAGAACACAACTTCAAGTAATTATATAGACTTGAGCCGGAAACACGTACCCCGTACATAGGATAACTTCCTTACGTGCATTCACAGTGTATGTTGCGCCTTCATGCTCGAACTCTACTCCCTTTGCGGTGATTGCGCCCCCCTCAGCATCCTCTGTGACTACACGGTTGACAAAGGCGTCTACGAGCACAACGAAGTTCTTGCGGTCCTTGTTGGGAAGATAGAAAGCCTAGATGGAATTGTAGATGAGCACAGCGGCATGGCATCACGGAACTGCTTCGTACGGTAGTCGCATATGAACGCGTGTGTGTAGCAGGGTCATATATACTTGGAGCAAAAAATGTGCCTTTTGGCTGGATGATGCTGATGAACACAAAGACGCTTCGCGAGGTCAGATGTAGCACCACTCACGTCTCCGTTCAGCTAGAGATTCGGTGAAATTTGGTGAGAACTGGGATTGTGATCACGGATAGGAGGAACTTACAGGTAGAGGCGCAATTGGAAAACCGGCATTAATTAGGGTCTATGGGATGTGTTGTCTGTGAGTTTGGAGGCACATATGAAGACAAAATATCAATACCTCTCTGACCCTCAATTCGCCCTCGTCTATCGTGCCCGGATATGCGACCTTCAAGGGACCTGGAAAGGCACGAGGTTATGTAGCAATAACTCAGTATAGCGCAGGGGGCTCACCATCGGTGCCAATTTCAAGGCTGTCTATGAGTAGATGGTTCCGTTCTTGCACTTCGGCGCTAGGCGTCACAAATCTGATGTTTCCGACATCGACCATCAGCATCACGTACGACTATCTTAATTTTGCACAAAAACTGACCCTTCGGTACGCGCAACATATTTCTGATGATTCTTCCAATTCCAGCCAGGATTTCCGAGCCGCTCGAAATCTATCAGCGAGACCATCAATAAAGTATGTCTAGAGAGTGCCTTTAAGTCACACCATCTATTTCACTTGCCGGAGGCTTGGTCCAGGACATAAAATTTATCTGGGTTGATCCCCCGAGACCTTTCCCTCTAACGATTTATTAGTATTTAAACCTCGGATTGGGGATTGGGTGGGCATCCACTTACCGAACCCAAGTGAGCTCCTGATTGGCTGCATGCTTCTGATTTACCTGATTTTGATCCGTAGAATCAGTCTGTAGTATATCACAAGGATCGATGATTTACATACCGTTCGATAAGCCCAGCTTTGATTGGGATTTCCGAAATGGCTGCCCCATGAAGCAGATCGCACTAGGCAGGACGTTCTCATATCGTGAGTGAACGCATCTCCTCCACGCATTTACTTACAGATGGTCCAGTCGTCAATGTTCGCGCCGCCGGCTTCGAGGACTAGGACAGACACGCTGGGATCCTCGGTCAACCTCGCGGCGACCGTCAGACCTGCAGTCTAAGAGTTGATTGCAATAAGGTCTTTCGTGACAACAATCGAGATGTCGATTGACTCACCCCACCACCTAACGAGTGCTTATGAGATCTCGTATGAATACGTTAGATGGGGCGCACCGCATATAACATAATCATATGTCCCACTACTGTTCACGACTTCGTCGACGGTAGCCAACATTTCTATCTTCTAATCCCTGATGTTGGAGAGCGTTGGATGTGGAGGTAAGTTTCAAATAGCAGCAGAACTGTCCGAGTTTCTGAGTTTGCTTTTATACTGGTATCTCAGCAATCCAGCCACAGCCGTCGAGCCGAGAAGAGCAGGACTAGTAAATACAACACAGCCATCAATAAACTGTGTCATTCTTGGATTTTTGTACTTCAGTATGCAGGCACTTACATTGTTGTTGTGAGATCCGGGACCCAAATGGGAAAGCTGGGCAGAAACTGACTGATAGCCACGGAGAGGTTGAAATCCCGGGTCGGAGATCTGCGCGTGGAGGAAAGTCATTATTGGTCTCGTCCCCAGACGTGACGCGTGTGGAAGATGCGCCCCAGACGTATTCAACACGTCTGGGGAGTATTTTCGACACGCGTCTGGCCCGGGGAAGTGTCTTCCACGCGTCGGGGAACGAGAGTGCGAGACCAGCACTGGCAGTCGCTACATGAAGATACGTCACATGACTCTCAGTCCTACTTACCAGCGTACTGCTACTACGCGTCAACGTAACACACTTGCTACACCCGCCGCGGACGCCATGTAGAGAGAAGGACTACACACCAAATCCTTGTCCGCTACAGCGGCCGGTACAGGAATCGCCACCCACACCCCCACCCCATGGGAGAAAACGCGAGATACCGCTCCTGTCCCCCAGGTGCGACCTTACCCTCACCGCTCAACAATCCGTATGCAGCCTACCAGTCACATTGACGACCACTCAGCCAACAATACATTTCGACAGCATCGGCGAAGAGGTCACTCCTATCGATTCCACATCGCCACACCTGCGCAGACATCAAACGCGTTGCGCAGAGATCAAACACGTCGCGCACGAACTGCGCGGTTCGTGCCTCAAGGCCGCGTCGCTCGAGCGCCGCCATCAACCAGTCCGTAGATGACGGTGTATGGCGCATGTGAGGGAGCACCAGTACTGTGGTCTCGTACCCAAACGCGTCGAAGACACAGTACTGTGCAAACGGCGTCTGAGAAGAATTCGCATCGAGACGGTTGAGCAACACGTGCGTCTCGTTCTCCGAGCAGCTCTCCAACCGGCAGAAACGACACGTCCGCCGGTTGCGAGAATCGGATGGAAAGACTAGGCAGAGCTGTTCCATCGCGAGCGAGTGGTCGCTACAAGGGAGACCAGTCAATGTGAGCCTGTCCCCACTATCTTTGATGCACGAGATTCAAGTGTTTGCACGAGCCGTCGCCCCAGCCAGGGATGTACACCTTTTTGATCCCGCAGGAGTGGCTCCCACACCGACATAAGAAGATTGCCCTGCGCCGTGTTCTCCACCGCCTGATCAACAGCCACGGTCGCTGAGACCTGCCTGGGGGTCCAGAGCAACCGAGACTGACAGTGCGGCCAGAATACGCATTCACATCTGTCTCAGATTTCACTTGAGTTGAATTTCAGAACTCAACAGATAGTGATAGTAGTACGGGTACCAATAGGTCAAGAATGAATAAAGAATTCCGAAGATCGGGGCTTTGGGGTTATAAGGATCATAAGCAATGCAGAAATGTATGAGCAGATGGTTTCCAGCATCTCAAGTCCTAGCATCCAGAGATTGATCTGGCAAAGCCTGACCGTTGTCCAATTGGGCAGACCAAACCTGATACACCTATACCATATCAGACCATGCTAGACCTCCCTTTCAATTGATGGAACGGGACAAGAAGTTGTCACCCGGGCCGTGAGTACGCATGAGTACATGTGTTCTAGCGCATCGGACGTCAGAGTCCAGGATAGTTGTTCCCAATGAGAACCTCAATCTTGGTGGTTACAAGGATGTAACTCTGGTTTCAACTATCTATGCAGGTCAATTTAGGTCTACGATTTCGCATCTTGCTGACTATGATGCTAATAAACGCGCTGTGTTCGAGTGGTCTTGGCTAACCTGGCGCAAACACCGCAGGCAAGGACTTTGACGACAACATGGCGCAAATACGTGCCATAGTACCAGAAGCATTCAAGATTGGTATGAAAGTGTCGGCATCAGCTGCAGCAAAGCTTTAGGAGAACATACAGTTTGCTTTTTTGCTTTTTAGTGTCTCTTTGTACTTGAAATTTTCTAACTTACATCTTAAACTGAATCTAATCGGCTGTGGTTTCGTTTAGCACAACATAACAACCCATTGGTTTATCGTCCACCAGGTTGTCCCAACAACACCTGAACTTGTTCGAGAGACTGCTATTGCGAAGTCACAGTCTGAGCAACGTGAACAGCTACTCAAGGGAGGGATGATGGTGTGTACAGAGCATATACCTTCCTCGAGCGCACAGGATCTCTCTGTGTGATGGATGTCCCATGGAAGGATCCCTAGCCTGGCTTGTACATCTCGCGCCGGAGAGAAGGCCTATGTAACTTCCTCACAAGGATTCGTACTAGGAGCACATCATGCCGTATTCGAGGCCGTTGCCTGCGATGTTCCAATATGCACCAAGATGTTTATCCGATCGTGAAGAAAAATCTGACTTCGTTTGAACAATGTGCCTTGGTCAAGTATCAATTGACTCCTGCAATTTCCAGAGAAGATCATATTATTCACGCTTCAGAATAATGGTTACACGGCTATCCGTAAAAATCATGCTAAATACGATCATGCACTTGATTCAACCATTTTGCAAACTCTTCAATCCCGCGAGTCGCTTGCGGCTCGTGCCACTTCCCCGTCATCGCGGCATGCGTCGTATCCGGCAGTTCGATATACGTGACTGTTCCTGGTGCATTGTCAGTTGCGATACGGTCCCGAAACGTCGTGATCCCGTCCAGTGTCATCTCTAGCTCGCCTGACATGATCAATGTCGGCGGCATGCCGGCGAACATCCCTTTCACATGAGGCATCCGCAGGCCTCCAGGCGAAATCCACGAGTTAGAATACGCGTCCGATTCCGGGAGGGAACCTAATAGCGCCCTCGTCGCATACCCGCCCAAGAACCAGTGTAGGAAGTCGGTTTCGCTGTTCCGCTCCATCGCCGAGTTCGGACCCTCGTGCGTGCGACCCCAATCCGCAGTGGGGGAAAGTAGAAACTGTGCGCGAGGAAGAGGTAGGGAGGAAAATTGGTTGATAGCGAGGTAGCGGACGAGGGCAAATGCAAGATTCCCTCCCGTGGAATCGCCCACGACAACGATGTTCCACGGCTTGAACCCAACGACATTGACAAGATAGTCGTAACCGGCTATAGCGTCGATCAGCGCAGCGGGAAATGCTCCTTTCGGGGGGAAGGGTGGGCCGTCCGACAGTCGATACTCGATCTGCAACACACTGCTGTACTCGTCGGCGTACTGGATCATTCGTTCGCACAAGTAGGCGCTGTCCCACTTCGGACTCGCGTTCCCCAGCTACAAATTATTCTTAGTTTTCCGACACTTGATACGGAGAATCTGTGAGTTGACTGACCACCCATCCCCCGCCTAGAAACAATGACTCCATCAATCCATCACCCTCGGTATCAAGCATGATTCATTACTCACCATGCAACTCATACATCACCTTTTCTTCTGGACCCGCTTTTTCATGCGCGGCTTGAGCGTTGGAGCCTCTCTGACCATACCACACCCCAGCGACTCTCGCCGGCTCAACATTGTTCACCCGGGCGGCCTCCTTGATCTCCCCCACGATGAGCTCAGGCGTTGGCTCGATCCAGACGACCTGAATATTCTTCCCTGTCTCCACAAGCTTTTCAGGATCCACACGACCGAAATTAAGTGATGTCTGGAAGGCGGCCGCGATCATGTTACGCAAAAACTTGACCATGAGAACACGAGAAAGCGGCCACGAACGACATGGGCGCCATGATGGCAAGAGATTCGTCAGCGTCCAATATGGAACTCGAACACAGAGGGACAAGCCAAAATAAAGCAGATAGATGGTCTTGAATGGCTGGTGTCGGTACGCATAGTAAGTTTGCATAGTAACAATAGACAGTCTGCCAGAGATAGAAGGTGATGCCACACGGAATTCACAGCTGCATGTCAAAGGTCCAGTAAAGTAGATTCTACCTACGATGCATGCGCCCTTATATACGCTGTAGCTGAGGCAGATAGAAATAGACGGAAATCAAGACAAGATGAAACGTACGGGAGAGCGCGAGTGCCAAAAGGTTAGTCCATCCGTGTATCTGGACCGCTGTGTGCGCGGGGCTGATGACGCTGTCGCCCCCGTCCTCAGGGGCCGATACATGGGGCGGGCGGTCGCCATAAAAGGGGACAGCTGCCGCCGACCAAACTGCCGCCGCAATCGTCATCGTGCAACCGGGCGGTGGCGACGACGACGACGAACTTCGGCAGGCCTGTGTGTCAGATCCTTGCATAACTTACCTGTACATACAGCACAATTATTTTGTCAAAGCGGCTGTACCTACAAGCCGTATTGTGAATGCATAATCTTGCAGTGCGTTATACATTACGGCTGCTCGCTTCGAGCGGTGCGGCTTGCATCCCGTGCGCGGCCGGCTGCCAGCTGCATTTCCATTCCGGGGCCTCTGATAATTTCTTACAGATCGGCTTGTTAGCATCAGTGATGCGCTCAGAGGAACATACAGTACGAGGTGTCGTTTCGAATAGCAGAGCGGGTCCACTCCCCGCCAGTTACCATCTGGATGCGGCTGACCCAAAGGCGAATGTTTGGTTTGTGCCCCGCTTTTGTTTGCGGTGTGGCGGGAGTAGACGCAAATAAGCACTTGTCCGCTTTTTCAAATGTTCTTTGGGGCTTAAGTAGTACTCGGAGAGCAAGGCCATTGCCGCCCACGGCGAGTTCCTGAAACCCGCAGGCACGTCATCGTGAGAAAATACCAAATGTAGTACCAAGGTACCTAAAGCAGTAATCAAACATAGTGACTGCATGCGGCCGAGTACTTCTCCAACTCGGAGAGGTACTCTTGCAGGAGCTCTGCTATCGCGAAAAGCTGCAAGCCGTTAGGCCCAGTGGAAAGTGACATCAATTAAATCAAGAAACTGGATCATTCAATGAATTGCGTTGAAAACACATGAAGAATTATGTAATTCATGCCAATTCGGTTTATCTCTTTTTTTCTCATTGAATGACACAGTTCCTCGTTCTAATTCATGTCGATTCTCACCGGGCGTTAGGGTCTGCCCACCATGTCGCCTATACCCACACACAAATGCAGCCGTGACTTGCTGTAAGTGCAATATACCACCGATCTGCTACTAAGCGGTATAGCACACATGGTATCCAGGTAGAAGACGGCCACACCCCACGATTGCCTTGAAGCAAGAGCGTAACTGGCATGCGTCGCATACTCGGATTGTGCGCGTTTGCTTAAGCCGGATACGGTTGGCTGATGACTGGGGGGCGATGAACAAGAGAACAGAATGCGCAACCATGAGCTCCGAGATGCAGAGACGTCTAGTATAGTGACAGGAATAGTGACGCGCCCGTGCATGCATGGACATTTCCACACCTGTCCCTTCAGTTGTTGCTTGCATCTGCGTATGTGCACCACGCCTAGCCGCGAATAGTCGAACATGATAAATATTCGACCCTATGCCCTAGCATCACAATAGGACACTATATAACGGCCAATGAATCATCTCAATTGTTCATCCAAAAAACATTACTAATACAGACATTACGCGTCACAAGACTCATACAATCGTAGGGATTCTAGGCGGGCCAACATGCAACGGACTTGGAGTCCGGCCATCCCTCCAGCAGCCTTTTACGTAATGGGCGTAGGCATCACAAAAGTTTGCGCCCTCATACAATGTTATCTCCACTCGTAACACGTCCATGCGTACTTTCTCCCTGCGTGGACGCTTTGCCGTCGTCGTCCTCAGGTACGGCGGACTGCATCGCGTTGAACTGGAGGCTGGTCAATTTTTGCATGCGAACGGTGTCGGGATCGGATTCAGGATCTGTGAGGAACATCTGCGAAGCAGTGTGCTCCGTCCATGCTTCGCCTGAGGCGATGCGGACCACTATCAGCAGCGATGCAACTACCTACAAGTCATGGACACAATATTAGTATATGGAGCGATCATCAAACTATGAGAACGGGCTAGACGAAATTGGGTACAATAAGATAGAAACATACCTGAACTTGGCTGACCGTCTCGATGAAGACGTTTGCAAGATTATTCCCAATGCCGAACGGTACGATGAACAGAATGGCGAAGATAGCGAAGAGTGCAGCGCTCTCAATGAAAACTGCCGCGAACCCCGTGTAGCGTGATGCATGTTCGGATCCCAGTCGTGCCGCACGTGCTCGGCACACGAGAAATCGCCCCGCAATGAAGAAGGTCGCGACAACGTTCAACGCGAGGGACATTACGTAGTAACCCAACGTGATATTGACGTAGTCGAATGGCGAGGAGCCGGTCATCTGAACGAGCAGCGATATACCAAGCGCTGTCAGATACCGAGTAAAGAATAATCAGAGTACGAGGAGGAACCGAGTAAAGCTTGGACGCACACACGGAAGCAGCGAGCATAATAGACAACCCAGTCGCCAATGGAATAACCCACATACGCCCCAAGCTCTTGAAGATCACTACCAACCGCCAAATCTGTTATTGTTGATAACATAAGTCGGTCGTAAAGTTTACAATGATGAATGATGCATACCAGGAATGCATCCATGATCCAATTTCCAACCACAAAACACACGTTGGCAATCTCGTCGGTAGGGTTCGAGAATTCGTCCTCGACATACGCGTTCGGCCCACCAGGGAAGTTGCGGTCCTCGATAAATGCGAGCTGAATGAATTTGACTTGGCTACCCATGAAAAGCGTGCTGATGATGAATATGACCGTCGCATATGCAAACAGTCCAAGTGGGCGCATGTAGTTGTATTGCTTTAGCTGCCGCACGAGTTTTGCGACGCACATCACATAGAGCGCAAGCACGACGCCATATGCAATGTTGGAGAGTAGCGCACCCTGCAGCCAAGTCTCCTCGTCGACAATTGTCGACGAGGATTCGTCAGGCGCATAAGGATTTGACGAATTGGACATGATCTATGCGTGAGCAGGGTCGCGAAGATATGATGTTAGATATATCAGATCCAGCGCGGGAGAAGACAGCATTGAGAGGACGCACTTAACGCAATCGTCAGTCGTCCCAAAGAATGGAGAACTATCGGGACGGCGCTAATAGTATCAAGTCGAGTTGATCGTTTATATGCCCCCTTGCCGCACCCACTGGGCGTCTGAGAGAAGCGCAAAACACCACGCGTATGACGAACTGGGCCAGTCTCCTGCCGCATTCTTGCGAGGATGTTCCCAGGAGATCAGGTCCCAGAATGATGGACAGTACGTATACAGGCACATTATAGACATCGGGAATGGCTCAGACGTGGACGTGATGATCTTTGAGTAAAACTTCAAGCTAGTTTAGCGATTGCGAAGGTGACGGCTCGTTGTTCGGTCCTATGGGCGGCAACTGGGGTAGACTAGACGGTGGCTGCTACAGTGCTCGCTACAGTTATCTGTCTCTTGTCGTCGGTTCAGCCACTTGGGTATGGTTAATTCAGGGGAGCTTCTTACCCAATGAAAACACGGTGAATGAGCACGTTCATGGAGCCGAGCACCTCTTCCCTGATGCCGATACTGAAGTTGACGTGAACGCAAAGTTCATACTACTTGCGAGGAGGAAGCACAGGCTAGTCCCGAGAACACCGGTGATTAGGGAAACAGAATATAGTGTGTGCCCGAATGTTGTCTGCAACTCGGAAAGCCACCATTAGCAGTGTCATAAAATTTATTTCCGATCAGCGCTTAGCCGTTCTACAGCTGAACGGTCGACTGTAATGCCGGACAGACGCACAGCCCTCCATTTGTCGCCTATGAACATGATGGTGGCCTGAGTCAAAGTCATGTGGTGACTTGGTGTTTAACACGTCGCTTTGAGGAGCGTAAAATGTAGCCCCCAGAGCCTGAGGTTGCGATAACGAATATATGTGAGAAGACGAGGCGCTATCTATTCAGAGCGGCTCTTGGCAGTGGAACGCGCACCTGACAAACAGCATATGAAAATGCCCGGACCATCAAACTCTTCCTGGCAGCGTGGACCCAGTAGTCAGCTCGGGCTCGGCATAGGTGTGCTCGAGGGTAAATTTTGGACATGCGGGTAGTCAGAAATCAAAGCAAGTCTGATGCTGGGAACAAGGTACCAGGCAATATCAGACATGTGCAGCACCCGGAATGAATAGGCACAACTAGGCAAGAGCCGCAATATCAAAAGTATGACGAATAGCTCCAGGAGGGTGCATGGCTTTGAGTGTAAACCCAGGTCAAAGTCAGATTTTATACGGTTGAGATTGAGCCACGACGATGCACTATTTCAGGCTGACAGTGTGCACTTGACCAAACAAATGCGCCGCGCCGGTGGCACGAGACTAAAACTCCAGCTAACTTAGCTGTATCCACTTTGACAATCCAATCCTGGCCTGGGTCATACTATTTCCTATCAGACTAAGGTATACTCTATGGTTTTACAAATTTCTCACAAAAGGAATAATGTACGTTCAAAAAATCATACTTTGTATGGAAGCTCAGCACCTGGGCAAGAATCCGACGCTTCTCCAATACTTTAGCCACTTGTCCACGTCTTGACGACCAAGGCCAAGTAAACTGGTGTCACGCAACGCAGGAGAGGCCGCTAGACCTTTGTCGATGGCTGTATCACGAACCAGCTTCACCATGATATCCGGCTTGGGATCATTGATGTCAAACGGAAGCCGGAAAAATTCGAGCAGACGCAGTCCAGGTTCCAGAAGCTGCACTCGGTTGTCGTCGTACGTCGATAACAGACCGTGGTCGAGCCTGGTGAACCAGTCGGAATATGTGACCAGAGGCAGTTTCAATGCAGCTCCGAAGTGTTCCATGAGTTCCGTCCAAGAAACGCCGCGCGGATGGCGGAGGTGCAGCACCGGCTGTGACGAAGCCATGAAGTCGATCATGGTTGCTGCTGCATAGTCAACAGGAAGCCACGAGATATTCTACGCAGGCAGTTGAGCTATCAAAATGCTGTACTGAGCGAAATGAACCCACACTTTGTCCATCAGGCAAGCAACCGAGAGCAAGGCTCGTAGAAATGAGGGATGGCACCCATTCGGCTATTCTCCACGCACCGTTGATACCACCACTGAGCTGTCCGACGCGCACAATAGTGAGATCGATAATACGTCGCTGAGCGGCTGCACTCAAGAGACGTTCGCCAACCCATTTTGACTCGCTGTATCCGGCTCCAATAGCAACGACGGGGTCTTCTATCTCTATTTCCTCTGCACGATCAGCAACTTCAAGACCTGACGATGGGATCCATCAATGTGAGCTTCCATATGCACATAGTTTGCTTACGCCTAAACACTCCCGCTGTGCTAGCAAATACGAATTTCACGCGAGTCTGGAAAGTCGCCGCGAACTCAATAAGCAAGCGAAGGCCGTGGATTGCAGACTCGAAGGTTGAAAGCTGTAGTCCGAAGTTGATAGGCCAAGCTACGTGTGCTCTATTTAGTAACTCTATCTCAAAGAACATCAAAACTGTGCGCATACCCAAATGGACTATGTGCGTAACAGATGTGGAGATCTGAAAGGTGATCCAAGTCAGAGAAGTGTCCATGTGTAACATAAAACTCGTTGCACGTACTCTTTTTTGAAGTTCCGCAGACAGCCCGAATGAAGACGCGTCCAGATCACCTTCTATCACAGAGACGCGCTTCGACAACAACAAAGATACATCCAGTCCTCGAGAAACGAACGCCATTCTCTGACGGTCCACAACAGAGTCGCTATCAGTGCCTTTGCGTATGAGCACGTAGATTTTCTCAAACTTGGACTCGCGCACGAAGCGAGCCAGCATGTGCGCACCCAAACTTCCAGTTGTTCCTGTGATCAAAACAACCGGGGGTGTTGCTGCAGCATCTTGACGCTGATCGTATCGTACTTCTAGCGCACGAAGACCGGCGGTGTATTTCTCGACCATTCGGACCATCTCTTGCCCCTTCGCCTTGACAATCGCATCATCTTTGCCTGAACCGTCTCCAGCAGAAGTGTCATCATCGTGAGTGTCGGCGAGCTGGTCTTCCAGATTGGCGAGGGTGAGATCTGCAAGGAGCTGGATCTGCGAAACGATGAGTATCGGACGAAGGGCATGTGACAGTGCAGCAGCCGACAGAGAGTCGAGGCCATACGTCGTCAGTGGAACTTCGCGGGAGAGATCTTCTGGAGAGATATCGAGCATCCTGCAGATGATGTCTTTGATGGAATCGGCCGAAGCATCGGTGCCGGAGACATCTTCTGCTTGATCCTCTGCTGTCAGATGGTCATACAGCGGAGAAGGGCCCAGGTTCTTGCGTACAACATTCCAGTCAAAGGCCGGAATGTATTGCCAAGTATTGCCTTCCTGTAATTTCCGAAGCGCATCTCCAAGATACTCACAGAGCTCTGAGCAATCAGTTTCATCTTGTGCTCTTCCTTCAAAAAAAAACGTACCAGTTCCCGTCATACCCCAACTATGGAGGTGCTTGAATCGTGTCCAGTATAGCATATCCGACGTTGATATTGACACATGCAGACCTGTGTCAATAATGAAGGGCGAGACCACCGTCATGGCTTTGCGGTACCTGCGAGTTAGACCCGTCAATCCTGTATTTCCACTAGCAATGCCGTCAATATTCCGATACCGGGAACAGGCCTATATAAGTGCTCACCAAGCATAGTTGGTCTGCCCCGCGTTTCCGAACAATCCGCAGACGGAAGACGTGGCGATTACAAAGTCCAGGGAATCGATGTCAACAATCTCCTCCAGAGTCCGGAATGCATCAACCTTGCAAGCCACTGATGCTTCAAACGTTTCTTCAGTTTGCATTGCGAACGTGCGGTCTATCAAGATGGCAGTGAGGAACATGCATCCACCCAAAGGTTTCACCAGTGTGTCAAGCAGGCTGCGCATGGCGTCGATGGATAAGGCGTCAACGGCTTCCGTCCTTAACGTAAGACCGGGGAGCATCTGAAGATAGGCAAGGAGACGCTGCGAGACGAATTCTCCCTTTTTAATCAGACTCTCTAGCCCCGACCGCGATGTCAACACGATATCTCTTGCACCATTCTGAAGTGGCCGTGAATACACTTCGATACACTTGAAGCAGTTGAGTCGCTCGTACCTTGTACATCCAAAGTGCAATTTGCAGTCCAAGACTACCTATACCTCCGATTAGTAGATAGGACTTGGCGCTGTCGAAAAGATTGGAAGCGTTTGGAACCTCAGCGGAGAGAGGATCATCAACTAGCTGCAGAGGTGGCACAACAGGCACCGAAGGCTCCAGGCACTTTGAGAGTGCAAAGCGGAGGACATCCCCTACAGCCCATGGGTCATCTTCTAAAGTTCTCTCCACGCCGCACGTGGAATCATGCCAGACGAAAATGCGGGAAGACTTCGAGCGTAGGAAAGTATCTGCAATATGAGTTTCCGAAGATGCGGAAGATCCGACGACGACAAGGCTGGAATCATTAGACAAGGCGTGCTTGACCTCGGGCACCAGTGCCCGAGAAGATAACGCTGAAACTTGGAGACCCAGTTGCTGGAAAATTTCCACTATACGACTTCCGAGTTCCATGTCTGAGTGGGTAACTATGATTTGAGTTTTCTTGAGACGATGTGGTTGCATAAACGAAGCGGGCCCCACAGCTAGACCCGCGATTACGCACGCTAATAAATCGGGTACAAATTTTGTGTCGAGAGAGGACAAGTGCACCACGCTTCCAATGTGGGCGACGACAGCAGTCGTAAGGTCTCCGGAAGTAATGCCAGCAACCAGATTTGAGACTCCATCGACATGTCCAATGAAGGCCCATAAACGCCCAGCTGAGGAAATGAATCCAGTGACACGGACAAGAACATGATCATCGGGAACATCCGGAAGCGAGATTTGCTTGAGCATTGATTGTTCGTATTTCCAAGGTTTGTCGGGGTTGAACACCGACGAAGTTGGCGGAGCAGCAGCTTCGACAATCCTAGGAACGAAGATGGATCCATCTGAGCGCACTGATATTTCGTCTTCACACCTATCCTCTGACATCAGAGTTCCAATGACTTGAATGCGCTCGTCGCCAGTCCAGGTATTGTCGAATACGACGGATCGGACGAGCCAGGAAAGATATTCCCTCCTTAGCGACCTCGTGAATCCAAGAGACGCGTCACCATCAAGACCTTCTGACGAAATGAACCACAAGGCTACGGGCGTCATAGAATCCAGACTGGTGATCAATTTTTGAAGGTCAATTTCGAAACCCCGCTTATACTCAATCGCAAAAGTAGACTTGTCCAGGCGCGTCACATTTGGAAGGAGGCGCTTATCGTGAGTTCCTACTGAACCATTCGGCGTGGGCAGCTGCGTATGTTCAGGACGAGCGACACAAAAATCAGCTTGCTGATGAACTAGCTCGAAGCGACCTTTGAGAGTTCGGAGAGTATGTCCGTGCAGTGCGATCTCGAGTTCATGAATAGTGCAAAGTCGAATACCATTCTCGTCGGTAACAGTGAAATCATACACGAGGCGTTCTAGGTCCCAATTAGTATCTGGTTCCCCAAAATTCAGAGACACATACCTGGCGACCATTTGACGAATGTAGCGTGAGTATAAATCATCCGCGGGAATGGCTTCCTTTGCAGAGCATCGTGAACGGCAAATGATCCAACCTTGGACGGAAGGTAGTATTGCGTTTCATCACGATTACCGGTAAGAGCAGGGTGCACTAGGATATGCAGCGCGGAGTCGAGTACTGCCGGGTGAAAGATGAAGTCATCAATGCTGCAAATAGTTAAGAAAAAAGTCGCAATGCCGATATATGTTTACCTACTCCGGAAGGTCATCGTCCGCTCCTCTCAATTGAACCAAAACTTCCTCGCGGCCCAAATGATCGTAACCACGACCCCACGATATAATTCGTTGGTACGTTGGCCCGTATTGTGCGAAGCTCGTAAACCCATCATAGAACCCTGTAGCAGATATGACAGTCTAGGAATCTGATAGCCGCGTAGGGCCACGTGCTTACCCTTCATATCAAAGATCCTAAGACGAGCGCGTATCTCATCTAGACGCAGAGGAGACGAATCAAAATCTACTTCAGCCGACATTGATAGATGCCCGCTCGCGTGAATCCGGTTGTACTGGAAACGCTGTGAGAGTCGATAGCGAATGATCACGGAAAGAATCGTCACCTGAGGTGGCCATGTCTGTGCGAAGTCCATCGCTGACGCGCTCCGCACGCTCCAATGTGATCCCTCGAGCTTGATATCGACTGGCGCAGGTCGTTCTGAAGAAAGTGCGAGGATGGAATGGAATTCTACATCATACAAGCGTTTTGCCCCAAACTCAAGAGCCTGTTCATTTCATGTCAAGTGTGGGACAGCAATGACGCACATGGAGGCATACCATCTCGATGTAGCCAGCCGCGGGCATTATCGGTTCGTCCTTGATTATATGCTCGGCCAAGCACGGGTGTGTCTTCGTGTTCACTTGTAACTGGGGATAGTTCAGCGGTCCGTTACGATGTTGCCTCTGCCTCGTAATCTCAAATGTAGATGCCGCATAAGGTACCTCTCTCTTCGAGAAAGGGAACGAGAGGACGGGATCGTCAACGGGGCAAGATGTGCCGCAAAGGATGTCGAAGTCGACGCAGCGGTGACCAGCAACAGTTAACTTGCCGAGCGCCCCCATGAATTCCAAGATCTCAACGTCTACTTCTGTCGACTTGGCCCTTCTCAAAGGGCAGATGACACTCGAACTGTTCCCAGCTATTGCTGCAATATAGCTGGTGAGGACGGGATGAGGGCCGAGCTCGAGGAACATTGAGTTCGGATATTTTGCCGCGACAGCTTGCATGGCGGAAGTGAACATGACAGGCCCTCGTGTGTTGTCCCAGAAATACTGAGCATCGAATATGCCGTCGAAACACTCCCCAGTCAATGTCGAAAACACCTCTACGGTAGGTTTGACGACAGAGTATCTGGAGAAAACCTCTGTCGCGAGTCTCTGGTATTCTTCCCGGCAAATCTCCATCATCGCAGAATGGACAGGGATACGCGTCCGAAGACGAGTCGCGAACATGCCTTTCGCCTTTGCGCATGTAACAGCCTTGTCGATGTGGGGCGCCAAACCCGAGAGCGTCACTGCCTCAGGAGTGTTGTAGCATCCTACCTCCAGATCTGCACGTCCGATTTCTCCGGCAACTTCAGTGATAATCTGCCGCGCCTGTTCGGGCGAGCACGCGAGTGCGGCCATAGTTCCGTTCTCGCTTTCAAGCAGCGACATGGCTTTCCCTCTAGCGATGGCTAGTTCCACCGCGAGCGCCTTGCCACCTGCGCCGGACCCATACAGCACGGCAGTCTCTCCTGCCGAATGTCCTAACACAACATCGGGCTTGACGCCCAACTCAGCGAGCGCGTCAACGAGGGCAATTTGAAGTACAGTCAATGCAGGAAGGGTGACCGCGATCGGCCACACTGCGCCCAGCGCGTCGGCAATCGGTGTTTCGCCGAACAGCCCAAGGTCGGAGATCAAGCTCTTTCCTGTCGCGGAGATATGGACCTGGTCGAGGTCAAGGACAGTGGTGCGGAACGGTGCGCACGTCTTGAAAAGCTCACGCCCCACTGTGCATAGAAATTAGTTATCCAATTCTGAACATACCAACAGACAGATTGCAGGACAGCACTCACTGTTCCAATGCTGTGGACCCTGTCCCGAAAATACGAATACAAGCGGCGCAGCGGTCTTAGGCGCGAGTGAAGGCTCACTAAAGCGCGAGATCTGTCCGTCCCGCGCGACTGCGTACGATCGCCAGGTCATCGAACGAGACCGCCGTCCAAGTGCGCGCGAGAGCGACTGCCATGTCTCTGTCGACGTATCAAACTTGCTCTTGAGTGCCTCTCCAACCGTACTCGCGGAACGCGGAGAAAGACCTGCAGCAATCAACAAGGATGGGGTTGATGAGCGTGCATCACTTTGGACCCAGAATCGCGATGGAGTAGGTGCGATAGATGGAGGACCTTCGACGATGCAATGGCCGTTTGCCCCCCCGATGCCGGAACTCGTCATCGCGATGAGAGGCCGACGCGTTGACGAACGGCATGTTATCAGCTCCGGTTGGACAGGGACACGAAATGCATATTCTTTCCATTTGATAGCAGGATTTGGGACTTTGAAGTTGACATTCGGCGGAATAACGCCAGTCTCAAATATGGAACAGACTTTGCAGAGGGAGGCGAGAAAGGCTGTTATTTCCGTGTGGCTGGCAAGGTATGAGCGACTGATGCAAGAACATGAATTAGCCAGAACGTACCCAATATTACCTTTCACACTACCAATCAGAAGCTCCCCATCTCGCTTGAACTGTGAGCCTATCCAATTTGCTTCCGTAGGATCTCCCTGCGCCGTGCCTACGGATTGCGCAATAATAAGCCATACAAGACGTCAACGCTCAGCGGCGACTTACCTGTTGCATGAAGTTCGATGAAGTCAACTTCTTTCGGCGAGCGCTGAGCCTGGGCAAACGCCCGGACCATGGCATCCTGTTGAGCCAACGCAACGGGCGCGTTGACAGGCGCTAAAGATCCACTCGAATTGATTCCGGTTCCTAGAATCTACATGTCACGACATATCACCGTCGTGAATATCTGTCCAAAAAGACGCCAACTTACCACCCCATACACACGATCATTGTCACGCAGTGCCGCTGGCAGAGGCTTCAAAACTATCACTGCTCCGCCCTCTCCACGACCAAACCTGTGTAGGTAAAATGAATTCTTTATGTCACGTGCGCTTGAACCTAATAAGACGCACCCATCTGCTGAGGCATCAAATGGTTTGCATTTGCCATCCGGAGACAAAATTCCTCCTTGTGTATAGAGTAGCCACTCCGAGAACCTGTGTAATGGAATATATACGGATCAGCGAAGCGATTGACTGAGACAAACAAGCAAACACACCGATGATTGATCTGACACCCTCCAACTACGGCCGCGTCACATTCACCATTCCGGAGGGCTTGTACGGCGACATGCGTGGCAGTGAGGGTAGAGCTACATGCGGTGTCAAGAGGAATAGAAGGCCCTCGGAGGTCCAGGTGGTAGGACACGCGATTTGCAACCATCGCTGGCGCATAGGCGAACGAGCCACGGGCTTCACTGTCATTCTAGTGGGTCCATATGTCCATTAATACACTCCAATTCACTGTTTCATGGCGTAAGTACTTACATGTCCAGAGACAGAGAATATGTCCTGCGCCGAGCCTGACATATAGCACCCCACATTTTGCCCTCTATAATCGATACCAGAGTCGAGCAAGCTGAGGAAAGCCAATTCGACGAGCTTGCGAGTCCCAACTGGCATCAAACGAGCATCCTTCCCCGTGATGCCAAATTCAAGGTAGTCAAAGAGATCGATCTCCTTCAGGAATGCTCCCGTATCAGTCAGTACCTGACCAGTGGCATGTCCCCGAATGCTAAGTGTACCGTCAGGGCAAGTACAGAACTTCACATCAATAGACGCACCTTTCAATGTTGAAACGGTCTGCCGGTATCCTTCCATACGCCTCCTGACCATCCAAAAGAAACTGAGCAAATGACTTGTAACTGAGGTTGTGATTATGACTAGCTCCACCAGGGAATTCAGCAGCAATACCAACCTACCAGGGTTATAAGAAATTAGTCAGGAATCGCACATGCGTGTAAGACCTACTATGGCGACTGGTAGAGAGGGCTGCGCTTCCTGGGCAGACATTTGTTTCGAAGGGCGATAGAAAAGAACAGACCTCAACGCAGGGGCTTTATAAACGAACACGGAGGCCGACGTTAGAGAGAGCCTGACAGACCCAGAGTCTCGGATAACGTGGCTCTATATGTTGAACTCCCTTCGCTAAAATGATGATGTATCGTCTACCAGAAGCTTGGATGTCAAAGTACAAATCTGCGACCGAATCTGATCGTTATCCCCGTGTCTACTGCAAAGAAGGCCACGTCGGAATTCAGTCATACTTCTGCCACATATAGAGTGAGACGGAGCGCCCCAGACGAATGCGGCTAGCTCACCAAAAGGAAGACGAGAGCAATGTTTAGCAGCTAATTGTCAGTGTGAAAGTCAGCCTACACAACGCAAGTACATGGAGGCTGTATGCGGATCCCATGGCGCTTTGACTTCGGGAGACTCGGCGAAAATTCCGCAGTAGAACCTGGTGGTGTGAAACCGGGACAACATCTCACCCTTGGCCTGCTTCGCGACCTCGGGCTCGACTCAGCACGCGCTAAGGGCTCGGGTTGAATTTTGGAATCAAAACAATCCCAAAGAGACTCTGATACGATCACTTCTTGACCCCGGGCCAAATCAGAACGGATGAGCAAAGATGGGCAAGGAAAATGGTTGGCGGTATCAGAATGCTATGTTTGGATATTATCAATGCAGCAAATGGGTGTACACGTGGAATTCTTACAGAATACCGCGGCAGCTGACAATGTACAAGGTGGATGTTTGCCAAATGGCTACGAGGTTATTGAACATTTCGGCGGGCACGCGAACCAGACTCGTGGGCCAATGCGGATAGGGAAATTGAGAACACGGTGTTACATAAGCACTTACCTTGAATCATTGCCGAGTAGCGCCAGTGTCCGCTAAGTTCTAACTTTCAAACTTCTGTTTAATCGCCTCATGAGGCCTGAGGCCTTGCAGTCCAATGCACCTTCTACTGCTTGGCAATATGTTCAACAGTCGAAATCTTTCTTGTCAATGCTGCGGCTGTTCTCTGTGACTACCCTACTTCTGATTTCTGTTGCTTGGATGACACGCTCTGGCCCCCACTCGAGTCAATCATTGGCTCTGACCAGTTGTCTCCATGTCGACGATACGACGGGCTGGGAGAACTTTGTACAATCAAGGCATGAAACGCTTTGTTATTACAAGTACTTCTCCGGATAGGCTCGCCGCTCCATTGATCCTTCTCCAGTCTGGACACCGGATTCAGGAACTCGGCACAATCGGCGGGCCGCCGTCATTCAGAGTAGCCGCACCGTCATGTCC